AAAAGAAAGAGAAAGAGAAAAGGAAAAGAAGGGAAAGAGGAGAGAAAGGGAAAGAAAGAAGAGGAAGAAGAAAATAAAAGGGGGAAGAAGTGATCGGGGGGGGGGGCGAAAGAGCCTCGCCTCCCCCTCTCCCCCCCCCCCATCAAAAAAAATAAGAGAGAAGGAAGGAAATAGAAAGAAGGGGGTATCAGTTGCAATTTTTCCGCCAACAAGTTGTGGATCGGGGCGGGGATGGGGCAAAATGCCCTTGCCTCCCCTGCCCCGCTAAAAAAAAAGAGAGAAAGAAGGAAAAGAAGGGGAAATAGATCATTTGCAGTTAATCCCGCCAACAACATGTGGAGAAGGGGCCGAAATGACCTTACCTCCCCCTCGCCCCCCCCCCCCATCAAATCTTACAGAAAGAGAGGGAAGGGAATGGAAAGGGAAAGAAGAGAGAAAGGGAAAGAAAAACAGAGAAATAAGAAAGGTAAGGGAGATCAGTTGCGATTTTTCCGCCAACAAAGAGTAGATCGGGGGGGGGGGGGGAACTGGCGTATTGATCGAGGAGGGGGCTCGGGGGAAATAAAATTTAAACGTGGTTTATTTCTAATTCCATAACGGTGGTTTACAAATAATGCTGAAATGACATAATTTTCCGAGATTTGTCCTCATTCTTTAGTAAATTATACTTTTGTATGCGTTTGTAAATTAACAACCAGGCAAGAAATATGCTTTTTGAGATGCCTACATGTCAGGGCCCGCTGAACGGCGGGGATCGGGAGCCTCCAGCTCCCCCCCCCCCCCCAATTTTTTTTTTGGAAAAGCATTTTAAAGGTACTATGTCCCTTTTGCAGCCAACCTCAAATGCTGTAGAACTTTGCAGGAATTATGAATATGTCATGTATGTCCTATCTGTGAAATTTAGACCTTAGCAGTGTCCTCATTATTCAAAATATGCAAGGAAACCCGTGTACTTGCTAGACTTCACTGTCAGACACTATTGAGTGACTGACTGGCTTTTCTTCTTCTTTGGTAATAACATACATGAAAAGAGTTGTAAAGGGTACATGACCATTTGTCTACATCAATAACCCACTTCTTGTGATGGCCAAGATTAAACTGATTGAATCTTTGCGCAGCATAAAACGTATGAACATTCAGTACAATTGTCTGAAAATCAAGACTATTACTTTTGGGCTCTATAGCCCTAAAGTCGATTTGACAACTAATAGCCGTTATTTTCCCACTTTAAGACATTTTCAAGCCCCACCTTTTATAGGGAAGTTCTAAAGTAGTATTATCTTTCAAATGCAGTTGGAATTTAACTTTTTCATTTTTTTGGCCTGCGAATGGGAAAAGAGAAATAGAAAGAGAGAGAGCAAGAAAGAAAAAATAGTTAACTACCAGTGTCACAACAAAATAAGGTATCAAAAAATTGCTCATCTGACCGTAATTAGACGCCTAAAACCCCTGAGCTTCCGGGGGCTCTGTCCCCGGGACCCAACCAAGGGCCCTTGGGCAGGCCCCTTGATACTCATCTGACCACAATTTTGTGCCTAAAACCCCTGAGCTTCCGGGGGCTCTGTCCCCGGGACCCAACCAAGGGCACTTGGGCAGGCCCCTTGCCTACTCATCTGACCAAAATTTAGTGCCTAAAACCCTTGATCTTCTGGGGGCTCCGCCCGCTGGACCTCACACCAATCAGTGTCCTGCCAGTGTCACAAATAAAGTATAAAAATATGTTCATCTGACCGTAATCAAATGCCTAAACCCCCGAGCTTCCGGGGGCTCTGCCCCCTAGACCCTACTGGATGCTAATCTGACGGCAATGTAATGCCTAAAACCCCTGAGCTTCTTGGGGCTCCGCTCGCTGGACCTCACGCAAATCAGTGTCCTGCCAGTTTCACAAATAAGGTATAAAAATTCTGTTCATCTGACCGTAATCAAATGCCTGAAACCCCTGAGATTCAGGGGTTTCCGCACCCTCGACCCCACCAGGGGCCCTGAGGCAGGCCCCTGAATACTTATCTGACCGTAATTTGCCTTCAACCCATGAGTTTCCTGGGGCGGACAAGGTATCAAAATCGTCTTGTTTCTCTAATAATTGAATTAAATGTCAAAGCTTCCGCGCTTGGCGCAGGAGGTGTGGATTAAAAGTCGGGAACGGTACAACAAATCGTCTTCTTTCTCTAAAGATTTAATGAAACGTAAAAGCTTCCGCGCTTCGCGCGCGCGGATAGGAGGGGGGGGGGAATGAATTCAGACGAGGATTAAGAGTCGAAAACGGTACAACGAATCGTCTTCTTTCTCTAATGATTTAATGAAATGTACAAGCTTCCGCGCTTCGCGCGGGAGGGGGGGGGGGGACTGAAAACAAACGAGGATTAAGAGTCGAAAACTGTAATCAGAAGAGCAGGCGCGTACGGAGGGGGGGGGGGGATTTGGGGTTGAACCTCCCCCTGTTCGGTTTTTTGTTATGTGTGTATCTTGGAGCAACCCCCCCCCCCCTTTTTAATTATGCCAATGGCTGTCCTAAAAAAGGTGACCTCAACACCCCCCCCCCCCCCCCTACGGAACAAAATGTCAAATTTTCAAATTTCGAGACCCAAAAAAAAGTGTCCTCTTACCCCCCCCCCCCCCCCCCCCCCCTGACTCTTTTTTGTTCCCTTTTAGCTCTCCTCTTTCCCTTCCCCTTTTTCCCCTTCTTTTTTGGCGGTGGGGGAGGGGGGGGGGGGAAGAGGCAAGGGCCTTTTGCCCCCCCCCCCCGGATCTACAACTTGTTGGCGGAAAAAATAGTAACTGATATTCCCCTTCTTTTCTTATCTTCTTCCTCTCTTTTTTTCCTTTCTGTTATCTCCTCTTTTCCTTTTTGCTTTCCCTTTCCTTCTTCTCTCTTTTTGTTTTGCTGGGAGGGGGAAGTGGAAGCAACATCATGGGAGGCAAGGCCCATTTCGGCCCCCCTCCCCTGATCTCTTTCTTCCCCTCCCCCTTTTTCTTTTCTTTTTCCTTTTCTTTCTTTTCCTTTCTCTCCTCTTTCCCTTTCACATCTTTTTCTTCTCTCTCTCTCTCTCTCTCTCTCTCTTTCTTTCTCTCTTTATTTTCTTCTCTTTAGAGACTTTCACACCATTATTAAGAGACATAATGCGCAATCAAATCAAACTGAGTGATGTTATCGAACAACTTCTCAATATCAATCTTCCATTCTCTTAAATGATCCTGGGAAGCCTCGGTCTTTATAGACACACAAAATGTATAACCAAATTTGGAGCATAGTTTAATGGTGTTGGCACAAAGTTTAGTGGCGATGGTTCGTTTGAGACTTGTACAGCGTTTATACTGTTTTATTAATGAGAAAGATCTCGAATCAAATCAAACTGAGTGATGTTATGGAACAACTTTACAATATCAATCATCCGTTCTCCTACACAATCCAGCCCCGGGTCTTTATAGGGCATACAAAATGTATTACTAAATTTGGAGCATGGTTTAACGGTGTTGGCACCAAGATTAGTGGCGATGGTTTGTCCGAGACTCATACAGCCTTTATACTGTTTTATTAATGAGATATATCTCGAATCAAATCAAACTGAGAGATGTTATGAAACAACTTAACAATATCAATCTTCTGTTCTCCTAAATAATCCAACCCCGGGTCATTATAGGGCACACAAAATGTATTACTAAATTTGGAGCATAGATTAACGGTGTTGGCACCAAGATTAGTGGCGATGGTTCGTCCGAGACTCATAGAGCCTTTATACTGTTTTATTAATGAGATATATCTCGAATCAAATCAAACTGAGTGATTTTATTGAACAACTAAACAGTAGGCCTACTAAATGTCCATTTTCCTATAAACTGTCATTACAAAACTAGCTAGATTAGGGATTGTATAGCCGCACCGAGGAACGTTTGCTATTTCAATTCCCTGCTTGTACTTGGCTTCACGGAGTAATTCGTCCTTTATAATGATTCTCTTCATTCCGGAGCAATGTATGTAGTAATGCTTGCGAACGTACTCTTGTACTAGTACAGTACATGTACCTGTATATAAGACAGATCCATAGACAGAGTACGCACGCCGCACGTCTGTGACGTAGGGAATAATGAATATTCATATCGCCGTTAATCTTGGTGCCAATATATGCTACCGTGATTATGATGGCAGAGCTGCAGATCGCCTGACACTGATAGGTCGTGTTTTCTGAAACGTCTGCCAAAAACTCCTTCTGAATGAAGACTTTTCATCCTTTCTATTTTTGTAAGTTACAATTTTATGTTTATTGATGTTTTCTTACTATCAAAATGATATGAAATCAGTTGTTTTGTATGAGAATGTGGCCTTGATCGTGCAGCGTTCGTGACTGACTGAGCCGACTGCCTGGTTTATGTGCTCTGAGGTGGAGTAGGGTGTCATCACCGCTGAGCTCCCCGGCGGGTCGGGTCATGATTTAAAAGTCAATATGTTTTTTGAATAAATAGTGTTAGACTAGATCTACCTGTTTCATGTCAATTTTCTTATCTTTTCAGAGTATTTTTCCTAAAAACGAAGACGTAGTTTTCAGAGACGCCAAGTTCAAAGATCAGCAATGCGTAACATGTGCATGATTTGGCGCGCTAGCGCGCGGGCGAGGTTATAACACATAATGCTAACTGAGGTTAGCATTATGTGTTATAACATAGGTTATAAGGTATATAGCATTTTTGCAAAATTTAGCGCGCGCGTCGTGCGTGAGAGCATTTCCAGACCCTCGAATTGCGTGATGTCATGCCTAATGCGTGATACTTGGTAGCTCTGAGTTTTATAATATGCACTTTCTCACAGGATTCACTGCAAACTGCAGCACAATACAATTGCATACCGTACTGACAGTGGGATGCGGGCATGCGTGTGTTCAGTAAAGCGACTGTAACTGTACACACGGACGCACCCGCACCCCACCGTCGGTACGGTATGCAATTGTATTGTATTTAAAGAAAAAGACCAGTTATGGTCATGCGATTGAATTGTGAAAGAAACGTTTTTCTTTCTTTTTTTCCCCAATTGTCAATATGGTTGGAAGTTCACTTTTAGTGGATTTAAGAAAGATGTGCATAGTTCTCGTCAGTTAGCATTTTTCTTCTGACTTCTAGAGGGGGCTTGTTCATTTCAACCTGAAAGGCTGCAAGGGATGTACTGTGCAGTATTAAAAATGACATCTATTTTATTGAATCAAGAACTTTTGAACTTCACTTGCTGAATTGTAAGTCTTACATCCATAGTCTAGTAATGATCTAATCAAATATCTATAGGGCACAAGTAAATTTTTTGTGTTGTTTCCCCAACTTGTACCTGCTTCACTCTTCAGGATGTTAGGTTTCTTTCTGCATCTGTGCCTAATGTTTTGGATACAGTCGTTACATGTGAGTTTACTGTCAAACAGGATACATAGAAAATGTATGATTTGTTTGGTATTATAGTTTTTTTCAGTCTAATTTCTGGAAGATTTGATCTACATGTAGTGCTGTTGCTGAAGAGTGCAGGGATGCTTTTGTTTTTCGGATAGTTTGAAACCTCATTGGTCAGACCAGCCTTATAGGGTGTTTAAGTAAGTTAGAATTCTTTTCACAATAAATTCAGTGGCATTACATTAGGTCCAGATGTCTATGTACATGTAGCACAATTGTCAGTCATCATCTTATCTTCTTGAAAAAAAGGTAAAAAGCATAGTATTTTCTGTTATTATTCTTGCCATTTTCTTCAAAACTAGCTTTGTGAAGGGTTAAATGAAAGATGTCAACATGCTTACATGTAGCTCAAAACAATACATGTACATGAAAACATACATATCTAAAACAGGGTAGTCTTCTGGTATTTTTCCTATCACTTGTCAGCAACAAAAGCAGAGCATGGACCTACTATGGGCAGAGTAAGCAGATTAAATGTTTTGGGATTAAGAGTGCTTGTTTGTCCACAGTTTAATCCCTTCTGTGCCAGTATTCAGGAAATCCCATGGTCAATGTACCTGTACCACTACATACACTGAGGCCTTTTGTATGACTCCTTTTTGCCCATTCATGTGTTTAACACTCTAGCCAGTACTTTTCCACTCCCAAGTCCAAAGCTGTATTATCAAGCGAACATATAGTGTCAAAGGGTCATTACAGTTAGCAGGATTGGGGGTATTCATGAAGCCATGTCTTATCTAGAGTTTGAATTAGTCATTGTTTTAATTTGTTTAGTTCAGATCTGGTTTAGTTAGATCTTCAGTAGGCCATATGAACTTTGTGATATCACACTGTAATATATAAGTACTGTAATCCATATTCATGGAAAGTCAAATATCTTATTGCTCACAAAGTGCGATACATAAATAGACCTAAGAACTTATAGGAAATAATATGAAATACTTGTAGTAATTCTTCAAAATAATTACTCTTCCTTAATTGTATGCACTAAGATTAAAGTAAAGGTACATTGATTTTGATGATGATTCAATCTGTATCACTAAATTTTGTGGCAAAGTGCTTGTACATGTATATATCCGAAATCCAGAGAGGTGCTCTTGTCTGTGTTAAATTTTTTAATCGTCTGATACGCAGTTGACCTAAAACTTTGACCCTATTCTGTCTCACTTCTTGGACCGATCTACGCTGGATTGGTCTAACGGTGAGTGAGGGCACACAACCATGCCAGGAAGCGATCTTCTGGACAGATTAAAATATATCACTTTGCCATGTGGTCTTCTGGACCGGTTTGCTTCCTAGACCGCTCCAGACCGTTTTAGCGAGCAGTGTGAATTCAAACCGTACCAGGATGTGTACTTCAACCGGAAGTGAGTGTTTTTGGCAGAAAAATAATGAAAGAGAGAAAGCAAGTACAAGAATAAAAATAAAATAATATAAGGAAAGATAGAGAGAAAATGATAGAATGATAAAAACAAATAACAACATAAGAGAAGGTGATAGAAGGAAGAAACAAAGGTAGCATAAAGAAAAATAGGAAGAGGAAATGATAGAAAAATCAAAACAGAATAACATAAGAGAAAATGATAGAAGGAAAAACAAAGAATAACATGAGAAATGATAGAAAGAAAATTGATAAGAATAATAAAAAACAAAGAATATCATAAGGAAAGAAAAGTAGAGAAATTGATAAAACAAAGATTACTGGTAAGGCTATTTAAAAAAAAACATGTTTAGCTTCCTGCCTTTTTGAAAATTAGAAAGGAGGAGGCCCTTTTTTTCTTCTTCAAAATGTCTGCTCGATACATTTTCCCTGACAGTAGGGCTATTTATCTTGATGGCAACCGGCATTTAAAAAAAAAAAAATTTAAGCAGTACGTTTTTCATTATTTTTTTTATCTAAAAAAAAATAAAAAATGAAGGAGGCGCTCCCAAAAAGGAAGCAGGCAGGGACTCTAAACATGATTTTTTTTTTTTTTTTTTGCCGAACAAGAAAATGATAAATAATAGAAAATTCAAAGATAGAAGAGAAGATGAAAGATGGAAATACAAAGTATAACATAAGAAAAATATAGAAAGAAAAACAAAGAATATATAAGAAAGATAAAAAGAAAATATAATAGAATGATAAACAATATTAGAATAGAATATCATAAGAGATGAAAGAAGGAAAAAAAACAAAGAATAACATTAAGAAAGACAGAAAGAGAAGGTGATAAAATGGTAAAGATCAAGAATAAGAAAGGGAAAAGTAATAACTAAAAAAAATAGTAATTTTGACTTTTGAGATGGAAAACAAAACAAACCAGGACTTACAGACCGCCGTACATACATTTTAATTACGCGCTAAAATGACCCATGATATCATAGCAGCAGGAACTGTTTCTGTTGCTGTGGAATAACGTGTCTCACCAGGGTAAAAATTATGATGAGTGTGAACCCAAACGAATCGTACCTCTAGAGCACCCAGTGGATTGGTCCAAAGAGATCTCTTTGATTGGTCTAGTGTAGATCCGTCTAGCACAGTGAGTGAGAATGGGGTCTTATATGATAGTTATCTGCAAGCTTCCTGGTTTCTAGTGATAAAATATTGGAAGTACTTGTAATGTTCAATTAATATCTACTTCAAAGATAAGCTTGTTTCTATTATCAGCCTATTGTATTGGTTGGCATTGTTCAACAAAAATCATTTTCATCTTAAAAATGCATATTCAATCAATTTATCAGAACTATGATTTGCACAAATTAAAAAATGTAGATCCATATTATTGAATATCATGTAGTTCCAATGTTAACAGTTTGACATTCAAAGAAAGTAAACCAGCTATAGTTTTAAAAATCTTAAAACTTTCACTTGTAAAACTCCTAGCACAGAGAAATTCATAAATTTCTGACACATCACCATAGTGCACAAATTTCAATTTCAGATTGTTTTGGCATTCATGATGACCACTGTCATTTACAAAAATCATGCTCTCTTTTGTCGGAGAAAGAAAATTGCTCTGCATAACAATGCCAGTTCAGTTTGCAACTTTTCACTTTGTCCATGCCATTCATTATGATGTACTACGCCATGGCTGCAAAAGTATGGTATCATTTTGAAAAGGAATACCGTACACACACTTGCTAATCAACGTGATGATTATGCCATGATAAGAAAGCTATATCAATCCAACTTGAGTTTAGCAACTTTTTTGATGGATTTATGTACATGTATTTTAAACCAATTAAAAAATCCTTACAATGATCATGTAAGTGCTCCTCTGAAAGTAAAGTGAGTTAAATTGAAAGTACATGTAGTTATAATTTAATGAAGTATTCCAATAGATTAGTTTCTAGAGGTGTACATGTAAATGTATTGTGCAACTCTATGGCGTGTCTTTGTGCATGTGCTGTGGGTATTACATAATGTAGGATTATAATGTGATTGTGATATTACAGACAATGTACCGCCGGTATGCTATTCAGTCTACTCTGAGAGTTCAGATCGTATATGGAAGGAAGTTATTGGTACATTAAGAGTGTACATCAGCCACTGGCTTTACCAACAGTAGGGTCATTCACATACATGATTAGTACCAGTAATATTTGAAAATCAATTTTTGAACTGAAGTTGCAATCTCACTCTTTTTTTGTGTGTGAATGGAAGAAAATAAATCATTGAAAAGTGAGATCCTGATCGTGACTCAAATTGAACTTGTTGCATTTGTGTGTGTGTGTTGTGAATACTGGTAACTTGAAGTTCCTGTGTCATTTATGTTGAACAGAGCTAGGTCAGTGAAAGGAAATCAATTTTGATCATCCAACTATGAACGGATATAGAGAAGAGAGATTTCAACTGATCTTTGTTGTAACAAAGCATTTCATACATGTATACATGCATGTTTTTAATAGGATGTAGAGGTGGCTGTGGTCTAGTGAATACATGTCACTGGACTGTGGATCACATGGTTTGGGGTTCAAGTCCTGTTGCGTCATTAATGTGCTTTAGCAAGACAATCTACATGTGCTTATTTCTGCCCAGGTGTACATCATGTAGTAAATGTTTAGCTGGTAGGAGTTTGTTGAAATAGAGCCTACATGTAAGGGCAGCTAGACGCAAACCAGGGTAATAATACACAGTAGTAGTTTGTACAGTATAGTCACCTTTACAGTAAATACCTCACTTAAGAGATCCAGCCATCTGATTGGTCGAAATTGCAGTGGTGATTTTAGCCATTCCCGTAAAGAAACAAAAAATGCCAAGACTCGTTAATAGTCCAAGAGTAAAATCCCTAAAAATCCCAGTTACCAGGAAAATAATAAAATCTTGCTGCGATTACCCATTGGTTTATGTGTTAAATTGTTCTTTGAGCGAGCGCGGACACCAAACAGTGTTTTTTGTCTGTGATTCCCAACTGATCAAAAACAGACAGCTTCTCAGATTTTCTGTGATGTTTTAACCAATCTTTACTCGATAAAAGGATAAGGTAAGAATTCTAAGTAGATTTTTGTTTTAATTTGGCATATAAAAGGGATATCAACTGCTTTAATATTCGAGGTCTGGCTGGTTTTGTATATGCTTGCGGGAACTCGCTCAGATCCTGCCATGACCCCTCGGCGAGCCTCAGGGGAATGGCAGGATGCCTGAGTTCCCTTGAGCATATAAAACCATCCAGGCCTCTCAAAGCGGTCGATATCTTTATATCGGTATGAGCATCCTCTGGGATAGTGCAGATTCTGTCCATTTTTTTCTTCTTTTTCTTTGATCATCTTTTCTCCCCTCCCTTATACACGTCCCACATAGAACGCATTGTCTCCACAAATTGTTTCTCCCCCCCCCCCAAAAAAAAAAAAACAAACACACCACCTATCCCTCGATTGTCTCCAATTTGTCGTTGAGGGTGTATTGTTTTCTCAGCAGATTAGGCTCACGACACAGAAGCAGTCCAGGCAGTGGACTGCCTCTGATACCCTTTTCTAACTGCACTGATTTTCATCGGATACATCCGGACGCATCCGATGAAACGGCCAGTTAGAAATTCTCATTCTATCAGTGTGACACTGATTAAACGGCCAGTTAGCAAACGGCGATTAAAACAGCGATTAAAATGGTCAAAGGGCGCAGTATACGCGCGTTTTATCGTAACCAGCTGTGTTTGTTGACTTATGGTTGAACATGCTGCATGCTAGCTAGATGGAGCGCGGGCTTAATAATTACGCAATAATTCTTCACTTCCGGCAAGGGCTCGCCACAGCGAGTGAATTTCACCGGCAGTTAGAAAGCGACAGAGGGAAAACTGCGGTTTCACCTTTGTTAACATAAGGAAAATTCAATCTGTATTTTCATCGGTGTGACTCCGATAGAAGCCAGTTAGAAAGCAGTATGAGATTATGTTCCTCCATATAAATGTAGCTATTATTATCCTTTATAGGGATCCGGTAACTTTGTCTCAGATTCTGAAACAAAATCCCGGATTTAGCTCATGCTGCAATGATAATTATAAACCCTTAGGTCGGTCAGGAACCCCATGACTTTTACAAACCGATCGCCTGTCTGATTAACACAATATTTATGATTGGAAATCGAAACCAAAATTTGTGTTTTCCTAATGGTTTTCGTAACACTACAGTCTATTGGGGAAAACAAGTACCAGTACATGGTAAAACCGGTCACTCAAAGATTTTTACTTTTTTGAGGCACTTCTTGATCATTTTGAAGCGCAATTTTGTTAGGGCTTCAATATTACACCATATCACAGACACTGATAACACTTAGGGCCGTGCATCTCAGATTTAACATTGTTAAACGATGCCTTTAATATTATGCTGTATTTCAACACGAGATAAGAAAATTGTTCTTATATATCCAATGTGAGAAAAGGGACAAAAACCTTTCAGATTCAATTGCAATTTAGATATCACTATTTCCTTGTGTGAATGTGTCAAATGGAGTGGAATAGAAGGTGTGTGGGTTGATCAAGGAAATCAGCAAGGTCATTGTTATCTGAACAAGGTTCCTGTCACGTGAATATGACTGTGTCTCGCCGCATTTATGACAGCTCTATCTCCTAAAACAGTGTCACCGGCCTTTTAGAAACAATGTGATTATTCTCACCAGTTCTCACAATTTCTCATCGTCTCTCTTTACAGGGCCTATAGATCTGAGTACAAAGTCTGATGTGCATGTGCAGAGTAAATGCAGAGGATTATTTTAGTACCTGTGAATGTATCTATATGTAGGTAATGGATTAATACCTACTGTAATGGTACATTGTGCAAACATCAGGTGACCAACAGATAAGACACAAACCCAGACCCAGTATATTTTTTTTACTAAAGGTAAGTCCATTTCCTTTTTCTTTCAAGTATACAGGGTGAAAAAAGGGTTTTCAAATAGAAATGTAATTCATGGTAATACATACCATACTGTAAACAAAAAACTTTCACATGCAAGAAACTTTTCTATATTTCACAAGTGATTCATGTCTCATATACTTCTAAATATATGGGGTGCACACAGGGATACATGGTACCTTAGTATGTTAAATTGTTAATTAAGACATACATGTACTGTAAGTTTGTGAGTACTCCATATTCCTAGAAGTTGCATGCTCCAGAATTCCAGCATCAAAACTTTTTTGCTGCAAAATTGTTGTGATATATAATTTGAGAAGTTTTTCTGGTTTATGGCCTCAATACACTTTACTGTAAGGAGAATGTACTTTAAGTTTGAATCTACTTTTACTAACTACATGTGTATATTTCGATGAAAATGAATAAAAACTTCCATGTGAAGTGAAATGCACATAATGTGATGAGAATTGTAAATCTAAATGTTGTTATTGTCATACTACATACTGTATCTATGCCATGTACATTCAAAGTCAATTGAAAACCATGTTCATTCAAAGTCAATTGAATACCATGACATTTAAAGTCAATTTCAATTTTTGAAATTATCAAAGATATAGAACATCGTTTTATTCTCTATTGACAGAGGAATTCATGCATGCTGGTCAAAGAATATAATTGCCCCCAACACCCTGACCTGAAGACATCTCACAATCACCATGTCAACCCCAGAAGAGATGCGGGCCGAAAGGCAGCCCTTTCTGCATAAGTCACAAAGTCTGAAACCACAGGTAGACTTCCCTGTTGATGGTCACGGCAATGAGAGTCTGGAGAGAGGGAGACAGGAGGAGGAAAGGAACGCTAACCTGACCCTGTCGACAGAGTCACGCCTCTTTACCTCACATTCAACCACGTAAGTCCTTATGCCTCTTATTCAAGATTACCGTAATTAACGTTGTATAAACCGCCCTCGTGTATTAACCGCACCCCTCTTTTTCGCCCTTACAAAAAACAAAAAAAAATTGCTGAGATTTTTTTTTGTGTGTGTAAGATCATCGATGTAAATTAAAAATTGGTAGGGGACCTAGGATAGAACCTTGTGGTACGTGTAATAGAAGAAAAATTGGAGGAATTATTATTATAAACTAATGTACATATTGAGATCTATCAGAAAGATTACTTTCAAACCAAGATGACAGACAAATTTGAGTGTTGTTCTAGTTTCCAATTGGTGAGTCAACACACCGATTACCGAGCTGGGAGACATTGCCAGGCATAGCGCCAGGTGGAGGGGCATAAATCGAAACTTTAAACAAATTTTTTGGTGTACCATGTATTAGCCGCACCCCCGACTTTGAATTTTTTTCGGCAGCAAAAAGGTGCGGTTAATACACCGTTAATTACGGTAGAATAAATACAGTCATTTCAACCTGCTTTTTAGATAGCGACCACCTGTATGGAAAGACTACATTTCATTTTCCCATACCTTGAATACCATTTCCCATCAAAACATGTACTAAGGGAACTTGTACAAAAAAAAGACTACATGCCTGTTAAGACCACTTTTCTTTTCTTTATGACAGGTTTCGCTGTATCAATGATAATAATGCACATTTGTATGTATCTTCTTCTAATTCTTACCTGAAGACAGTCCTGTTCAAAAGCATTACAGTAATTACAAACACATTTTGTCCTGTTGTCTTTTTTTGTAGTTTTACTCCTAGATGGTGCAATACAATTTCAGGGGCAAATTTGAGGTTACACTCATGTACATGTGTACTCGGTACTACTACTAGACTCTTGTGCACATATATTATAGATACTCATACAAGTGTACCGGTAGCTCATAAAATTGTTCAAATCTTTTAGTTGCAAGATTTTGCATTTACTTTTGTTTTAATTGAACAAATTGTCATATGAAGTAAAAGAACACTCTACAAATACATGTACATGAGACTTAGTAAATATTCTCTTTTAATCTTCATTTACACTTCCATTAAGTCCTTTTCCAAGTAAACTAACGTAAGTATTCATTCAATTAGCAATATATAAAACTGAGTATTATTATTATTATTATTATATTGTACAATATATATTTCCGTTTGTACTTGATTCACCTTCAATATCTGCATCATTTTTTAAAAAAAATTTGTAATATTATAAGTTTCTTTCTTTACATGTTACACGCAGACAAAAAAGCAACTGAAAACATCTTAAAACAGAATTTAAAATAGTTATAGAAATCTGGATTGCTCTTTATACAAAAGTTTTTGTTTTGTTTTGTAGAATTCATTCAAGGATGATATGCAGCAACTAGCAATTTCATTAATGAAAACAAAATCTGAATATTAGACAGGCCTCTCTCATGTATGATTACTGTTGAATAGTGATTACACAAATAATATTGCTGTAAATGCATTGCACAGAGATGCGCAAATATGTATTAAGTGATTCAAATCAAACTGCAGCTCTTAGAGTTGCATTGTGGGTGTTATTGTTTGTATCTGTTGATTCAAGTAACCAATCACATAATAGTTTGACTGGCTAGAGGCACAAATTTGTATGTATTTGGCTCAATTTTATGATAACAATCACTATATTTTGCAAAAGCACGCCTGTCAGAAAAAATTAGAAAAAGAAAGAAATTGCACACAAAAATTGATAGTAACAATGTGATATATATGCATGTGAACTCAAGCTGGTTGATTTTTAATTTTTAACAAAAACGTGCTCTTGTAAATTTGAATTTGATTGAAAAATTATGGTTATCTGAAACTCACAGTGAAATAAATAGCAAGGTTATTATAGAAACTACATGTACATATACATATCAGGTTACATTTTGTTCAAGACTATGAAATAACTAGATATTGCAGACAACAAGATCTATAATGGCGAAACTATTTTGATTTGGGGGATACATGCACTATACCTTACATGTATGTATCATGTTATTGTTATGTCTAGGATTTTCTTTTGTTCCATACTACTTTGAATAGCCACCTATGAGTTTTACATTTTATCATTTGGTAAATGGGTTTATCATTTTCATCATACATGTACTTTTCATTTGATTTATTGAAGATATAAAACCTCTTTTAAAATCAAGGCTCTTTTATGACATATTTAGCTTGTCCGTCGTATTAAGAGATTTAAATGATTACAACCCGCAAGAATTTTTGAAGGGCCTTATTTTATTTACAGTATCTCTTCTCGATGTTTACAGGCAAGTCACTCTCAATCTAGTATATTTTATCACATTATGTCTTCTCATATCTTCGCTACCAACCATTTCTATTTTGGAGGAATAAATCCTTTTTTTTTTGCCTAAATGATCTTGTGAACCCTAGATTCCTCTCATTTTCTGAAAAACCAGTATAAAAAGTTAGAAAATAGAGCATATTCTTAGTTTTGCCTTGTGAGATTCCTATTTTTGACTGTGAAAGTTGAATTGGCGGGTGTTCAATAGCATGTGAGATGACGAGCAAATATATTCCATTTTTCTGAAGGACCATAGAAACTAGGAATAGAAACATACCGCTAGTTTTATTTTTGCAGACAAGGATGTCTCCTGAAGGCCTTGTTAATAAATAAATATTGAAGGATAATGAAGTGTGATGTAGCCATAAATATCTCCTTCATCAGTCTTGGTTTTCTCTTCAACTAGACTTCAAAATGACTTTACAAAATTATAATTTCTAGAGTATGATTTTACTATTCTTGGATATATATACACATGTAGTGTAATTGCATGAGAGCCCAAATGAAATACAACTTTCTGTTTAATGATTCCCTATGATATACAAAATAAGTGGTGTAGTAAGGGGCCCAGGAGGGGGGGGGGGGATCTATTTATTTTACATTTGTAATCATTTCTTTTCATCAAAGAAGAAGGATCATAGTTAGCCATTTATATCTCAGAAAACTTGTCTTTCTCATATACAGGTCTGTAAGTGTAGAATTGTTTGGTACTGTTTGCACAGGGCAGATGGTAATTTGTTCTCTATTTGCAATTCAGTAGAATACTATTGAAACTAATCATTAGAATGAATGTAGGTGTGATAGCCGTAAATATCCACTTGATTAGTACTTTTGGTTTCATAATGTTTTGAATCATTTGAAAACACTTCTGTAGAAGGTGATTTAGAGACAGGTTCAATTACATATCCTGTTTAAAGATGATGAATAAAAAAATTAATCAAGGAAACACATCAATATATTGCTGTATCTGTGAGAGTGTGAAAAGAGACAATTTGCAAGTGATGCAATGCATTAGAAATTGATGTTAAAAAGGGGCACATACAGTATCAGTTAGATTAGTTTCATATTGGAGTTTTGAACAACCGTTTGGTTTAACACTTTATGCACAGTTCACACCGACGCCGAATGTCGCGCTTTAAATCGGCGATCAATTCGGCGTCACTTTTCAAAAAATCTCACGATCTTCTCAGATATGTTATGCTCTGACATCTTAACAAAGCGTGTCAATTGGTGACAGAGCGTACAAAGTGGGGTCACCGCTTTGAACCAAGCTCTGTTAAGCTTTCCTATGCTTTGAGCAAAAATTTGATAAGCTTTGTGATGCTTTGATAAGCTTTAATACGCTCTCCCCGCTTTACGCAATTCGTGACAGATCGCCTCAAATTTTTAAACAGTTTAAAAAAATTTGGCGCTCTTGCCGAATGTCCCGAATTGCTCAAAGCTTTCTCATGCTCTATTACGGTCTTTACGCTTTAATTAAGCTTTGCTATGCTTTGCCGTCGCTTTGCTCGCCGATTTAATTCGGTGTCGGTGTGAACTTAGCATTACAATTGTTAAAAGGGAGGATGATTTTGATTTATTTTTATTTCAGATTTGAGTACCGGTAGAATGTCAATGTCTTCAACATATATTTTCTTATACACCCTGCCTGGGCATATACATGTATGTAGATTTGACACATTGTCATATTGTCCAAAAAACAATACATGTAGTCATGTACCTTTGGTTTTCATGTCCTATGGACCTATGATTTCAAGAATACTATACCATTAAGCCATAAATGCAAGTACAATGTACGCTATTAATTTTGTTGACTTGAGTTGACCTTGTTATTTCTTTGAACTTCTCCACAGTAATGGCCAGACATTGATGCATGTGATCAAAGGAAGTCTGGGAACAGGCATGCTGGGACTTCCTTTTGCCATCAAGGAATGTGGCATTGTGGTAGGTATTACATTAGCTTGGGGTAAGGGAGAGGGGTTGAGGGGAAGAAGGTCTCTCTAGGCTACAACCTATGAGACCAATGGCCCAAAAGACAGGCAGCCCACAAGATCGACAATGACAGTCTAGCAAACTTTCTAAAAAGTTTTGAGAAGGCCCAGGAGACTGACATGTTTGTAGGTTGCGCCTTCTGACAATTTTTTATGAGGCTTCACCAGGGCCGCTTCTTATAAATTTAAATTTATTTGCAATTGATATCAATCGCAACATAAGATTAATTTATTGCAAATATTGAAAAGATGGGGCCGCGGTCTTGTGTGCTGTCAGTTTACTACAGTAGGATATCTGGGTCTGTAAAGTGGGTTCTGTGCTTGCTTGCTCTTTAGTTAGCACCTCCATAGTTTTTTGTATGTTTGTTCTCATGTGTACAATTTAAAATATATGTCGTGTTCTGTTGAGGGCCAAAAGGGCATTACACTCGGTGTATATGGAAAGGCTTACATACACATGTATGCACTTTATGTAAACACACTTTTGTTTCTCAGTATGTGATAGAATTGATGTGTTTGTTTATCATCCAGTGTACATACAGCATACATGCCAACTGTTCAGATTAAAGAGGAACATTCCTCTTTTTGGGAGAAGATAATTATCATTTTAATGCAGGTGTTCCTCTTCCTGTACAAATTTGTCTGTAGTATTGAATAGGAGAGTTAGGATTGTTCCTCTTTTTTTTAAAAATAGCATAATTTGTACAGATTTCTGATTTTCAAATGTTGGCATGTATGATACAGGCATGTATGAAACAAGCGGTGTTGGCACTGAATGAATGAATGTTCATTTCTTTTAACAAGAATCATAAGTACTCTCTTGGTAGTGCAGTATCAATAACTAAGAGATTACATTTATACTAAAGAAGTCATTTCAGATGAATTACATACCATTGTCACTACCCATCACTTTTTGGACTGTAATTTTCAAAGTGGGTACATTCAATTTTTTAATTTTTTTGGATTTAGTCATTCAAAATGAAATAGTACCCTTCAGATTCATGTAATACGAAGGGTTCTCATTGTACAATGCATTTAAGTTTGAGTGGAAGACAGTTGCTGAAGTAGGGGCTCGAGTGTGAGAACTACAGTGTGTTTACTCCATCTGATGTTGATGATTACATATCATGTGCAAATACTGATAAGAGCTTGTAAGAGAAAAATTGAAGGAGATAAAAGGCCATTGTGTGCAGGAATGAAACAAATGATTAGGGCAGTAATATATTGAAATTGTTAATGCCTTTACAGTCAACAACTAAATTATTCGTACCCCTTGTAAATTTGAGGTTTTTTTGGTTTTTTTTTGTTTGTTATTCAAGAATGACAGGTGGAATCGTTAGAATTAAGGCTTTTGTTGAATATTTTTAGATGTACACTTTATTATGTCACATCTCAAGAAACACAAATCGGGGACAAAACAATTTTTCACAAACATTGAAAAATAGAAAACTTGGTAAGGGTATGAATAATTTAGTTGTTAAGTGTAGAAAATGATGACATTTTCGTGTTTGTGTCTTTCTTCTGCCAAGTGCATTAGAAATATACATTTTCAGATAAATCCAAGCATTAGCTTTATAGACATTTTAATTGTGTACTGTAGGATTGATTTCATGAACATGTAAGGTAAATAAAAACACATAGCAGACTACAATTACATATAGAAAGGAGTACACCCACTATTAAAGACAGGTTTGAAACATTCAGTAGCTTGAATGTTGTTTACTTCTGCCATTTGAAGGTCTTTCAAACCCATGACGGTAAAAAAAAATAGAAATATGTTGCTGGATAAAATTTTGAATTAAGTGCTTTATATTTCTGTATCTTAACATACGATTCAGTGAGTATGCATATGGCCTGGCAATTGTTGCATGAAGCTATACTCCCCCCCCCCCTAAGGAAATATTGCTTCTTTTGCTTCAATTTTAAGCGTTTGTTGCAGTTTTTAAGGCAGTTTACAATGTCATGTCTGAAAAGGGTTTTAAAGGTAAAGACCAGTTTTGGAAACGCCCCAATTTCAAAAAATTAAATGGAAGCTCTTATTACCAATCATGTGAAAGAATTATGTTTTGAATAATACATGATGATAAAAAAATTGCCGGGAAACCCCCCTACTAATTGATATATTTGGTAAATTAGTTTATCTATTGGTGTGTGAGAGATAAAAACGCACATGTCGCGCAAGTGTGCGTAGTCCTATATACATCTTTCTGTGTACAGTGCTTGTAACTTTATGAAGACTGGGCCAAATGTTGTATCATTTTGATGATTCCAGAACCTTGCAGTACATCTATGCTAGATGATCAACCTTTTCTGATCGATTTCACTACGTTTCTTTCACAATGTAATCGCATGACCATAACTGGTCTTTATCTTTAAAGAGTTTACGGATTTGCATGCTCTCACCTTGAATGTAAGCAATGTTGTAATACATCAGTGAACATGTACAGTATGAACTAGTGTGATACTCTTTAAAAAGGATCCTAACAATTATGTGGTATATTCATTTTTTGCTATTGAGACCTCAAATTTGTAAGTGGCCTTGATAGGCCCATGTATTCTGTATCTCATACTGTACATGTACATTGTATGTACGCTGGTATGAATCATGCTCTGTGTACAGTGACCTTGACAAAAAGTTCAACATGAAATCAAAGTCCAAGATCATGTCCGATTGCACAGGTCTTTGCTGTAATTAAAACACTTTAACCTCGGCGTCTAGAATTTGTGGAATCCCTCTTAATTAATTTAGGTATTTATTTGGAATATTTCTCTCTAATAATGCTGTGTTTTAAAGGAGACGAAAGTGTGCTGTCCAAACAATGTTAGATGTCATATATCTCTAGATAAAGAGAGACAAATGAATGCAGAAATCTAGCAAATGATGATTTAGCCTGCATGCATATATGGCTCTCAAAAGTGGGGTTCAAATATCTATAGCCCAATGCAATTTCAGTGGCCGGTGAATCCAGCATAGGATGGAGCTGGATGCACCCCCCCCCCCTCCAACACCACCCCCCCCCCTCGTAAGCTAAGAAAAAAAAAACTAGATCTTTGAAATATGCACGTGGAGGCAGCTTTGATAGGTATAATTTGCTCCCCTGACAGGGAGAGATAATAATAATAATAATAATAGTGGCTACTTGTATAGCGCACAGATTCTATAGATTCTATAGATTCCACACTACTGTTTGTTTCAAGTATTTTTAAGATACAGTAATTTTTTGGGGCTACACTTTTCTTTCTGATACATAGACATTACTTTGGGAGAGTTTTTGCCTGTTTATTTGTTTGTATTGGGCCATCCACAGGCAGGCTTCCATTCTATTCTATTTGACTCTCTGGACATAACTAACTAATTCAATATTTGTATGACTTCTATTTTCACAGCTGGGTCCTCTCCTGCTCTTACTGATTGCCTTCATGGCTGTGCACTGTATGCTTATTCTAGTCAGGTCTTGCCACAACCTATGCAGCAGGTAGGTCATGACCTAGGTCAAGACTAGGGTCAAATATTTCAATGCTCTTTCATTGTCCAACATTTTAAAATCAGTTTACAAAATAGGAAATAGTGTGTGTACCTTCTTGTCAAGTCAAGCCACAATCTACGCAGCAGGTACATTTACATGTACATAAACAGTTTAAATAATCTTGCAGAAAATACATGTCTACTAATCAAAACACTACCTAAAATATACATGTATGTGGTTGTCCAATGAAGTGAAATGCATACCGGTAGATACATTTGGCCACTGTTCATCAGTGTGCATAGTAATTGATCTGTATGCACAATGTACATCTATTTGGAAAACAACTATATATAGTAGCAAAACACTTGAGTTATGTATTCTCTTTGACATTTAATACTCCAATGAACTTCATTTCCTTTTGAAATACCCACTGCTCTTTGCTACTTATATTCTTGGACATTTCAACCACTTCAAAATTCATTTGAAACATTGTGTATTTCCTTGTGAGGGAGTGACTGCAACTATTTTTGAATTCACATGTATATTCAATGTATGAAAAAAATTATCACTTAAAGCTCTCTCTCTCTCTCTCTCTCTCTCTCTCTCTCTGGCTTGCTCTCTTCCTCTCTGTCTCGCTCTCCAGAACATCTCACGTGTCTTTAGATTATGGAGAGGTAGCTGAAGCAGCTCTTAAAGTAGGCCGTATACCAAGGTGGCTCAGAGAAAGACCCGGTATAGGAAGGTAGGTTTGGGGGCAAGACATTCATTCTCATTTACCACTCTCCACCCAGGTGTTGAATGGGCACCGGTAGGAATAAATTCCCTGAACGCTAAAATCAAATCAAACCAAAATCAATTGTCTCATGGTATATTGGAGTGCCTTGAGCACTTTGTGTTATCAATGTTAGTGCTGTGAAATGTCCAATACTTTGATTATAGTTATTCGGTACACTGTAGATACCATATTTTGTACCCGTTCTATGAATCATTCCTATTCTATTCAACTCCCAAAATCTTACTTATGCATAAATGGAAGACTTTTATTACTTGTAAATGTTGAAATGTAATGTGTACCAATTCAATTGAGATTGAGACCATCAGAAAGGATGTGAGTCCTCCTACTCTATTTGATCAGCCTCTTAAACTACTTTTATAAAGGTAGCATATCAATGTTGTTGTTCTAAACTTCCAGCTATGAATCTGAATTTACATGTATAGCACCTAATAGGAAACATTGTCTCTAAGCACTTTACAGGTTATTTTTACCCCTTTTATTTCTAAAAAATGAAACATACACAGATTGGTTTATCATTCAAAAGTAATATGACATACACAGTCCTTGGTAGTATACTACTGTAGTGCTGTGTGTTTTGCAAGATGGGGTTTGCATCATTATATTTAACTGTCGCCTGCTTGGAAAGGGATAATTGGAGTAGTATTCTTGACCCCTTACAGGATGAAACTAGATACCCAATACAAACCTCTTTGTTGAAAGAAGGGCAATACGTTGTTATTTTCAAGCCAAAAAGTACCGGTAGAATGAATTATACTGTATTTAGCAACGTGATAGACACATCCTGTTTCGGTTGCGTCGATATACTCAGGGTTAACTGTACTTCACCAACGTTTCTTAAATTTGGTTGAAATTAATAATAGCCTATTGGAACATGAAAATTTAGAAGTCAACAGATTCACCCCTTCCATGGCAGCTAATTTTTATGAGCAATTGTCAACATTTATATCTCAAGAGTAAAATGTTGTGTTATATACTTTGTTTCATTAATGGATTCAGGAGCATAAAATGGCCCCCATGTAATTTGACTTCATAATACAATATCATTATTCAGTTTTAGGAAGTTGAGATTTTAATTTGTGATTGTCCAACAACATTGGAGTTATTGTGTGTGTGTGTTTGTGAGGACCTTGGCATGAAAAGGGTTAGGGGTGTAGTGGTCTAGTGGATAAGTCACTGGACTGTAGATCACAGGGTACAAGTTCAAATCCCAGCTCAGTACTCATGTCCTTTGGTAAGACATGAATCTACATTTGCCAATCTCCACCCAGGTGTTAAATGGGTACCAGTAGGATGCAAACATTAATGAAGTTTGCTCAGCATTGTGATTGTCTGTAAAATAGTGCCCAGTGAGTAGAGAATATGCATACATTGTGTGCAGGCAATCCTGATTCTTATGAACGGGCTAAAATTATATCTGTAAAGCCCTTAGAGACATCAGTGTTTTAAGTGCTATATAAACACAGAATATTATTATTATTATCATGTGATGGAAATTAATTTCCCTGTGGTCTTGCTTCTTTTTTGTCTTCCCATGCAGGATAGTGGTGAATGTTTTTCTTGTTATAACACAGTTTGGATTCTGCTGTGTCTACTTTCTTTTCATAGCAGATAATATACATGCGGTAAGATTCTAGTCTCCTTCATTAACAACACCCCCCTCCCCCCCCCCCCATTGTTATTTTATGAAATTATTATTAGTACAAAACACAAGGAAATTTGTTTGCAAAGGAAACAGAGTTTCTAATTTGGAATATATCAAGTTCAACTTTAACAACTCATAATTGTCATCACCCTTATCAATTGTCCTCAAACTGTTTTTCTTATAATTCTGACTTCATTAAAACTATAACCTGGATGTCAGGGTTATTTCCCTTAAAGGTACCATGTCCGATTTGCACGCCCCAAAAAACGAAAAGGTTGAATTCCAATGGCATTTGAAAGATAATACTAATTTAAAACTTCCCTCAAAACGAAAGGGCTTGATATTGTCTGTTTGTGGGAAAATAAGGAGCATTAGTTCTTGAATCAACTTTAGTGATTGTAATCACTTTAGTAAATAGTTTCATTTTCAGACCCTTGTACCAAATGGCTGTATGTTTTGTGCTGCGAAAAGATTCAATCAGTTTAATTTTGGCCATTACAAGAAGTGGGTTATTAAAGTAGAAAAATGTTCATGTACCTGTACAGCTCACTTTTTGTATGTTATTACCAAAGAAAGAAATTCACAGCTAGGACATACGTATCATATTCAATATTCCTGCAAAGTTCTACAGAATTTGATGCTGGCTGCAAAAGGGATACACTACCAGTACCTTTAAAGGTTAATCCAGTCTCTGTTGATCTTTTTCATGGTTATAAAAACTTGAAAGATATTTCCTGTCACTGTTGTTAAATATACTGGTACACTGGTTCTTCTGTTATTACTCTCTTGAAACCTCTCCTTTCTAGCATCTCTTCAAGAGCATATCACTTACAAATGTAAGGTATGAAAATATTGCTCCCTCTTCCACGTATTTCAGTGTATGCCCATCTATGATTGTACATTTCATCCAGAACCTTTTTTCTTTTTTCTTTTTTGACATTTATCTTTTTGGTTAAAAAGTTGTCTGTGTATTAAGAAAAGGAGGGTTGAACAGTGAAATATTTAAAATAAATAAATTAGTTATTACATAGTGAGGTTCATTTTAGGGGCAATAGATGGATATTTGCTATGTAGCCATTTTCATTACGATATTGTTTGTCAACATAGTGAGCACTGTTATTAGCCCGCAAGACTGTATTGTTTCTCCCCTCTCAGGTATATGAACAGTTTTATCCGCACTCTGTGCCTGATGAAAAGGTATTTGTTCTGATGGTAGCCCCAATGATCATCTTGCTAGTCTACATCAGAAACCTGGATGACTTCGCCCCTCTATCGACCATCGCCAATGTCCTCTCATTTGTTGGAATTGCCATTTTATTTGAGGTATACATATATATTTACATGTAGGACAGTTTTAATGTAAAATGTAACCTGTTAAGATTAACAACATTGGATCAGCAAGAGCAGTGTTTTCAGTCTGTGAAGCTCCCAAAGAGCTCAGAAATATGAAATTACAAGAACAAAATTATAAGAGGTTATATTCTAAAATGTTATTCTGTTTTATTTTTTATAATATATGTTCAAATTACTCCATCTTTCCTTGAATTTTATGGAAAACAGTTTTCAATGACTCAAATACATTGTAGTCTGTTTTCACTGTGGCCAGATCATATATTTGTTTGTAGTCAACAGTTTTTTGTTTTGTTGTGTACTCATGAAGATGGAATTATCTGATATGCTTTTCATGATAATGATAATAATAATGATGATGATGATGAAAATAATGATAAAAATAATAATAATAAAAGATAACAATACTATTTTCGAATTCTACGCAACTGTACATTTTCTATTTTCTTATATTATCTTATTTTTTTATGTTATTCCACTATGTAAAAACGATTTATATCCCTGTTTTCATATGAATATGTCATTGTATGTTTGCTAATGTGTATTATCTATTTGTGTATATTATTTTCTGTTGTATATTGTTCATGTGCCTAATGGAATGCCAACAACTGAATTTCCAAATAGACCAATAAAATCAATCTGAATCTGAATGAGCAAGAACTTTGTCATTAATGTGTCTTTGTTTATCATTTCTTCATTTGTCCATATCTCTCTTTCACATTTAGTATATGCTGACACATTTTGGCCATGGTAGTGGAAAAGCTCCGCCTTTTAAATTAAGTGAGCTGACTTTTGTTGGTGATGTAGGAGGCATCGCATTCTTCTTTGGCACTGCAATGTACTCATTTGAAGGCATCGGTGTGGTGAGTGAAACATTGACATTTTCCATTCTTCTTCTCTTCTCCCATCTTCTCTCTAAACGCTATGCTTACAGGCACTTGAACTCAATTGTGACCTCTTGGTGACCCCATAGTTAACTTGACAAATTACTTGATGAGGAGGGTGCTCTATTTGTACAGAAATTCAGATTGGAGTTGGAGTTTCCAAAAAACTTGTTATTCTTTTATCACTTTAATAGCTGTGTACCAATTGAAAATGTTAAATTGAACTTCCTCTTGAACATTTTACTTACGTTTTCTGCGTAGATGCTTTCATTAAAGAAATTCACTAGGCAGATTATTATCTTTTTTTAACCATAATTAAATGAAGATCTGCGAGTGGACCATTCCTTATATGAAATGTCCAGTGACAATATTGGGGTCAATTTCTTACATTTTCCAAATGTGCAACTTTCGTCATGGACCTTATACTATGCCTCACCGTAACCATAAACCTAAACCTAACCAAAGGCATTTTTGCAACTGTATTTCCTCATATTCCCTAACACAAAGTTTTTATGAAGCCTGTGGGATGTTTCACAAAGATCCTAAGTTGAACTCAGACATAAGTTGGACTTGACAATTATGGAAAGCCATTAGCATTTTGTTAAAATTTTATAAAAGTTATTTTAAAGGGCATAAAGTGTTGATTCAAATCATTCATATTTTCTATTATCAAGGAAATTTCATGTTCCTGGTATGGAATTTATGAAAAGTCTAAAAAACTTGGATTTTTGCTTTTGAATATACTTTATTTGAAGGCTACAAATGGCTCTCCATAACGTTGAAGTCCAACTTAGATTTCAGTTCGACTTTGGATCTTTGTGTATCACCGCCCTGATCAGATACTGCAGACTGAAGCATATCTACTACTTGTGAACTATACCAATCAAATGTTAACTATAGAAACAATTTTAAATTTAGGAGCTTACTTTTGCTTCTACAAGTATATCCTAAGTGTGTACTACTGTTAGCATGTACAAGTAGCATAATAAATGCTTATTTATTATTAAACGGTAATACAACTGAAAAGTCATTAACAGAGTAATCCTCAAACCATTTTGCTTGTGTGTTGTGCCTAGGTATTACCGTTAGAGAACAAGACTCAGCACCCAGAGGACTTTCCCAAAGTGCTCAAGATCGGGATGGTGGTAGTAGCCTTCCTCTACATCGCTACAGCTACCTTAGGCTATCTATGCTTTGGGGATGAGCTAGCAGACACTGTCACAATCTATCTTCCTGATAATGGGTGAGTTAAGTCACGGAGTGTTGGCTCAGTCAGTAGAGCGTCCGCCTCACAACCGGGAGGTCGTGGGTTCAATCCCCGGCCGTGTCATACCAAATGACGTTAAAAGATGGGAGTTGCTGCTGCCTTGTTTGGCGTTCAACAATAAGGGATAGAGCAACATTGATCTGGCGCTGCTCAGTGGCTGCCGGGCTCACGATCAATTGGGCAAAAAGAATTTTCATTTCGGTTTAATAAAATTTGGAGTGGACTAAAAGATTATTATTATTAAGTCAACTCAATTTTTATTTTAATTATTTCATAAAAATCACATTATTGAATATAAACATGGGGATATTCAAAGGTTATAACACCCTAAATATTCAATGGCTTGAGGTAAGAGGGGGATTCATAACAGAAATGGCAATGTAGTGATGAAGCATATATATAGAATAGGGTATGGCATCAACAACATTGGTATTTATGATGATGTTGATTTATATTTCAAATCATAGTGCAACTGCTAAACCGAATGCCCACGTTCAACAAGTGAAATTGAAATACTGTTTAAAGGTTGGACATGCATGCTTTGTCAAAAGTATATCCATCTCTTTTAGAGGTATGAAACAGATATTCAAAGCAAATTAAGCAATTAAATTGATATTCTTATTGTGAACAATCGGTAAGTTTGTAAATGCTACTTTCATTAGCCAGCTGAAGCAAGACAAAGTTCCTAAAGCCATCAGAAACTTCACAGCGGTGTTCATGTGATTTATTAATGTATGAATCCCATTGTTTTTCATTCTTCTTTAATAGTTTATATACTGCAACTAAGCTGCTTTTTGTTGGTGCCATCTTTATATCATATGGACTACAGTTCTATGTACCGCTCAGCTTTGTGTGGCCTCCCATAAGAAATAGGATACCCCAGGAGAGATACCACACGCTGGCTGAGTATGTCTTCAGAACAATAATCGTCCTTATCACAAGTAAGTTACACTCTTTTAGGACAAAATGCTTTTAAATATGATTCAGGAATCCTTTCTTTCTTCTATAGATCATAAAATAATTAAAAGCAGGTTAGAATTAAGACACTTTTTCATTAGTTGTTCTTTCATTTGTAGAGAAGTTTTTGGTCTTGATACTTGTGAGACACTTGAATTTTTATCCATGTTGATTACCATATAGAATGGTTCGATAAAAGTTTAAATTGATGCACATTGACGGTGAAACGGTAAAGGTAAAGGATTATAAATGGATTTCTTTAAGTTTCTTCTTTTTCTGTTGACCAATATGTTTGTAGAACATAGTACCATAGATAATTGATATACATGTATATGGAATATTCATCCTTTTTCCACAAATCAAATGTGAAGTATGTGGATCTTGTGCTGCCACCATTTTGCTTTGCTCAAATTTACTCAAATTTACTGCAGCTGAAACCTTGCAAGTATTTTGTCATTTGTCAGATTAATCAATCCAACACTTTTTTTTTCGGAGGGGGGGGGGGGGGGGCATTACCAACAGTATACAATGGTTATTCTCACACCTAATTATGGCCAACACTATATGCCATTATAAACTGAATTAAATGAAATATTGATTTCTCTTCTCCATGCAGTGACCCTTGCCATTGCTATCCCACAACTTCCTCTCTTCATCTCCCTGGTCGGAGCCATGGCAAGCTCCACCCTCGCCCTCATCTTCCCTCCTGTCATAGAGGAGCTCACGTTTAGTTACCATGGATACGCATCAAAAGCATCCATCCTCAGACTGGTTAAAAACGCTTTCATCTGTTTATTTGGTTTGATTGGATTTGGGGCAGGTACATTTGTTTCTATTAAAGGTATTGTAGAAAAGCTTTGAAAATATGAACAGTACATGTACATGTAGAATATACATTAAAGCTAATCTTGAGCTCTGGTATGGGGATCGTATTTCGAGAGAAAATTGCTATGATTTATTCTGGATTGTTTATCCTGCAGTAGATTGGTTGTTTGAACCAATGAAATAAAGACATACGCACAAAAACGCATCATCTTTGATAAAAACCACAACTCCCATTTGCACATAGTGACCTGTGTTAAGCACATGGTGTTGGGCCTAATTACCGGATTTCCTTATCTTTTTTTGCTCATTACTCAGCCACTATACATTTTATTTGTAATCTTGAACATTCAGTGTATTAAAGCTTCATTGGATTCTTTGAGAATTTATTTTGTATATTTACCAGAACTCAAGTTTATCTTTAACATTTCAATGTAATACTTTGGATGAAGATCCAAAGTTAATATATTATACAAAATTATACACCGTCTTGAGAGGTTCTAGTTGAAACTATGGGCAAGAGGTGACTCCAATAGTACCATGTGCTTCGAGGCGTATATGCTAAGTGGCGTAGCTCCGAAGCAAATGGTACTATTGGAGTCACTGAGGCTTGTAGTTTTAACCAGTACCTCGAAAAGAAGGCATGGTATATTTTTTTTATATCTTGCATCCACAAATTATTTTCAAATTTTGAAAAAATATTTATATTTTAATAAATTTTTCTTTTTAAATGTATACAAAAATTTTAACATTTTACAATTTTACAGTTTTAACAGAATTTTAAAATTAAAAAAAATATATTAAAAAAAATGTCAACTCCCAAATAGTACTTCTACTCCTAGTATTAACCCCCAACTAGTACTTTTTCAGAGCAACCTTAACATAGTTGAAATATTTCTGGTCACGTGAAGAGCTCTCAACCAATCTAAACCAATAAACTTTTGATGCAGGATCTAAAACATTATGTTCTCATGTCAATTATGTATCTCTTTTTAAAATGTATTAATTGCAGTTGCATCTGAGTTGTTATTGTAGATACATGATCCACGTAATAAATAGGGTCATATGGATTCATTTTAATGATTATTTTTACAAATGTGAGGGTTCCCATTATATTACATCGAACTCCTCATGTCAGACATGTCATCTATCTATCGTCTTTGCTAGTGAAAATGCCAGTTGTCTGTAATAATACATTGTGTGTGTTTCTACGATGGACTTAAATTCATTTTAAATGTACCTCTTACCCATATGGCTCCTATGTGCATGAATACCGTGTATACAATCAATCCTATTAGGGTCTGTTGGATGGAGAGGATTATAATCAGCTATCTTGGCTGAGCTCTCAGGTCGAAAGTGATACCAGCTCTCAACTCTTAAGAAGGACCTGACAGTACTTATAAGAAATGTCTGAGGTTTAGAGAGTAATACACATTACTCTTCAGAGTATGTTGTAAAAATATCATCAGACATTTGCTATCCATGATAAGGCCATGAATCAAAAAGGGTCCTGAGTTATTTGGCTTGCAAGAATAGTAGGAGAACAAATCCTAATTTTGTCATAAAAATGGAATTCAGGGAGAACTGAGCACCATTTTCCTTGCTCAACTAAATTTGCAGAGCAGTCAGTAACCCTCCTTATTTCATTTTGAAAGCTCTATCCTCATTAGAGGATCTTGTACATGTATGATCTTGGTGTTGACTAGTACTTGAGAGAGAATTATTAACTTTTTACCCTAGTCTATATTTATCAGTTTTGTCTTGTTTTTATCTTTATTACATTGCAAGCCGATGCATTTTTTAAATTATTTTAACCAAATGCACTTTTAAATGAATTTTGTTTTAGGTTAAAGGGAAAGTTTTTGTCAAATGTTAGTAAGAAGATAATCTTAATGATATTGAAAAACTGCATACAATGTCAGTTAGTATAATTACGAGGGAGTTATTTAAGAGAGTATAATGAATTGCAAGGATCATTTTCCAGCATTTATGAGATGAAGGCTGAATGTCGGCCTTTACAGTTATCTTTGCAAAACAAGTTTTGAAGTCAAATGTATTGATGTGATGATGCATAGCTTCATGTAGCTACGATTCTGGAAAAGCATGTAACTGTAACATTTGAATACTGTATGCTTTTGGAACATTTTACTGGTAATCATTTCAAATTGTTGGAATATTTTGTAGAATGTACAGGGCTCATTTTGTTATACTCTCTTTCTTTTTCAAGGTTTTGATTAAAATGTGATGATAGTCTTCCTTTGTAGAGCTCACTATGATTCAGGGAATGGCATTGACAAATTAGGAACATTTGATTTGTCATTAAATTATGACAGGTGTTGTACATGGTTTTTAATTTTTTTTTTAGCATTCATGGGGTCACTTTTCCTAAATCAGCTTTCAAGTTGATATCCGTCTTCTATTCTTTTAATTGAAATTCACCATGAGTAATATCTTTCATGTTCTTATATCAAATATTATACAGTAATGTTGGCTGTAACAGTACCTCTCTGTAGATAACTACACTGTATACCAGGTATGAATGCAGTACTGAAATATGCACATATCTTAATATATTCAACTGTGTGAAAATGTAAATGCTCATTGTGAAAGCAGTAGCTTTCATATGTTATTGCATGGAATGTCTTTTTCCTGTTATACAATTTCTTTTTTGAAGTAACAGGTTTCAAATTACATATATATTTTGTGTGCAATGTCATTTTCTTTTCGTATAAGCATGTATACCGGTAGTCAGTTTTACATATATACAATGTACTGTATATTTTAAAGAGACATTTATTTTCCTTTTGTTACATTATCCAAAGCATTTTTTGTATAAGTTCATCTTGTTGGATTTACTTTTTGTTTGTGTTGTGTTGTAGAAATAATGTTATGTATTGTCATTTACTTCCCTTATGCACTTTATTTCATTCAAGAGTAACTTGAAGCAACTGAAGGACTTGTTTGAATACATGTGTGCAACCCAGTCTGAATGAAGATACAGATTGTACATGTATTAAACCACTTCAGCCCCTCTCCCCTCCCTCTTGCCCTCCTCCTAGTCTTCTCTCTCCCTCTCTCTCCCTCTCTCCCGGCCCCCTCTCTTCAATAGTATGTGTAGGTTTGATAATAACTCACTTTCAAACATACATGTATATCTTGTAAAACTCTAGTTTTTATACATGTATATCTTGTAAAACTCTAGTTTTTATACATGTATTATCTGTCTTTTAATAACATTGCATAACTGGGAGATTTATAAAATATTTTATGAGATTTTTGTCCATGGAATTGATTTCCTGAATGAATTTGTAAAAATATTTGAAATAAAACAATTTATTATATATTTCCAAATTTGTATGATGCCTATATTTCTTTATGTATGACGGTAGTTGAAGCAGTATTGCTGGAAAAGAAATTCTCACAATGAAAGTTAACCACAGTAAACACTATTCTTACAGCTTGAGGTTGGTAATAAGGAGTCAATCTTTTTCAGCCCTCATTAATTTCACAGCATTCTTAAATTATCCTCTTCATCATCAATGATCATCAATGATCAACAACGATCTAATTATCACCTTCATGATCAACATAATCACTAGCATCATAACCATCACCTACATACGAAGCCCTTGGTTGTACACTATAAAATATGTTGGAGACATGAACAGGACACATTCTGACAATATCACATTTATTTTTCATGACTTTCATGACTTGACAAATCATTTAAACAGAACATTTTCTACATACTGGAATTTGACATTAAATACATCATTTGATTCAAATTAAAAAATTATAAAGACAAATTCGGTTATCCTGAAACGGTAGCAGTACTTCTGATTCGTATGTCCCTAATTAATCTAAAATCATAACGCAACACTCGGCCACAAGTCAAATGAATCCATGGTTTGCTCAGCATTGACATATTGTCTGTATCAGAGCCAAAAGGTTGTTAACTCTGTGATAAAACTATATGAGTTAATGTCCTTCTGGTTCCAAACAGACGATACATAGATTACTGGGCATGTCCAGGCTATTTGTCCAATACGTTAAAAGATAAATGCATATTTCACTACTATGTGTATGTTAAAGTGACAACTTTACTAAAACTGGAATAGGATAAGAAAATTGTAAATCATATTCAATGAAGGATGTGATACACTGTATTACATTACGATAATCAAGCCCTTACATGACCATATTCATCTCTAAATATCTCATCATTTAGCATAAAAAAATACAAGATCTTGACTGTTGTATTTTCAGTGTTCAAATAGCAAAATCTCTGATTATATTTCTTATTGGTCTACCCACTTTTCAAGTTTCTCATTTATATTGATCGACTTCGAGAAGCATCAGCCCAACAGAAAACAATGGGAAACATTATCATACACCCCTAATCCATTTTCATGATACATGTATACAAGTAAAATTATGCAACTCATTAACATTTGGAGAAAATGCCCAAAAGTATTCACCGATGACAGATTTACGTGGCTTAGTACAAAAAGAAAAAGATCTTAGAGCAAAAGTATTGAAAAATTGTCACTGGGATACTGACATGGATAACTTGTTGCCAAGCGAGTTTTGCAGCATTTTCACCTACAGTACCAAAAATAGGATTTATTTTTTCCATGGGCATTTTGTGAGTGTTTGGAATACCAATATCATTCCATTCTCCTTTGGTACAATTAATACATAGAAACCCTGGAATTACAAATACAATATCTAGAAAATAATTATTTTTCAACAGAATATACAACAAAGCACAGAATTAAAGAACAACAAGTTTTTAATAATTACAAGAACTTCATATATCCAAAGCAATGAACTTATATTCTTAGTGACAGTCCGGATCATACAAAAATGTATTGGTACTGGCATACAAGTGATCAAAATTACATTTTAATTCCCTCAAGTCCAAAGGTGAATTATATATTTACAACATGTACAGAATATACTTTTTTAAAGTTAGCATTGGTAGAATATGTTTGACTGTCTATTCTGCATATATTGACCAGCGTTGGTCTGATTGAAAGTAGATTAATGTCGTTCATCTACAGCAGCAAAGGCCGACTTTGTACACTAAATACATGTGGATGTAGGGAGATCATTTGAGCAATTAAGGAAAAACTACATATGCGCAGACAAGAATGAAAAATTGTTCACTGAATTTGAACTTACTTCATGATTCCAGCTGAAGAAACAGAGTGACTTCAATATCGGGGAAAATTAGTTAATAGTTAACATTGGATAATTAATGACAAAACAAGTGGGAATATGAGAAAGTGTACCCTTTATGAAAGAGGATTTGGGGAATGATCTCGCACGTTTCCTCTCCATGACAAGTCTGATTGATTATAGAAGTACTTGCAACACTAAAGGATGACATTACCATAAAGCAGTTGGCCATTTACTAATAGAAGCTTGGAGAGAAAGAAAGTCAGCTCCAGTGGCCTCATAACCATTTCTGCTACTCTGATGTTAGGGGGTGACAGGCAAGCACTGCGAGCAGACTGCAGCTAGCTCCCACTCTCTACAAAGAACATCAACTGTAAAAGGGTTTGTTATTTTATAGAAGTGAGCTTTTTCATGGTAATCCAATACAATGCAGCTCTTGTGGACAACCATGTTTTGAAAGAGGGGAGATTGGTGACATGTAGAGCCCCCCCCCCCCCCCACAAGACTTCCCCCCACCTCACCTAAGAGCCTAGCCCCAGAGCCTGGAACCCAGAACCCAAAACCTTAAACACAAGGCCTAGAGCACAGAGCTCTGAGCCTGGTGACACATGGACCTGGGAGCCCAAATGGAAGGTTTGTGAAGTCAAGTGATGAGCCCCTGCGTATAGAGACAAAGGCAGCTTGATGACACGTGGAGAAAGGAGCCAACATAGAAGGTTATTGGACAAGTCTGTTAAATCACGCTGTGAGCTCCTGCATACCGATACAGCTCCTGGAGAAGGCCAACCTCTGCGAGGAGCAGCTTGGGAAATGTGAAACCAGCCAGGAGCCAGGAGCCCAAATAGCAATGGTTGAATAGGTCTGTAGCAGTAAGCTCCTACATGTAGACTCTGTACCTCCTAGAAAGTCACCCTACAAAAGAGGGAGACATAGAGAGGGAGCCAGGAGCCCAAATGGATGGCAGGTCTGTAATATCAGATGGTAAGCTCCTGATAATCTGACGTAGCTCCTGGAAAGTTTAATTCTCTACGAGAGGAAGCTGCGTATAATGGGGAGCCGGGAGCTCAAATGGAAGGTTTTTAGATGCTGTTGGTAAAGTCTGTGAAATCATGCAGTGAGCTCTTGCGTATAACTCCTGGTAAGCTGACGTAGCTCCTGGAGACTGTAATCCTCTGGAAGAGGGAGCTTGGTGACATGAGGAGCCAGGAGCCGGGATGGAATGAGAGGATTGAGTCCCCTGGTGGGTGAGGATCCTGCAGCACTAGCCAGACTCTCTTGCTGCAATGGAGAAACAAAGGGAAAATGGTATTGTTATAAAAGCACTTTCTTCAAATACCATTCCATGATAAGTTTTTACATGTATGATAAAACATAAACATTTTAGTTGTGAGATATTTAGAGATGAGATTGTGTTTTTCCTTCACTTTTGTTAGTTCCTTAATCTGTCAAAGATATAGTTTTGGGGAACCCCCTATTTCATACCACCTGCAATATCTCTGTAAATAAGAAAATTCTATACCTGTCATTAACAGAAATAGAATTGTGCAAAAAGATTGAACTTGAAGAAAAGATCACAGCCTCAATGTGTACATCATGTAGTGAAGCCCTGACTAAGAAACAGGTTTGCAAAAGTGTAAATTGCTCTTTGCTCATAACTTTCTGTATTTCTCGCATGGTTAACAACCAATCAAGGATTCAAAGTACAGCACAGCACTCAAACAACACTGCATTTGTGTTCATTTACCTGAATAGTGAGGACAGCTTTCATCATGTTGGCCGTCCGTTTGGCAATCTCCGAGCGGCAGACCCTATCCTTGACTGTCTGGCAGTAGACCCCACCCACACGCAGACATAGAGATGCTATGTCAGGGTGAAGCTTCTCCACCTCAAATGTTGTCGGCTCTCGTCTACCAAGCTCTTCCAAGCGCTACAGAAAGAAGGTACAGGGTTGGCTTTCAAATGCTTGATCTTGGCATGCAGAAAAATCAAGTTAAATTCTAAGCTTTAGATCTATTCTTTCTTCAAATTTTATACAACTATCAAGGCTGCCATTTTAAGGTCAACATCAAAACAAAATCTGAAATGTTGTATTTTTTTCTGAAGCATCATGCAGCACACATTCTCTGAATGCAAAACAAAAATGACATTGCATTCATTGTCATGATGGTAAGCTTACCAATCACATGTTCTTAGCCTTTGGGCTAGATCAAACTACATGAAAGTGCAATAGAGATCGGCTGTTACTCCTGAATAAATGTGATTAGGGGGGGGGGGGGGAAATCAACATCTCAATTTTTTTACAAAACCCAAAGCACTACATCGCCCTGTCCACCTGTCCTTACCTGATTAATATTGATGAAATCCAAGTAGACTTGACCATTGGTTGACCAATCCTGAATGAGCGCTGACCTCTCTATGTCACTCAGCTCGTCCAGTACTCCTTTCAGAAAACCATAACTCTCTGAAAGATAAACAAAACACACAAACTTGACTGAAACATAGAACCATAGGGTATGTATAGGTACCAATACAAGCTGCAGACTTTTGCGTTAACCAGATTATTGTTGTGCTCTCTCTCAGCCCACCAACCCCCCCCCCCCCCCCCCCCCCACCCCCTGGCTCTTTTAGGAATAAATGTGACTGCTCCGTCATGAAATAGGCATATTTTAGCAAGAACAGCAACCTCTATTTGCAACTAGTGATATATATAATCCTTTAATTAATTTGAACAAACCTTTCTACACTTTCTTAATAATGATGGAAATGGGAGTTACTTTTCACTATTGCCATTTGTCAATGTAAACTTGCCACTTTTGACTATGGTTTTGCAAGTGGATCACTGGTGGGAAGAAATTCCTTGAGTGATGGAATCCAGAGCCTTGTACCCTCCAGAAATGTCACTTAAACTGACCTATCAAATTCATTAACCCATTGGTTACAGGAAGTGGGTGGCTTCTGTGATATGCCTATAGGGATATCTGTATTCAGTAGTCAACAGATTAACTTACCATTGATAATAGCATCAGCTGCTATCTTCTTAATCAACACCATATGACAGTCATTCCATCGCCCCGCCCTTAAGAGGTGCCAGGCCTCCTCCCGCTCCCGGCCTTCGTACAGCGCCCTCAACGCCTTCGCATCGTGGATCCACTCCACAGGAACATTGAGCTGGATCAGGAAGCTCTCCTGAGCGGTCAGCTGGTCACCACTCAGCTCAAGGGTGATGTGACGTCCAAGGAGTGACCGTAAGAGATCCTCTCGGGCCAGGTCATTGGGTACATGGAGGAGGACGAAGGCTGACCAGTGCCAGAGACCGATGGATTCAAGCTGGGAGGCATAGCTGATGGTCAGGTGAGCCTGACGATGGGCAGAGAGATGACCGTAGCCTAAAGCTTGAAGGACCTGTAATGCATGCCAGCTAGAGTGACAAGAAAGAGGATAGTGTGAATCAAATACATTTTTAAAAGAATTTTGTAACATTGCTCCAGGATACAAATCTTTCCTGTGGAGACGTTTGAAAGAAGATTAAAAAGGATACAAACTTAATACTGAATGTATTTCCATCATTGACAGGAGGAAACCTATGTTTAATCTAGTCTTTCAACTGAATTATTTGCAAAGAACTGATGGGCCAACAAAAAGGTTGAATTTAGAACAAAATAACTGAATTGTAGCAAAAATCTGTGCAAAAGTAGGTCATTCTTTAACAAGAATAACAAACAAGTTTATGGAAGTATTTTCAATCACCTTTTTTTTCCTTTTACATCGAGGCGATATAAATCGAGATGTAATTCAGAAGTTTTTTTACAACTTTTTTTATTACTAAACATCACTGGGTTTGATGCCAAGAATTAACAAGGAAAGTCAACATTAACCTCTTCTAATTGGCAACGTCTGGAACTGAATTAACTACTAGAAGTCAACAAGAATTAACTAATCACTCCAATTTCTTAAACAGATCATTCAATCACAAAAAGACATGAGAATTCATACTTTAGAAAGTAAATGAAAAATACCAGTGTTGCCAATTCGAAGAAGAAAAGATTCTAAATGCCTGGTTTTAAAGATGAAGTGGAGTTCTGGTTATGCGATTGCATTGTGAAAGAAACGGTGTGGAATCGACCAGAAAAGGTTGATCATCTAGCACATAAGAATTTGTGTGTATTGCAAGGTTCTGGAATCATCAAAATGATAAGAAATTTGGCCAAGTCTTGGTAAAGTTACAAACACTGTACACAGAAAGATGCATATGGGACTACTCGAACACTTGGCGTAAAAATCCTACCCTGGAGTTTTACGATGTTACATGCCATTAGGCTTGGGAGCGAGAGCCGAGTACCCGACTCTAACCGATTCTGAAATCCAGAACCGAGGAGTCGACTCCAATCTCTAGAGAGTCGATTACTCGAGCACGTCGGTTCCGAGAAAAGGAGACTCGGTTCCAAGATGAGAACCGAGTCTTTAGCGCTGGAGTCGACTCCACAGCACCAAAATTCAAAGAGATACTTTGCAAAAGTGAACGAAGGAACATTGCCCGAACGAACTGGTGTCGATTCCACAGCACAGAGAATGAACAAAATCAGCTCTGTCAAAGCAGAATGCATGCGAGCGATGGGCGCACTAGCAGCATGCTGTTTTGATACACACATTTGTGTGTGTACCTCCTTCGTAGAACTGTGCATCACTGCTGCATGTTGTCTGTAACTGCCCCCCCCCCCCCCCAGCTGAACGTTTGACCTTTGGTGAATTGCGCAAGAGTCTTGGAACAATGGCCCCATTTTCTCTCCTCTTGGAGCGTGTGATCAAGGAGTTGATTCATGTTTTCTCTCGTGCGCACACTGATTTATGTGACTTTGTGTTTGCTCTCTCTCTCTCTCTCTCTCTCCCTCTATCCCTAGTCTCCCCTTCCCCTAGACATCAGACGTTTAGTTTTCTTCCTCAAATAAACTAAATCACACAACTCACAATTTTCTCCTCCTTTCTCTCCCTTGAATTCTCCTCATCAAGTTTTATTCTTCTTAAAAATAAGTTTGACAGGTCTACAATTTACATGTACATTCCCCCTCCCCCTTTATCTTGTTTCCTTCAGTTATTTTGTTTTCCTTACAAGAATAAATGTGGCAGGTCAACATCTCCCCTTCTCCCTTTCTCTCCCTCTCTAGCATCCCCTTCTGTTATTATTTTCGTCTCAAGAAAAAGTTTTGCAGATCTACATCTCTTTGTCTTGTGTTCTTTTTGGGGGTATTTAAACAAATAAGAATAATTCAGGCAAGTCAAGTGTCCCCTCTCGCTGTGGCATTAGCGCAATCTCTAATAGTGGCTGAAAATGCAGACTAGTTATTCTGAAACTAAGATCTAGCGCTGTTATCTGTTGTTTAGAAAGCACGTGGTTAGTAGTAACCATGGGAATGGAGTGCCACGAGCTGGGGCTGGGGTCATTAAAGTTTTTGGGTGGCATTAGGCGGGCGGGCGGCCATGTGAGCATGAGTTATTTACACTTAGCTCTCAGATAAAGGTTGGTCCCTGGGAGGAGAGCCAGCGGACCAGGCATGTTTCGGATACATTCCATTTATTTTAGGCAGGGAATCAGAATCTTTAGTTTTACATAATGGATTGTTTACCGTAATATTGGAAATAATTGTTCTGCATTTCTTACATTTTAGCAGTGTAAGTACGAGTTGATTATTCCATCATTCTATGTTGAAGTTTAGAATTTAAATTAGACCTAACATGTTTTTGTTTGTTTACATTGTTGCCAAGTTGCCATGAGTTATTAAATAATTAATTACTTTATTAGCAGTGGTAATGTTTTTTTCTCGATTTGATCGAAAGTAGTAAAATAAATCATTTCATAACTGTTTATGAAGGTCTGCACTTTGATCTTCTTTATATATTGTTTGCATGTAATTGCAGAGATATCATGAGACGAAACAGATATAAACAAAACATCAATTTACACACACATACATTCATACTTTTGATACTCATTTTTAAAAGTAAAGTTTTCCAAAAAAATATCTCAGAAAATCATCTGTTGCTATCGGTGCCACTGCTGAGTGGAGCCGACATGCACAGTACATAACATACAGTGTGTAAACACCTCCCTGGTGTGTGTGTGTGTGTGTGTGGCCTTTACAGCATTGTGGCTTCAATTACATGTACTGTATATGGCAGCCAGCGGGAGTCGATTCCACTTGGAACCGAGGCCGAGAGTGGGAACCGGAGTCGGTTCTCATCAACAAGGGAACCGCCCAAGCCTACATGCCATATTTAGAATATAAAGGCATTTGAAGAGCCATGCTTTTCAGGTAACATGTCTTATCTGATGTTCTTCCACACTTGTATAATAAACATGATAACGTTCACAAATTATTTTTCACCTCTTCCCAGAACTCAACCTTCTCTTTAAATACTGTTGACTCAGTGTTGAGCTCATATATAAACCCACCTGAGTCTATAGTCCAGCTGGTACTGCGAATGAGCCGTTGGAGCAAGGACGTTGTGCATGTGGTGCGTCTTGTCACAGTAGAGCTTCAGCAGATGATAGCACATGTCCCAGACAGGAAACCTATCTGGACTAGGCATGAGACCATCTCCTTCATCCATCGATTCTAAGGCACTCAGATCCTCCCTGTAGAAGCCAGGGTTACTCTCCATGTAAGGAGGGCGGGGCGGAAGGCAGTAGTCCCCAAGAGATGATTTGCCTACAATACAGGGATGGTAGTCAGGTTAAAAAAAGTAGAATATAAACTTTCCCTCGCTTCTACTAATAAATCTATACAAAAATTAAAGTCTGTATATTGAGGACTCATACAAAGTAATGTTATACAAGGAAAAGTATGCTGCAAGCTAGGAATAACATTGCAATCGTACAGTTCATTGGATGCAATTTTACAGGTCCTATCAGTCTTTACAAAATAAGAAATTATGTGATTGACATAATATAGAGAGATAAATGTAACATTGAAAAAGAAAAGTTGAAGTTACTTGTGGGCAAGAATCAAAATGGAAATTTGATACTTTAACATAATTTAAAGTATGTGAGCCCCATGAAAAAAAGACATGTAACTAACCCAAATCCATTGCAAGTCCTCTAAATCAATTATTTTGAATGTACAAGGTTGAAATCAATTTCAATATATTGTATAGACCAATATGATTAGTAAGCCCCTGGGATTACTTAAAATTATAAGATGATGACGTGGATCCTAATCAAATGATTGGTTGAAAGCCACACGTGACCAGGCATTTATTTTGCCTCACGCGTAATCGCGCGTAATTTGGGTAATGACCGGTCATTATCCAATGGTAATAACCGGTCATTATCAAAATCATGTTAGAAAACATCATTTTATAAAACAAATAATACACATCATTTTGTTCGGGCATTAGTAAAATTACCCACACTTGGTACCTTCAAAATAGTCGGACTGTTCCAAAGGTACCTCGTGTGGGTAATTCTTACTAATGCCCTCACTGATGTGTATTAGTTGTATATTGTAAACACATTAATATCAAAGTAAGGGCTATAACACAAATGAGTGGCATACATTCTGTGATAAAGTGAAAGTTACTGCTATTTTGAACAAGGTTTGCATTCTACAGGACAATTAACACCAAGTATCTATTAACCCTGGCACACCTCTAAGCCAAATTGCATTCTACTCACCAGTGAAGCCATCTTCAAATGCAAGCAAAGCATCTTTAATGGAAGCCTCTTGGGAGTTGTGATACCAGAGGTGCACTGCCAAGGCTCTCTTCCAGTCAAGATCTTCACAGATATTGACCCCTCCTCTAGATGACTGCCATACCAGTTGACCAGCAAGCAGCGAGTACACTTTCAGGTACTCATCAGCGATGAACTGATCAGCTCGTAGTTGCTCCCAGTGAATGAGCTGCGTCGCCACCAGATGGCGGGCTTCATGAGTGGCCCCAGCCTGAGCGAGTAGGAGTGCTAACCTGTGGTCACCGGATTCTTGCGCCTTGAGGCACGCCTCGTTGATCAGCCGTCCGGTGAGAAGAGCAAAGATGGCCTCCACGTGACCCAGGTGACGGAACTTGGAGTCCTGGACCTCATTGTCGATGTGCTTCCTGCAGGAATCTGAGAGCCACTGTGACATGGCCTTCCTCCTAGCCTTGCGATACGGGTAGCTTATAGGATCCAGCGGACCTTTGCTTTCTTCTTCTGGTAGTCGCCCCCAAAGAGCAACCATGAGAGCCCACACCAATCGTGTGTGCTCCAAGAGTTCTGTATCGTCCCCTGTACCTTCTTTCTTATCTTTGACGGATTCAATGGCATACCTGTGTAATGCATCAATACCTGATTGTGGAGCAAATGCAGGACAGAGTGTTTCTGTGGCACACACACTATGGTCTAGCGCTACCTTGAGGGATCTTTCGTACATTCTTGTTGAATGACCTGGCTTGCCAAACATAGGTGCAATGTTCACTTTCTCAAGAGTCACTTTGAAAGGGGAGCTTTCCGTCGTTGGTTTAACCGTAGACTTGGATGTCAGCAGAGTGAAAGGCATGGGTTCCTCCTTGACCTTAGGTCTGAACCCCTGGACCCCGACGGCATTCCCAGAATGGACCAGTGTCCAGTTAGGCCCCCATCCAACCCTGAATGAGCGACTCATCATGAGTCCTGCATCAGCTATGTGATTATGACGCTCACATACCACTGACTGCGCTACAGGAACCAGGCCAAGGTGGGGGCGTGAACCCACGATCTTCGGAATCTTCTCATGAGGGCTCATCCCACCTGGCATTACCGGAGCTTGTCCAACATACCCTCTCTGGTCCCTGGTGTCCATGGACTCTCTCAGGAAGCGCGGGATGGGACTTGCCACTCTACCTCTCAACGCCGGTGATGACATGCCAGCAAGGAACTTGGCTGGACTACCCATCATGCTGGCCTGCCACATATCTCCCGTCTGCTCTCGCTCAAACAGCGGCTCCCGTGACGGTCTTGGTGCCCTCTTCTCTCCATCCATGCCTGGAGCTTTGGCGAAGGATCCGGAATGGGCATACTGATCCTCCTCCTCCTCACCAAAGAATGATGCCTTCATGACCTGCATCCTGTGAGAGCTCACTCCGAGGGCCTCGGCCAGACGATGAGAGACGTCTAGCGATCTCTGACCTCCCTCTATCACCTCATCTTGCCCAGTCTGCATATCACGATCAGCATCATCATATGGCATGTAGGTATCAAAGTCACCAGCTGGGCGAAAAATGAACAAGACCATCATTAAAATCTATTCCAAGATATTTCAAAGTAATGTACCAGAAATAATTCATTCTTTTTTTCTTTTAAAAAAACAATACAGAGGTCCAACAATGCCAATCTTTTTGATGCAGTGAACTTCATAAAACCTCTTTTTATCAGGAGTGGAGGTTGTATATGCCACACTCTTCCAAAATTCATTATTTCCTTCTTTATATTTGTTCTAGGATATAAATTTATACCAGGCAACTCTACTTACTCAATTTAAAAACCCATTAAGTGCATTGAATGTAACAGAAAACAATATGTACAAGGTTAATGAATACACCACAAGCATATCATAATTCCTAATTCAACTAATACAAATGCCAAAATATATGATTGAAAGAACTCACCTTCTCCAGCCATGAATTGGTCTTGCTGACCCCCTAATCCTCTGCTCCTTGGTACAGCCCGGTCAGGTTCAGTGTCAAACTCCTCCCTCATTGGCTCCTCAGCTAGATACTGGATGCTCCCATTCTCTTGGAGGGGTGCCCTGGTGTTGCTGGATTTCTGCTTGTCGTCCCTCTGCTTGGTTGGAGGTAGCTTGGTGGAATCCTTGGAAGGAGCTTTCTCCACCTTGGGGTCAAGATATTATATAGTCATGGTAACAGCAAACAACAACAAAGTACATTGGATATCAACAAATTTCCAAGGACTTTTCTAGGTCTTCTGATCTATACGACATATTTATGCAGTCATTTGGCAATGACTATGTAAGGTGTAACCATCATCAATATACACCTGTATAGAACACTTACATGTATAATCCATACTATGAAAGTAAGAATTATATACATGTGCATATAAGACAGTAAAAATTAAAGACTTTTAAAATAATTGTTGGTTATGCTTTGAACCCTGAAATTACAAGTATTTTTCACTTCTATAGGTCGATTGCATTTGATTCACTGGCTCACTCAGGGGTGTCAGCAGATTTTCAGAGCCTCGTCAACAAATCACATTGACCTGTCTCATCCTCTGCAGGCTACTTAACATATCTGACAACCAGCTTTTACACTTGTTGGTAAATATGAAAGCACCTTCTTTGTCAAATTTTGTTCAATTTTGTTCTCATTTTTCTGGTCTTGATGGAAAATTTGACTTAATCATTTGCAAATTTGCTTCAACACCCACCTCTCCCACCCCCTGCAACTGTAAGACGTTCCAAAATTGGCAGCCGCAATATCCAATACCTTTTTAGCTCCCTTTTGAGCCTGTTGCTGCTGGGCCTGGGCCTGTCCTCCGTCCTCCTCATCACTGTCTGTCAGACCATACTTGGAGAAGTGCTGGACCTGGAACACCCAGGACCCGGTCTCGGGACGGTACTCAATGAACTTGGCTCCAAGCTTGGCTGTGGCTCTCTCTAATCTCTCCTCGTATTCCAATGAGGTCAGTCTCTCAGGGTCCTGCGAAAAGTAAATAAATAGTCAAACGATATCTGCCAAGCTAAACAACAAATTCAGAATCTCTCAAGGCAGCATTAGGAGGGGGGGGGGGGGGGAATGTATTTTATATGATTTTTAAACAGAACTTTCCAGGGGAAAAAAGGAATCCCAATTAGGAATCCCCCTTGTACATTGATTGGTTGTCTTGTAGACTTGTCAATGTTACTTTAGCTTTCCTGTCATGTCCTATACCAATGCAAGGTTTACTGGTATCATCAAGGTCTAATATCTTTACCCCCTCCCCCCCCCCCCCCCCCTCCCCACCATCTGGAAGAGGCCATGTACCTTGATTGGCTGCCTGTTAGACTTGTCGATCGGCCAGGTCGCGTCTAGGGTCACTTCAGCTTTCTTGTTGAGTCCTGTACCAACGGTAGGTTTGCAGGTGTCATCAGGGTAGAGGGTGATCTCCTTCCGTCGGAAGTGAACTGCATAAAGATTATGAGGAAGAATATGATCAAATCATGTGAATGTAATCATTCAAAGCTGAATGCAATCAAATGAATACAGTTGTAACTATCTTAACATACATGTTATAATATTGAAACAAATGTAAATATTATGAGGAAGATTAAATTTTGTCATGTGAATGTAATTATTGTTAGTAAATGCAATCATTTTCACAAAAAATGTTGTAATATTGAAGGGAACAAATGTAAATAAAATCATAATCATTATGAGGAAGAGTACATTCAAGTCATTTGAATGTAATCATGCAAAGCTAAATACAATCAACTGAATACAAAATGTATTCATTGTTAGTTAATGCAATCATCATGTAATACTGAAGGGAACTTTTCTAACTAATACAATCATAATCGTTATGAGGATGAATATAAAGCTAAATGCAATCACAGTTTTAACATAAACATTAAATATTGAAGTGAACAAGTGAAGTGAATGCACTTCATCTCAATATAAATTGAGCTATTTTGAATACATTACAAGCAAGTTGAAATATAAAATTGAATATGATCATTGCAAAAGAGGTAATATCCTGAGAGATTAATACAAGATGAGAGCATTTGATCATCTTGAAAAGCTTGTCATCATCTATAAAAGTATAATCTCACAAGCTTTCAAAGAATACAACCATATGGAAGGAGAATGAATTGAGCACAAAACAAACATGTCATTTAAAGAGAAGGTTGAGTTCTGGGAAGAATTGAAAATAATTTGTGAGCGTTATCATTGGTTTATGGAAGTGTGGAAGCACATCAGATAAAAGATGTTCCCTGAAAAGCATGGCTATTCAAATGCCTTAATATTCTAAATATGGCATGTAACATCATAAACATCAGGACAGCTTTTTACGTCACATGTTCGTGTAGTCCCATATACATCTTTATGTCTACAGTGCTTGTAACTTTACCAAGACTGGGCCGAATTCCAGAACCTTGCAGTACACACCAATACTTGTATGCTAGATGATCAAACTTTTTTGATCGATTCCACAACGTTTCTTTCACAATGCAATCGCATGACCTGAACTCAACTTTATCTTTAAGTAATGTGTTTGTCTATGAACACATACAATCAGAAAATAGATGAGCTTACCAATTTCATCCAGATTAAGTCCTTTCACATTGGTCATTCCTGGGAAAAACACGCTGCCATACCTCTCCCTCCCGACAGAGAAATCATCGACAAAGCAATTGCCATCTGCATCAGTGAGCAGAGCCAGGTCCCCTAGGGTGGGGATGGTGTAGTAGCCAGGGCGGCGTAGGACCACCTTGGCAGGGTGGGGAGGGGGTTGGTTCTCCTGGTCGATTACTTCATCATCTCCTGTGTCAACAAACAAAAAAGTTAATTTCAATAATAATAATAATAATAATGATAATAATAATAATAATAATCTTTTAAAGTCCACTCCAAATTTTATTAAACCGAAAATGGAAATTCTTTTTGCCCAATTGATCGTGAGCCTGGCAACCACTGAGCAGTGCCAGATCGACGTTGCTCTATCCCTTATTGTTGAACGCCAAACAAGGTAGCAGCAACTCCCATCTTTTAACGTCTTTTGGTATGACGCGGTCGGGGTTCGAACCCATGACCTCCCGGTTGTGAGGCGGATGCTCTACTGACTGAGCCAACACTCCAGTATCTATAAGTTCTATCATTGAATAATGATAACAATATCCCATGAATACATACATAGACATACATCGCTTGAAAAGTTCCTGATTGTCAATGCCTAATACAGGTTTTCAAGATACTAGTTACTTGGACAAAAATTCTACAAATCTGGGATAAAATTTCTATTTTTAACTGATAAAACACAGGCAACAAAACAACTGTGTAAAATCCCAGCTGACCAAGATGTTCTCAGTCTTCATCACTTACCACTTACCTTTTAGATATTTTGTTGAGCAGAACTCAAATGCATTCAGTATTTACCATTCAGTAAAAATGTCATTGGATTCAGCACAAATATTTTTCATTACTCATAACAAATAATTTTAACAAATTACATTTTGACAGTGCATTTATCTCTGCGGGACAAAGTCAATCACAATTTAAGTCATACGCCAGAAAACAAAGGTTAAAGACATGGAGAAAGCCAGAGAATCAAAGTGGAGATGGGCTGGGCATGTAGCAAGACTTCAGGACAATAGATTGACAAATCGTTTAACACAATGGCAACCAAGGATGGGAAAGAGAAGAAGAGGAAGGCAGAAGAGAAGATGGAGAGATGACCTAACATCATACATGGGAACGGCCGCTTGGACAAGGATAGCTAGAGACAGAAGAGAATGGAAATGTTATGAGGAGGGCTTTGTCCAACGTCTAGATGAACTATAGCCTGATAGATAGATAGAAAATGACTATGATTGATTTCTACGTTCAAACTCCAGATAAACTTCAGTTGGCCTTCTATAGCTTCAATCTGGTCTGGTGTGTCCCCCCTCCTGACGTACCTGATATCTCCAATGATGCATCCCCTATGCTTCCTATGCTCTGGTTAAGGGGCTCCCTGCTAGATGATGGAGGAGTGTTGGGAGGGGAGCTTCCTGGTGGTGAGGGTGGTGGTGGTGGTGCAGCTCCAGAGCCGCTGGGTTTCCTCTGCTGTCTCTTCGGTTGGGCATTCATGGCATGGATGGTGCAGTCTGGGTCCTCATGCTTATTGCCAGGACTGGGGAACATCAAATCATTGAAATAGGATATTAAAGGTATTATGATACAAACAATTCATGTTTGAGAGTGTATAAGTGTATATGCACATCACAAAGGTTAAGTCGCAATCGGATAATTAACAAAACTTATCAAGCTCAGTCTCATTGTGACCTAACATAAGGTTAGTGCATATCACTAAATTCACAAATTAAAAAAAAGTATTAATTGTTAAATGGTTGGTTACATAGTAAACAACGTGACTGTGTTTTAGGAGAAGTTAGTAATCACATTTAAAAATCTTGTTGAAAATCAGTACCACTGAAAAGCACTTTAAATTATAAATTTGGGTATATGGGACTACATAAACTTGTGGTTTAAGGGACACAAGTTTTGAATCATATGTATTTGAAGTGATATTTGAAATAGAAGCTAATTTCTTACCTGTCCATACCACTGGTATCTTCCAGTACTTTAGGTTTGCTGAAGAGGGGAATGTCTGGGGTGTTTGGTTCTTCACTGGACTGTCTAGGATGATCATCACTAAGGAATAACACAATATAAGAGTTGGTAGTGTACGTAGAGGTGTCGTGGTCGAGTGGATAGGTCACCAGACTGTCGGGTCACAAGGTCCGCGGTTTGAGTCCCACTGCGACATTAATGTCCTTTGGCAAGACATTGATCTACATTTGCCACTCTCCACCCAGGTGTTAAATGGGTACCCGGTAGGATGCGAAAGCCAATATAGTATGCTTAGCAATTTGAGCCTAGTAGCTCTTGCTAAAATGCTCCCCAGGGAGTGAAGAAAGTGCATACATTGTGTGCGGGCAAGCAAGAAACTGATGACCAGGGTAATAACATATCTGTAAAGCACTTAGAAACTTGCACATTGTCAATGTATTAAGCGCTATATAGGCAGAATATTATTATTATTGATGATCAATCAATCAAATTATTGGTAATTGATCATTTGTCTGATTGAACAACATCCAATTTAGAATTGGTCAATACACATTCATCAGTACACATACATTTTATCAGTAAATAAAACATCTACACTGCAATGCAACATTAGAAAATAACTCTATTGACGGACTACATAGAGAAATTGAAGGAAAGTGAGAATGAGATAGACTTACTCCTTCTCTGGTGTGAGATGCACGTATGATCTGGACTGGTCTCTTGGGTAGACTGGGAGGGGTGAAGCAAGCTCATCAGGCTTGACTGAACTCCTCTGACCAAAGCTATCATTCCGAGAGTCCTGCAAAGTCACAGAGGAAACCACATCATAATCAAGTTTGGTGGTCTATGGCAATGCAGAACTTATGGATATTTCTGAAATGTTATTTTCACCTCTACGACAGATGCTCCAGTAATAGGGACTTTTAGACTTGCAGGACATTGTGGACTGCTACGTCACACATGACTGCCAGTGCCTCAAAATGATGTCACACGTAGCAGTCCGCGCAAATCTAAAAGTCCCTAATAATTGGTCCAAGGTTAACATTCTACACTAACAGAGGTCTTAACTCACTCCAATACTAAACCCTAACCCTAAATCTAGCCTAAAACCTACTTGCAATCCAAAGCCATACTTAATATCTTGGACACAATAAAGCCTGAAGCAACCGTCTTTGGGGCATATATGTCGTCCCACCAAGAAGGTAGAATATAGCCACTTAATTTTTTGAAATTAACTTACGTAGAAACATAATATTTTCAATACAGAATCCCTAAAGTCAAGATAAATCACTATGAACATGACGGACAAAGAAAGAGGACAAAATATACAGTTCCTCATTCTACCCTCAACAATTGCTGTGGTAGACAAAGGAACATCCCTTCACTGCTATTATGTAAAAATGTGTAGAACAGGTGAATAAGCATGTGACACCTGTTCTACACATTTTTACATAATAGCAGTGAAGGGATGTTCCTTTGTCTACCACAGCAATTGTTGAGGGTAGAATGAGGAACTGTATATTTTGTCCTCTTTCTTTGTCCGTCATATTCATAGTGAATGCAAGCAGGATATAACAAAAGAATCCCATATGACTGTATATCAGTGCTAGTCAGCATGCTAAAATACATCAATAAGGGTTGGGTTTAGGCAGTCTCAGACTAAAGTGGGCTCAAGGTTCTATGCAACATTTTAATCAACAAAACACAAACATGTAGGTCAGAGGGATGTGGACAGTGCAATAACCAAAAAGACAAATAATAAATAGGTTCACTGCATTTTCCATTTTCAGTTAAATGATCTTTCCATCCAAGCTCCCAGTATGTGTTTCTTCCAATAGTTACAAATAGATTCATCAGAGGAGACTTACATCCTGGCTTCCCTTGTTTTTGATAACGAGTTTCTTGATGCTGCGTCTGGTAACAAAGGTCTCTGAGTTGAGAGTATTGTCTTCCTCTTCAAGCCCATCAAACAGCTTGGACTGGAATGCAAAGAAAACATCAAAAATCAAGGTGATTATTTACTGTAACAGATGCGATGACTCAACATGCCAATAGTCCTAATATAAGCATTGTACATAATAAATGAATGATTTATCACACTTTCTTTAACCCACCAGCTTTCATTACATTCATTTAAAAAGGTTTAGCTTGAGATCACTCTAAGAGTATTAACGTTGACCTTCTAAACCTTGAGAATTGAAAACCTGACCACATCCTTTATGTGTTCTTAAAGATAATGATCAGTTCTGGTCATTGCATTTTGAAAGAAACGTTGTGGAATCAATCAGAAAAGGTTGACCATCTAGCATATAAGTATTGGTGTGTACTGCAAGGTTCTGGAATCATCAAAATGATAAGAAATTTGGCCCAGTCTTGGTAAAGTTACAAGCACTGTACACAGAAAGATGTATATGGGGTCATTCCATGTCAAATCACCCAATGGTTTTAACCCGACCATTTTTGATTTTGATGAAACTTGGTGAACTTGTTGAGTGTGATCTCACAGCACCAAATCCCCAATTTTAGGTCAATCGGGTGAGGGGTTTGGGAGATACGGCCCACCAAATTTTGAGATTTTTTCAAAAATGGGGGTGGCGGGCCTACCTGTGAACCCTTGTATCTCGGGACCTAATGGGTCAATCTTCACAAAATTTGTATTGTTGGAAAGGGAATTCAATAAGGATTCCAAATCTGCCGTCATTTTGAAGATTCGTACATGTTGGGGTACTTTGACCTCTTGACCTCAGATTTGACCTTGAAATTGACCTTGTGGATCACGTAACTTTGACAACATTTTTCATGAAATGTAATCTCTGACATGTTCACTAAAACATATAAAAGTTTCAGAGATATAATATTTTTTGTTTAGGAGCAATAAGGATTGAAAGTATCCATGCTCACAGATATTCACAATAAACCCATATTATAATGTATACAATACATGCAATATGCACAGTACAACATACATCTTCCACATGCTTTTTTGTTTTAGGCATATCCATCCTAAATGTCAGTAGTACTTGAATAGAAATAAAATGACAAGTTCATATAGGCCTAAAGGGTTAACAGGATGTATGGCTTTAGGCCTCTGAGTCGGTTCTAGGATAATTACCCCCCTGAAAAATTAACCCTCAGGAAATGTCTCCCCCCCCCCCCGAGGACAATTACCCCCCAAGGACTATCACACCCAGAGGATTATTACCCTCCAGGAAATTACCTCCTAGGACAATCTGTCCCCCCCCCCCCCCAAGGACAATTAACCCCCGGACAATTTCCCCCTAGGACAATTACCCCCCCCCCCCCCAGGAAAATTACCCCTCAAGAATAATATACCCCCCCAAAAAAAATCTGCTTTCATTAAAACCACTTTATTATCAGGATGGACTTCCCCTTTAACAAATAGGGGGGGGGGGGGGGGTAATTGTCCTCTGGGGTAATTGTCCTTAGAGGGTAGTTTTCCGGGGGGGGGAATTTTCCAGGGGGTAATTATCCTAGAACTGACTCAGAGGTCTAAAGCCATACATCCTGTTAACCCTTTAGGCCTATATGAACTTGTCATTTTATTTCTATTCAAGTACTGCTGACATTTAGGATGGATATGACTAAAACAAAAAAGCATGTGGAAGATGTATGTTGTACTGTGCATATTGCATGTATTGTATACATTATAATAGGGCTTATTGTGAATATCTGTGAGCATGGATACTTTCAATCCTTATTGCTCCAAAACAAAAAATATTATATCTCTGAAACTTTTATATGTTTTAGTGAACATGTCAGAGATTACATTTCATGAAAAATGTTGTCAAAGTTACGTGATCCACAAGGTCAATTTCAAGGTCAAATCTGAGGTCAAGAGGTCAAAATACCCCAACATGTACGAATCTTCAAAATGGCGGCAGATTTGGAATCCTTATTGAATACCCTTTCCAACAATACAAATTTTGAGAAGATTGACCCATTAGGTCCCGAGATACAAGGGTTCAAAGGTAGGCCCGCCACCCCCATTTTTGAAAAAATCTCAAAATTTGGTGGGCCGTATCTCCCAAACCCCTCACCCGATTGACCTAAAATTGGGGATTTGGTGCTGTGAGATCACACTCAACAAGTTCACCAAGTTTCATCAAAATCAAAAATGGTCGGGTTAAGATTTTCAGATTTTTTGGGTGATTTGACATGGAATGACCCTATGGTACTATGCACACATGCGCTACACGTGCGTTATATCTATCATGTCCAAATAGATAAACTAATTTACCAAATATATCAATAGGTACGCGGCTTCTCGGCAAAATTTGTATCATCACGTATTAGTCAAAACATATTCTTTCACATGATTGGTACTAAGAGCTTCCATTTCATTTTTTGAGAGGGGGGCGTTTCCAAAACTGGTCTTTAGCTTCAATTTTTGAATTTGCCATACATAAGAACCTGAACTTTCTGCTAACTAAACCAACTGCAAAATTACTTAATACTTGATGTGTAAAGACCCTGTGTCATTTTACACCATATAACAATTATTCAATCCCGCAGTATTCTTGATCTGCTTCGGAAAAAATATAATTTCAAGTTTGTTCAAGTTTTCACATTGTCACTGAAATTTTTCTAACAACTGGGGTAAGAGTAAGAGGACTAGCCGTTAGCTTTACCTTCCCTCCACCTCTCTGTAGCAGCTTGGGTCGTAGCTTAGCTCCTGGTCTGGCTGATACCTGCACAATGTAAACAATCAGTTTATTAAGCAATTTTTAATTTGTTATTATGCTACATATCTGTATCAAAAGCTTCACAGTTCAAAAACATGGTATTTGAAGATTTGGAGGAAGAAAAAACAAATAATATTGAGACTGAAAAGTCATTTGTGTCATTTAATAAAAGGGAAAGTGTTTTTTTTTCTTTTCTTGTGAAGCACTTTGCCAAGCTTTAAAAAAGGGTTATCAACTAACTGTTTGGTGAGAAAAACCATTATAGCTGTGTGTTTCTACTGCTTAAATTATATTTTGATGGCCTGAATAAAATTATCTGGCCTTTTACTAAAGAAAATCATGACTTCTTACTGGCAAACATTTCTACTCCACAAAGTTACTTTCAGAGATGCCAACCTCTTGACACAAAAAACAGACTGAGTATCCTAAAAAATCAGATTTTGGAGAGAAAAATCAGATTTTCACGAAAACTTGACACTACCAATGGCCGGTTGGCCCCGGGCCAGTAAAATTTCAGAAAAATGTGATACTGGTACGTACAGTCAAGTAAAATGTTTGCTCTTTCATTAAAATTTTAAAAGAAAATTGTAAAGCAAAGTTTTTGTTGGGGCTGCGGGGTTTACTTGTTCATGTTTTAATGGGTATTAAAAAAATATATTAAAAAAAAAAAAAAATTTTTTTTTGTTTTAAAAAATCATATTTTAAGAGGTGATATCATCGTATTATCGTATTCCACTCTACTAAATACGATTAAATCGTACTGGTTGGCACCTCTGTACTTTGCATGGCCTGCATACCAATTATTTTCTGGCCTTTCATTTACCTTATAATGTGATGGAGCGCTGAGAGACTTTTGAGCAGAACTGCCAGGAAGGACATCTTTCTTCTTGTCGGAATCCTGGGGAGAAAGTAAATCAAATATACAAACATTTGAGGTACTGCACAGGAAATCGAATGCAAGAGTTCGGGCAAAAATTCTTCATTTGACTCCTCTAATTTGCATAAAATCATATTTCATATTTGTATTACCACTCATTTATGATTAAAAAGATAGCATTACTCTGATTAGAGCATGTGTCTTCTAGGAAGAGAGAGCACTGTATTAGGAAACCTTACAACGCCCTTTAGCAGATAACATTCACAATCACATCATGTGTGGCACGTGTGTGAAATGTGCAATAAATAAATCTTAAAGGCATCGTTTAAAAATGTTAAATCTGGGATACATGGCCCTACGTGTTATTAGTGTCTGTATCTTAAAGGCATCGTTTAAAAATGTTAAATCTGGGATACATGGCCCTACGTGTTATTAGTGTCTGTAATATGGTCTAATATTGAAGCCCTAAAAAGTGGCTGACAAAAGTAAAAATCATTTTCCCCAATTGACTGTAGTCTTGTAAAAACTGTTAAGAAAACGAAAAATGACATTTCGGTTTCCAATCATAAATATCTTGATAATCAGACAGGCGATCGGCTTGTAAAATTCATAGGATTCCTGACTGACCTAAAGGTTTATAATTATCATTGCAGCATGAGCAAAATCCAGGATTTTGTTTCAGAATCTGAGACAATGTAACTGAGTCATTTTAAATCCAATGATCTTCTGCCCTTGTGAGAACCCTGCGTGTGTGCTACCAAGAGCATGACTGTGTTGACTTACTACAAGTATGTTCTTGAAGAGAGGGTTATCTCCATACGGTGAGTTGAAGAGAGTCATCAACTGCTGCTGAACTTGAGTGTTCTGATCTACATTGGCTTGTTGACTGGAAATGAAACAGAACAGTTGGTCATTTTTAGTGGACATAATAGATAAGTTTTTTACTTGGTCCTATATATATTTTGTTAAAAGATAGTTATACCAAAGACTGAGAAATATCGATGATCTAGTCCATGAGGATTTGTCTATTGATAAATTCACTGCCTGAAATCTTAATAAATTCAATGTAATTTAATTGTTTCTATTTTACAATGGTTGTGTAAACTTCTTGTCTTCTTGATGATATTCATTGAAGTGATCCTACCTCTACTCTACAGAGTAATAACATCCAAATGGCTTATATCTTCTAAGATTCTGTGTTAAGGATACATAAACAATTAAAGCTGTTAGTGAACTTTGATCAGAAATACATTTGAATAAACATTTCTGATTAATTTCATTTGGCAAGGAAAGAAAGTGAGACTACAAGAAAAAGGAGGTCAAATACTGAGTCTGGAATTATAAAAAACATACAATTTTTAAAACTAAAAACATAAATTTTATTGAAGAATGGCTGTACATATTGTATATTCTTCTGTAACTGTAAAAGGATCTTCTCATACGAAATGGAACAACACTCATTCTATTAAATCCTTTCAAAGAGTCAAGATATACAGTACTGATAAACCCTTTTGAACCCTGGTTCCATGATGTACTTACCCTCCTATCATAGATGCAGCTCCTAGTCCTCCACCAGTCAGGCCGGTGGTGCCCCCGAGTCCTCCACCAAATGTACCTGAGGGATGACATCAAACAAAAGCTGCAAGACTTGTAGGAATGGTGAGGTAATGTCACGCATCAAAAAACAACTTGTCTTTGTGGCTACCTATTTGTAAACGGCACCTGTCTAAAGTAATGACCTATATTGTCTTCCTCCCATCACTACCAATATCACTACCAGTCTCCTACTGCTTCTAATACCACTATCATCAGTACTGCTATAATCATCATAATCACAATCACATGACTATTCTTATCAATTCATACTAGCACTTCTTGTTTTTGTAAGCAACCATGTTCCAGATTTTGTAATTATGGCATAAAAAACAATGCTTATCTTACATAGTGCAGTATATTATTTGTAATTCTTTAAAAACTAAGTACATGTCATATTTGGTAATGATGATACTGTCTAGAAACGTCACACACCCTCCCCCCCCCCCCCCCCCCTCACAGGGCAATTAAAAACTTTTTAAAACCCCCTTCAAAATTTCAAACTACACATTCCCCAACCAATTACCTGTATTTCCAAATGTGGTACCCAACCCCGCTGGCTTGTTACCTCCAAAGAGGGAACTAGAGGTGCCCCCACCAAAGGTGGAACCCAAGTTACCACCGAAGCCACCTGTAGACAGTCCAGTGGTGCCGAAGCCTGTGGTGCCCTTGTTGCCTCCAAACAGACTAGATCCAGCACCAGTATTGCCCCCAAAACCTGTTGTACCTTACAAAATGTAAGATGAAATGAGACATTGTGCAGGGAAAAGGATGGTGGTTGAGTTGTACATGAATTTTGTAATTGATCACATAATGCTTTATGAACATAAATAAATATTGAAAAAATCATAATAGTGTGCTACAAAAAAAGCTCTTCTCTCAGTATCATAAACCCCTGAAAATATTTATAATTATTAATTCTAAACCCCCGTTGAAGACTGCAGGAACGTCTGTGAAAATGTGATAAATGCAATCTCAAGTTACAGAATTGGAATTCAATCAGTTGTAGCTGTTGAATTTTCATACCGTATTATAATGTGAAATATGGATGAAATGGATAAAAAGGCAAACAATCTTCCGGGAACTAATTAAAAAATCACCTAAACTGGAAATCAGCAATACAAAATCTGTTTTTTCTTTACTGAACTCGTACAAGGTACAGTGACCGTGCATTTTGTGTAGCAACCCCTAAACTATGGAACAAGCTCCCGATCAAGATATTGTTAACTTCTCTATGCCTCGTTACTCGTCTCTCACAATGTTTTCTCTTTATACTGTAGTTTAAGGAAATATACTCTGATTTGGTATATTCTTCCTTATTTTCCATTCCATATATTTTCTCTAATATTTCTTACTACTTTCTTTGTAAATTTAGTTTACAAGTCGTTAATTTCTTTTCTCAGGCAAGATACTTTTAATTGTTTTGAAAAATTGATGTAAAGCACTTAGAAACACATGTATTAAGCGCTATAGAAATATAATTCATTATCCATTTTATTATTGTATTTCTTTGTCTTAACAAAATGGAAGTTAAGTTTACAAGTAAGCAATGTACTTACACAAATTCCTTATTAATATTTTTTAATTCTAAAATCATACATGTATGTTCATCTTTTACATTGACTAGGACACAGTCACTTACATGTACATCCAACGGTACAGGTGCCGTGTAAATCCAGTTAGTACTATCATAATCCTATATATTATATGTGACCCTTCCTATTAATATACAATGAGATTGAAGAATGATTGGTCGATGTGAATGTTTCCACTCACCGAATCCTGTACCTGTTCCAGCTCCTAATGTCAGTCCTGGCTTGCTGGCACCTCCAAATAGACCTACAGTCCCTGTATTGGTTCCAAGACTTAGTCCTGGCTGGCTGGCTGGGGTTCCAAAGTTGGGCGCAGACTTTCCAAATAGGCCACCCTGTTGGTGAGATTTAGACAGGAGGGGAGAGTGGTATAAGGACTTTTGTAAAGGAAATGATGATGTAGAAGGGAATAGTCAGGTTTATCTATCGATCATCAATATCAAAATTGCTATGATAAATAACATAATCAAGCCACTTCAGAAACTCTTATTTGTATATCATCAGCAGTAATCTCTATCTTTATAATAGATGTTGCTTCTAGCACTTCTAGTTTAATCCTCATCCTCCCTCAACATCCTTTATAGATATTAGTCATATCACCAACATTTCTGTCGGACATATTCTGTCATCCAGGCTAACTTCATCGTTGTCGTCATCGTCGTCATCATCATCATCATCATCACCATCATCATCACAACCACCATCATCATCATCATCATCATCACCACCATCATCATCATCATCATCATCATCATCACAACCACCATCATCATCACCATCATAATCACCATCATCATCATCATCATCATCATCATCATCACAACCACCATCATCATCACCATCATAATCACCATCATCACGACCACCATCATCATCACCATCATAATCACCATCATCATCATCATCATCATCACCATCATCATCACAACCACCATCATCATCACCATCATAATCACCATCATCATCATCATCATCATTATCATCATCACCATCATCATCACAACCACCATCATCATCACCATCATAATCACCATCATCATCATCACCATCATCATCATCACATCATCATCATCATCATCATCATCATCATCATCATCATCATCATCATCATCATCATCATCATCATCATCATCATCATCATCATCATCATCATCATCATCATCATCATCATCATCATCATCATCACCACCACCACCACCACCATCATCATCCCTTTTATCAGCTTAATCATCAACACATTTCATCATCAATATTTTTGTTAACACCACCACCACCACCCCCACCACCCACCACTACCACCCCCACCACCACATACCTGGTTTTGCTGTCCAAAAGTGCCCGTTCCAAAACCTCCAGTCCCAAAGCCAGTTGTACCTGCAGCTGGAGTGCTACCAAATAAACCAGTGCCTGGGGTTTGTGACGTTGCTCCAAATAGACTCTATCGATCAAAACAAAACAAAAACAAAATGTGACAAGTAGATTCTTGCTACTCTTCTCAAAAGTACGTAGAAAATGAGCATTTGGTGCCTGGCTCTTAAATTTGAGAGTCAAGAAGTAAAATTTGGGGGACAAAATACATTACATTTTTTTAAATGAAAACCTTCATATAGAAGTTCATATACATCACATTGAACTGTGTGTTAATTTCATTACATGCATCACAATGGGATGTCAGAACTTAGACTTGAGATTGTTTTGTGAAACAGTGACCAGGTCTCTGTACAGTGTAGTACCAGAGCTGCCAAGTAGTACGGATTTCCTGTATTTCGTACGGAAATCAACTTAAAATACGGACGTACGTTTTTTCATGTTAAAATACGGAAAAGAAAATATCAGTCGTGTATAAGTCAACGGGCGGTGCGTGCGCCGTGTCAATTGTGTATTCGTCTATGGGCATGGCTGGTGCGCACTCCGTGCGCTGAAAGATGTGTGTCGACTTTAGATATCCATTTGTATGTTTACTATGCATGTGTGCGGTGCTTCATGCATCGATCGTTTGCGTGTGGGACTGAAGTGAAATCGGCGCTACAACTTGCCAATATGCGTACATGTGTGTGTGTGTACTAATTGTGCATGCGATGTCACTACGAGTCGAGTGCTAGTGATGTTGTTGCATCGTGTCGTGTTCATGCATCTGTGGACAGTGCCAGTGTTGCTTTTTGGTTTGATTTGACATTTAATGTCGTGGAAATATCAAAATGTCTTCTAAATCAGCTCTACCACGCAAACAACTATTCAAGGAGGAAAATTGCCCAACGTTGAAAGTGTATCATTAGGTCAAGGAGGGACCAGTACAGTGCGAGATGCACAGTTTGCAAATGTGATTTTACTGTGAGCCACGGAGGAGAGACTGACATCCAAGCACACATGAAATCCAAAAAGCACAAGTCACAGGAGGCAGGGAGTTTGGATACTTCAAAGATAGCAGCCTTCTTTAAACCCATCGGGAAAAGAAACCTCCCAGCTGCGTCCTGGAACAAAATCTACTGTGAAAAGAAAGTCTTTGGATGAAAGTTCTCAAATGTCGTCTGAAATTCCTTTTCTAAAGCAGCCTCCATCTATGAAAAACTAGTGCAAGATAAGAACAAGTTATATTGTCTTTTTTTGCGTGTGTTTAACAGTGTCAATGTGGAACTTCAAGAAGAAGCGCCAAAAATCCATATGATGCTTGATATTCTTCAGGAATTACTTCATCAGCTTCAACTTTGATTTGTCCAGCCAGAGATGATGCTGGATGGTAAAATGCCAGACAGGCGTGACTTCAAATGTCGCAAAAAATCAGCAGGAAGATGGAGACCTGATTGTGGGGACAAAAGTGAGAGAATTTCTCAGCAGTGGAAAGCTCGGTGAGGAGGAAAAGATTGTTACAAAGTTCCCTCTCCAAGATGATGTCATGAAACATGCAAGGGTGGGTAACCCAGCAAACAGAGTACCCATGACTTACTCTACAGTTGACTATTTTGTCAATAGGTTCAAGCTGGATGGCATTGACAGAGATGCTCTTGAGTTAGAATTTGCATCATACCAAGTGGACACCTTAGATGGAGTAATCCTGGATGAGAGAGTAGATGTGGTGTGGACTCAGATCTCCATCATGGAGAACAAATCAACTAGCAGCAAGAACTATCTCAAACTTGTCAAGAGTCATGCTAACAATACTCAGTCTTGCACATAGCAATGCCACTGATGAACCGGTGTGTTGGCTCAGTCAGTAGAGCGTCCGTCTCACAGCCAGGAGGTCGTGGGTTCAAACCCCGGCCGTGTCATACCAAAAGACATTAAAAGACGGGAGTTGCTGCTACCTTGTTTGACGTTCAACAATAAGGGATAGAGCAACGTCAATCTGGCGCTGCTCAGTGGCTGCCGGGCTCATGATCAATTGGGCAAAAAGAATTTCCATTTTCAGTTTAACTTAATAAAATTTGGAGTGGATTATTATTATTATTATTATGAACGGATCTTCTCACTGGTTAGGAAGAATGCAACAAAGTTCAGACCCAGTTTGGCAACACCAACTATCTCTGACTTTCTGACTCAAAAGGTCTGCAGTCAGGCCATGGGCTAGGCTTGCTATGAAATGACCTTCTCTGATCGACTTCTTGAGAAATGTAAGAAAGCTACAAATGCATACAATACAAAAACTGCATAAGATGCTGCCCACTTGAACAGAATATGGTACATGTATGTGGAGCCTAGATACTTTCAGTAGCTTATAACTTTGAAAGCTACATGTTTATTAGAGATACATGTACTTTATATGAACAGTTGGTACTGAAATGAAGGACATTTGCAGAAAATTTGCAGAAAAGACTGAAGGAATTGTCCAGTCAATGACGGTAATGAATGTCCATTTGATAAGCTACATTAGCTAGATGTATGTGTACTTCTAAGGGTTTTTTTTTGTTGAAAGGGCAAATTAAATGCATTAAGTTCAAAGTGTGAAGTCCATTGTGCAGTGCTTAGTGTACAACACAATTGTTTACGAGTGGGACGGATATGTAATAAGTGATCAAACATTTCCGATATGCATGCATATTTTTTTCACGCGGACAAAATTCTGATTTTTTTTTTTTTTTTTTGGGGGGGGGGTCAAAATACTGATTTGGGGAGATAAGAATACTGAAAATGCAAAATACAACTTGGCAGTTGTGTAGTACGGAGCCGGACCTGCCACTGTCAGGTACATGTCAATGGGTTACCTTTTGCTGGGTCTGGTTCTGACCGAACAGACTTGTCCCAGATGATTGGCCAAAGAGACCACTCCCTGCTGTACTGGTGGTAGTCTGACCAAAGAGTGGTTTGTTCCCAAACAACCCACCACTCTGTTGCTGTTGCTGCTGTTGTTGCTGTTGTTGTTGTTGCTGACTGCTGTTGCCGCCAAACAGACTAGAACCGGTACCAAAGGAGGTGGGAGCTGTTATGGTAGAAGAACAATGGCAATGAATACCATTAAACATTTTGTTTATACATGTAGCTACTAAATAAATTGTTATTTTTCAATCTTCAGACACTATCTTACAAATTTTGGAATATCTTCCAAGTATCTCATGCTTGTTTCCTGTCAATTTCAAGTGAATATCATACTTAATTTTATATTAATATTTTATTTTGTAAATTAAACAATTTCAGCTTTGGAGCTTCATGCTTTTATGAGTGTAAGCCCATTGAAATTGCAATGAAGAATACAAGTAGATTACAGTTTGACAGGAATTCCTGTAATGGTGAAAAATACAGCACTTTTTTTTTTGCTGTATTACTTGGTGAGAAGTTTGTAGTGTGGATGATAATAATAATAATATCGGATTCTTATATAGCGCATGTATCGACCTCGCAAAGGTCCTCAAGGCGCTCCAACATTACCCGGCTATGCTAGGCTGCCGATTTCAACGCTCACGCTCAAGTAACTTCTTGTGAGGGTTCGAATCTGTCTATATATACTGTAATTAACGTTGTATAAACTGCCCTCGTGTATTAACCACACCCCTCTTTTTCGCCTTGATTTTTTTTTTTTTGCAGACTGTCGGCAGCAAGCCAGGTCTGTGTTAAAAAAAACCCACGCGGAAAGGCCTTTCATTTCACTGCGAGGTGCAGTTGAATGTGTAAGAACATTAATGTAAATTAAAAAGCAGTAGAGGACCTAGGATAGAACCTTGTGGTCAGCCGTGTGTAATATCGTAGAAGAAAAATTGGAGGAATTATTATTATAAACTACATATTGAGATCTATCAGAAAGATTACTTTCAAACCAAGATGACAGACAAATTTGAGTGTTGTTCTAGTTTCCGAGTGGTGAGTCAACACACCGATTACTGAGCTGGGAGACATTGCCTGTACCTGTGTATAAGACGCACCCCCGACTTTGAATTTTTTTTGGCGGCAAAAAAGTGTGGTTAATACAACGTTAATTATGGTAGCCGACACTGCCTAAACAATGGAGCAGAACACAAGAATTGTACTTACTGCTTCCAAATGTGCTCTTGTTTTGACCAAAGTTGAATGCACTGCTGGCTGTGGATGCAGGTTGCCCAAAGAGACCAGTTGTTTTGTTGTCTGGTTGGGTCATTCCTGTTGCCCCTAGCAACCCGCCGCCAGAGGTTCCACCTTTCCGATTGGCCAAGTAGTCCTCTGTTCGCAATTCCTGCGATAAGAAAATTAGATTATATGATGGGGAGTTGGGTGTCTGGACACTTAACACATATCGTCCCCATACATACAAGAGGAACACCTGCATTAAAATGATAATTATCTTCTCCCAAAAAGAGGAATGTTCCTCTTTAATCTGAACAGTTGGCATGTATGCGTCCCTATTTTCATGAAGTGACGGTAGTGAGGACAATCGTCAAGCAAATTGTATGTGATATTCCTCACTACCGTCACTTCGTGAAAATAGGGACGATAAAAAGACTTCTCTTTCACTTCCAGATTCCAGAACAGAAAACATTCATCAAATAGCACTAACCATCATGAATATTTATCAATATTGTCCAACATAAGTCTTAGAAATTTTATGAAATACTGCTTGTAAACTTCTTCAAATTGCTGTTTTAAATCAAATGTCAAGATACACAACCCATCCGGACATACGTCATCTGGGTATGAATAGGAGATTTGTAATTTGTGCATGAAAAGTATGTTTAGAAAGACTTCCTCTATCTACATACTGGTTTTCTTTCCCTTGGAAAATGTTCCTCACTGAAACCTACATGTATACTAAAGGAAACCTGTACAATTTATATAGACCACCTCCTAGTAAAGTCTGTCTGTAGTTTTACTTGAGCAGGCTTCTTATACTTGCATGAATTTAAAATTGTGTGACATTGACTTTAAATGAAATGGTTGGGAGTTTAAACCTTTCCTAGGAACATGCATACTTAGACAAGGTGGACAAGGTGTTTTATCAACACTTCTCTCCTTATAATCTAGGTGTGTAATTGGTACCTGCTAGAGCCACACACATTCTCAGTGTGTCAGGTGTTACAAAAATATAATTAATATTGATTGATGTGATTAATATTGATGAGCATTACCTCAAATGATTTATTTGTGTATTCTTTCATAGCCGTGATGACCTGGTGCTTGGTGTTGACGTTGGTGGATGCTCCATTCTTGACCATTGTGTCTGACCCTGTGGTAGGCTGTGAGGAACAGAGGAAAGAGAATAATGCGTTCAATAGACAGACATGGCTTAAAGGCATCGTTTAACAATGTTAAATCCGAGATGCATGGCCTTATGTGTCATCAGTGTCTGTGATATGGTGTTATATTGAAGCCCTACAAAAAAAAAATGCGCTTCAAAATGATCAAGAAGTTCCTCAAAAAAGTAAAAAAGTTTTACCATACTCATTTTCCCCAATAGACTGTCGTGTTATAAAAACTGTTCCAAAAACAAAAAATGAAATTTAGATTTCCAATCATAAATATCTTGATAATCAGACAGGCGACTGGCTTGTAAAAGCCATCAGATTCTTGACTGACCTAAAGGTTTATAATTATGATTGCAGCATGAGCTACATCCAGGATTATATTGCAGAATCTGAGGCAATGTTACCGAGTCACTTTAACCGTAACAGGGGCCCTTAATGTTTTTTTGTGTCTATATATCATGGTATCTTCTCACAACTTGGAGGTTGATGGCCACATTTCCTCCACACATCTCTTTTCTCTGCCATTCACTCTTGCAACAGCATTCCACTCCATGTCTTTCAATGTTCACCTCCCAGTTGGTTCTTGGCTTCCCTCTTAGTCTATGAACTCCAGACCCTCATCAGTTCAAAGTTTAAACAGAGGGACACATGCGCACAGAAAATATATAAAAGCCTTTCATATTTTTCACCAAAATTAGACAGTTAAGAAAATTTGGATATTGCTAAAAGCAGGGTTCTCGCTTCATTAGAAGGTAGACTGAAGCATTTATGGACATTTTGAAAGTAGTATTGCTTCATATTTTTATTTAAATTTAAGGTTTTCAGAAAATATTTATGTGTGTGTGTTTTGCCTCCATGCCAATATGCCCTGCGATGGAATCAGGATATTGTTACAGTAATTGCACTTGCTGAAGGCAACTGAAAAAGACCAATGGAACTGATACCGGAAGGAAGTGGATGTGTGTCAAACATGGGCTTTATACACATGTAAATAATGATACATGTAGGTATAAATGTCTGAACAAAGAAAGACATTTCCTTTACATCCCCATCCTAAACCAAACTGGAAAAGAAGCCATCATCACTAAGTCTACATAAATGTCTAGTTTACTAGATCAAATTGGGTGTATTTTTCTCAATAATAAAAACAATTAAATAAAAAAAGTGGAAGTGGTCATGGGACAACTGATTCCAAAATTTCATCTGGAAGAGCCTACCAACAAGTAGAGTGACGATGAAGGCAGTGACATAATTTCTGTCAAGGGATAATATATAACACTGAATAGAACACACAAGCCTTGTTTTGAATTCTCATGAAATTCAATTACCTGAAATCTAATTATCAATTAAATATCAGGTGCATGGGATACTCTGATATCAAAACTATTTTGAAGAGCACTGTAAAGTCTGTAATCCAAAGGAATTTGAACTGACAGGAGGGGTAGGGTGCATGGGTTGATTGTTTCATTTCTGAGCGATTATAGGAAGCAGCAACCATTAGGTGATTTCCTGCAATGGGTTCAATGTGAATTTCCCCTTCAGAGACACCATAGCCGACCTTGGTAATGACTTCAACTCAATTTCCTGCATGTAATGTGATCTTCTAGACTCTGAACAAAGCCCCATTTTAGGACAGGATTTATTTTGATCCCCCTCTACATGCCAAGTCACATGACAGCGAGGGCAAGCAGACATACATTTTAATGGATTTCTTACGTGAATGAGGCTAATGTAACTCAACAGATGGAATTGCAGAATTCCCTCCCTTTATTTGCCCTTTTTCAGATTTATTATTAAGTCAGCATGGATTATCTTTGCACATGTAAGTATGCTGGGTGGAGAATAGGTATATCAGCAGCTGAAGAGAAAGGATATACATGTAGCTAATAATGAAAGACACAGAGTAATGTAGTCAAACAAAATATCAACAGAAAATTAATTCATGTTGCCATAAACCTCATTTTAACAATAAATCACAAAATTGTCATGCTAAATTTACCCTTATAGTATACTCATCCTAATAAAGTATTCCCTGTTTTGCCCCCCCCCCCCCTCCTCCCCCTCCCCTACCCATTTCTCTCTCTTTACTCCCTCCCTTCTCTCTTTCCTTAACTTGCCCTATCTCCCTCTCTCCATTTCTCTTTTTAACTTTCTTCTCCCCCTCTCACCCCATGTAGCTGTGCAACAAGGAATCACATTATCTCATCCAACGTTCCAATCATGTCTGATCAACAATTGTTGGGAAATGTCTCTATCTACACACATGCTGTCTGGACATAATTGAACATTAATGTATTCCATTGTTCCTCTGTTCGGTAACAAAACTTGCCATGATTGTTTTTCATAATGTTACACACCGCTGTATACTTGATAGCAACTGAGCCATTAGGGGCTACTCCGCTTTACCTCAACCACTATAGGGTTGATGCTATCAAATGGTAAACCTGACCTCTGTAATTTATGAAATATAATTTATATTTTGATGATCTTTACCCACAATCATACAGCCTACACAAATTTCATCCTCAACTTGAAGCAATAAGATGAACTATTGACAGAAGCAACCCCCCCCCCCTCCCACAAAAATATCTATAACCCTCCGTTGTCTTTTGTTATGAAAACTTCCAGTTTCGATACATTTCTCTCAGAATGTCATGGTTGTATATTAACACCATCTTGCACCAATCCCTCAAATGTCAAAACTGATGATATCCAAATCATCTATACATATCAATCTACAGAAGCATGGGGAAATAAGCTCTCCTTTCACAATATTTCATCATCTACAGAAAAAAAAAAATCATTTTGTATTTTGGAAGGGTTTTGTGTATTCCCAGCTGGATTTGGATCCCAGGCTGAAGCTTCTGATAATCTGATATCTGTATTGAGATCAGGTCATGAGTCAGGTTTATAATGTTCACTTTGTGTCGATGATAAACATGGAGAGAGTCGGTTACATCTGAGATGACAGATGCCGGACCATATATGTTGGAAACATTGTAATGGGCGGGGGAAGATGGGGGGGGGGGGGGGGTCTATTGTGGCTACTGCCAGATGAGATGAAGCACGACTTTGTTGCAGAGCCAACAGTGGGGGAGAAGCCCAATTCCAAGAGAGAGGAAAAGAGGAAATACATGTATGTAACGATGTGCTGGACGTTTTGGCTTTCTTGTAGTTCTTATCATGAAGAGGAAACAGAGAGTGGGGTAGAAAAGCCGGGAGAAAGGAACGGAGAGTGTGAGAGAAGAATGAAGGATGAGTTTAGTGGTGGTGAAGAAGGCAAAACATTCCAAATTGAAAAGAAAGTAATGAAACAATTTAAATGTTCTGCTTCATCTATCACCATCATAAATCTTCCAATGTGCATTCAAAATATACTTACAGTAAACTTGATGGTGGTGCCATTTTGTTGTTGGGTAGCGCCGAACAGCCCAGCCCCTGTTGTCGCTCCAAAGAGCCCCCCTGAAGGTTGGGTTGCTGTCTGACCAAAGGGGGTGGTGGACGTTGCTGGCTGACCAAATAGACTTGTGCTGGAGGTGCTTGTGCCAAACACTGTGTATGAAAAGCAAAGGAAATCATACAAATTTAATGCTAGCTTTTGAAAGTCAAAAGATTTTGTTCTTTTATTTGTAAATTACCAATTTGTAAAGATGAATGTTATAACTGCTTGGCACATAAGTGTGCTAGTATTTAACTCAATTACAGAATACCTGGCATAGAAAATTACTTTGTAAGGTGCATACAGAAACATAAAGTAGCACAATGCGACTGGAGAGGGAGAGGGAAAGGTTAGAACAGAGAGAGACAGAGAGAGAGAAAGAGAGAAAGAGAGAGAGAGAGAGAGAGGAAGAGAGATATAGAATAGTGAGAGTGAAAGACAGGGAGAGAGATAGAGAAGTCAGTGGAAATGAATGAAAGGGAGAGAGGATAAGATTTACATATACAGCTGCATCATTACTAACTCTTACTTTTGCACACTCTTCAAAAAAAGGTTTAGAAGTTAGAAGACAACTAACAGCAAACAGGTCCGATTATAAGGACATGATGCACATAGAGCAATCAGTCACATATCTTCACATAGTTTGATCCTTCTTAATTTGGCCTTTCCCCAGACCTGAGTCTAGTCCTCCCAGAGGGACACTTCCCAAGGAGAAATGGCGGATTGACAATGTGGATCCCCCTACTTAATTCAAGGATGCCAGACGGATACTGGAATCACAGGACCTCCTAATCACATCAACCCACCAAGGGCGCTAATCACTTTAGAAGAGCAGTGAAAGAGAGAGGGAGAGAAAGAGAGAGCAAGAGAAAGAGAAAGAGAAATGAGTGTGGGTGCCATGGAATTGAACCAAGACAACCGAGTCTCCGTCCAAAAATGGGAGGTTCAGCAGTTCAATCGTCTGTTAAGCCTGAAGAAGAATCAGTTTTGGATCAAGTACGATTTGCGATGTGACTATGTTTGAAAGTGAAGCTCATCTAATTTGGACTGAGGAAGAAGTATTCATATGATTTTGTACACCTGAAGGAATCAGTCATTACACAAATAGAACTATCAGGATATACATGCCTTGCAGTGCTGGCTGTTTTTTTGTTTTTTTGTTTGTTAATATTCTCCTCTTTTTTTATAATACATATAAAGAACCTTCCAAAATAGGAATTATTTCAATATCCACAACAAACTCTCATCCTAACAAATGAAGATCAGTCATTACAAAAGATGTGCCATAATCATATCTTAAAGTCGTACTATTACTTTGTTTCATTTTTTAACAATAGCACATGGTAACATTTTTTCATCATCTTTAAAAAAAAACGTGTACTACTACACCGTATAATGTACTTCAACTGGCAGAAATCCTAGGAAAATACTCAAGTCTGTAAAGCAGATTTGGAAAGAAACAACTAAATGCTGAAGGGGAGACATCTCTTCAGCTTGTACTTACAGGGTTTGTTGCCCCCTCCTGCACCAAAGGCTGTAGTACCCCCAAAGGATGTCGAGGCAGAAGGCGTGGGGAACAACCCCCCTCCTGTGCTGGTACTGGTAGCACCAAAAAGACTACCGGATGCACCAGGGGTTTTATTCCCAAAGCTGAAACCTGATTAAGAAATGTATGAAAAAAGGGTTAATGCTAATATTTCAAACCTTAAGATTTATCATCAAACGTCTTACATCACAATAAGGCAGCAATTTTTGTTTTTTGCATGGTCTCTGTTTTTCTATATCTTTCTTCCTCTTTCCTCACATCCTCTCTCTCATATCCTCTCTCATTTTCTCGCTCATATCCTCTATCATCCTCCCTCTCATCCTCCATCTTCCTCGCCCACTCCCTAATCCTTTATCTTTTCTTAGAGTCAGTCTGTCCGCCTCTCTCTCTCTCTCTCTCTCTCTCTCTCTCTCTGTGTGTCTCTGCCTCTCTCTCTCTCTCTCTCTCTCTCTCTCTCCCCTCTCTCTCTCTCTCTCTCTCTCTCCCTCCTGCACTTCAAACATGCCTGTGGTTTGTCTGTTGGAGCCAGGGCATGAGTTCTTAGAAGGGGATACCTGATACAGTGTCTAGTGAAACCCTTCAATCCAGAGAAGCCACTAGGGACAGTCCCACACGTCACACAACATCACCACTCTTTCACCGAACATCATCAACACCGTCTCTCTATTCAGGGTGCATAAACACTGGAACATTTTTTTCTTTCTTTCGTTGAATAACAACATGAACCTTTACACAGGTAAACACTAGTTTGCAGACACAAATCCTAGCTAGTTGTAGTGTGTATTTGAACAGAGTGTCTGAACTGTTAGACTGTATTGACTGCATGATCTACTGCATCACGTAGGCTCTGTGTAATAGTCGCTCATGACTGACACAGCCAGAGATTGACATAGCTAGGGTCAGCTCAAGGATGGAATCAAATCAACAGTTTGTGCTTGTAGACAAAAAACTGCTTTCTTCATCCAATCTCAAGTTTAAAAGGGATGTAGGGGCATTTTACCCTTCAAAACCTTTTCTACAAGAACTTATCTATTTGAACAGTTACTCCATCAAGGGAAAACATGATCTCCTTTCTTTAGAAAATGTCCTTAAAATGACCCTTCAACCTAAGGCTAGGAGTGAGACCCTCATGGGTCTTAAACAGTACTAGAATGAAGAAGAAAAGAATGAGGGTGTGGATGGGGACTGTGTCATCTAGTGTATTCTATTTCTAGTTCTCTCTCTCTCTCTCTCTCTCTCTCTCCCCTTTCTCTTTTCCTCTCTCAGTTTATCTTTCTATCCCCTCTCTCTCTCTTCTTTCCATTTGCCAGGTCCCCCCCCCCCCCCCCCCCCGGGGCTATGCCACATAATGTGAAGCCTTTAAAATATAAACAAATGAATATGACAGGTGTACATTTCTACCGCAACTCACTCTTGAAATCACATGAAATGAATTTTCTTCATGACTTTGCACTTCCCGCATATCAAATTTGTTCCAATACCACAATAATCAAATTACGGTTTGAGACCGATTGGCACATGAGGATTATGGCCACTGAGTAATTGAGTTAGAAGCATGAATTATGCAATTAGATGTTTAATGGCAACGATTCTTGTGAATCATCACTTTTTCTTTGCTGCATATTAAAACTCTTGGAGTCTAGAGGGGAAGCCTTAACTTTTCCCCCTTCTCTTTTATTGCTCCATAGAAATTGGTTTATCCCTTGAATGGAAGTGTGACAGAGACAGAAGCAATGAGATTTAGCTCATCAACTTCCCTGACATTAAATGACATCTTTGACAAAGATTGAAGCAAAGAAAAACAAGGCAGTAAGCATAAATGTAGAATATTAACAAAATTGTACCCATAAAATCGTCATCAAATTAATTTCAAATCCTAACATACATATGATATGTTGTATAAATTGTAGTTGTTCATACCATACTTTCATTTTCATTAGAGGGAAAGTCCATTTTGGCCTCAAGAGATAAATCACTGGATATAATTTCCCCCCCCCCTGATTCTTCTCCTATTTGCACCTCTGTGATTACTACTGCAAGCACCTCTACCATTAATTCATTAAAAAGGTCTTGGATAAATAATTTTGTTAATTAACAGTATACTTAGTATCACTAGGGCACAAGTGTAATAAAATATTGGGGTGGAATTTTATGAAATTTCTTAATACAAAATTGAACACATGTTTGAGTAATCACAACAATGGTTTTCCCTCAAACTTTCACAGACATGTTTATCTCATTTCTGCCATTATTTAAGCCAATTTTATAAAAAAAGTCGATTTCCCCTTATTTTTTTCTTTCAAGAGAGCCCTCCTCCTATTTCTGATAATCATACATGTAAATAGCATTCTGTATTTTTTGTATCAGTTCACAATGCTTCACACCAAGTCAGCTGTATGAAAAACACCTTTATTTGAGAACAAAATACCATCTATTGTACTTCACATGCAAATGTCCTTGCAAAAAATAACAGGTGTGTAAATTTTCTTTCTTCAACAAACCCCTCAATAAACAAATTTACGGTACCATCCAACTACCATAAAAGTAAAAAAAATAAAAAAGGGGGAGGAGGAAAGTTAAACAAAAAAAATCCCAATGCGAGCTCTTCTGGAGGTGAGAGTGAGAGGAAGATATCTGCTTAGTAATAGTAAATAGTACACTCTTAATGTAAAATTTCTTTCATTTTCATTTTATTTTAATTTATTATAAATCCCTTTCAGTTTACCAGAGTTCTGACAATTGTAGAGCAAAGCTGCTCGCTTCTCTTGTGAAATTTTTCCCTGCTATTCAAATACCTTTGTTTGTAAATTACTACTCCTGTAGCGAGGCAATGGTATCATATTAATACAGATTAATACTATTATCATCAATGCATTTTAAACCAATTCATTACATAAACATGTAGATAAAGCCTACCTGTGCTGCTTGGCTGTCCAAATGAAGTGGTTCCTCCGCTAAACAGTCCGCCAGCAGTAGATGTACTCGGGTTAGCTCCAAACAATCCTCCTGCAGGCGTGCTCTGCCCAAAGGCATTGGGGGTGCCAAAGCCACCCGCAGCGGGTGTGGCCGCGCCGAAGCTGGTGTTCCCTGGAGGATAGAAATAAAGCCCTAGGTCAGAAAGATGTTTGGGGATTCCCCCCATTAAGCCATCAAGGTAAAGCTCAGAGGCTTCTTGGGAGAGAGGGTTCAGCATGGTGCCCCTTTCTACTCGCTCACCTACCACAAGAGTTTAATAGCCAGTCACTTCCTGTAGTTTCCTATCGCTGTAGGCACAAGCAGTGATGCTTCTCATTTGCAGAAGTCATTAATTCATTATCCTCATAAACATTATACTTGTTATCAAAATAAAATCCTTCATCAGTAGAGGGCAATGCTCTCCTTCAAAAACTCTGCACAGAGCAAAGCCTCACAATTACAAATAACTTGGCATTTCAGCAAAAACACAGCGTCAGGATCCCTAAGGCAGCGATAGAGTTGGAGGGCTATCATAATATGATTTTGATACAATTCCTTCCTCTCATTAACAGAGACAGGAGTAGGTTCCCTTGAAGCGGGAGGCAAGAACAACAAAAATCCTGATCCAGCTCTGGCTCTGGCTGATTACTTCACTGATGTTGAGGCAGACAATCCCCGAAGAAAGGTAGCAAGAGAAAGAGGGGACTTCCCTTGCACTCTGCACTGAATCCCGGCCCGAAATGAATCCACAGAGATAAGCCCTAGCTGTCTGCCTACGACCTACAGCTGAATCAAGGGCCCCAGGGGGATACCCCCACACTACCCCCACGTTACCCCTACACCGTAACAGCACAGGTTATAATTACGCAACTAATTCGAGGTGACTTCTCAGTTAACATTTGCCTCTCACCGCTGGTCCCATGAGTGTGCTACCCAGCCAGTGAAAAATGTCATGGCACTTCCGTCAATGATCTTGGCAATGTTTTGCCCTGACATCCTATCCACAATGTACCTTCTCTTTCTTTTCTCTCTGTTTATCCTTGGGGAGGAGAGGGGGGATTAGGATAGAGGAACATATCTTGCGTCACAATGTTCAATATTTCTGTGAAAGACGTAGATGTAAAGTGCGCACAAACATAGAATATACAATTGTACAGAAAGAATGAGGGTTCATGAGGTATAAAGCTACTACAGCGTGGAATGGAAGATAAGTTTATTAAATAAAATTAGATGTCTAAAAATAGAAAAAAGTCAAGAGAGTGGATTCAGCGTATTCAGCAACCCCACTGGTAAGCCGTGAAAGGCTAATTTTTCAACTCGCGATTCAAAATCTTATAACCAGGGCAGCGCAGCACAAAGCTAGTCACTGATCAAAATGACCAAAGTGGTCCGAAGAGTTCACATTTATATTGAATTTGGATGTCAGAACCACAAATCAACAGAGTCTGATTGAAAATTTGACATTTTTGTCGACTGCAGCACATGAAATGGACTAAAAACTGGTGTCGCTAGATGGCGCTATGTATTGTGAATCCACTATATTGAATTTACACATCATTATCCAGAAGGTCAAAAGATTGATTGTATACAAATTCAGTACATTAAAGGAAAGGTGGTGATACAGTTTCTTTTATTGAAATAGGGATGACTGGGCCAAAAAAAAACCAACAGGAGAGTACAATCAGCTGATGGCAAAGAGAAATTACAAAAACTACTAATGTGATAAACAAAAAACAAAAAAACAGAAAAATAACAACTTGCTGGAATGGCCTGTGCAAACTTTACTTGGGAACATTCTTTATTCGCCAATGGGTTTTTTTTTTGGGGGGGGGGGGGGAGGGGCCCTTTATATTAGGATCAACTTCATTCCAAGCCCCCAGTAATATCTATCCACATGTAGTACTATATATATATATATATATATATATATATATATGTATATATATATATACAGTATATATCAAATTAAAGCAATATGGTAATTGTATTCCCTTAACAGTGGCTTTTATTTCAATACCCAGCATACAAAGGGGCTTGTACTGCCTTTTACATTTAATAATTCTGCCCTATTGCTACAAATGACCTTAGAAAATAAGACTTTGGGGAGACAGATTCCTCTCCATGTGCCCATCTGAGGGTGGGGGGGAGGGGTGGGGTGGGTGCCATACATGTTTTCCTAAGAATAATTATAATATACCTTCTTCTTTTTGTGTGTGTGTGTGTGTGTGAAGAGAAAGGAGCTATTAATTGTAGACAATTGCTATCAGCTCAAGGCAAACTATTTTGTTTTCATACACAAGTACAGTAGGTGTGCAAGATTTAAAGGGAAAGTTGAGTTCTGTTTTCAGACCGCAAATGCCTTCAAAGTGCATGGTTATTGCTCTTATTCTTATCTTTGACATTTATAGTGCCCTTTTAGAACCTAAAATTGCTATGAAGGTAATTTTAGACCCCAAAATGTGTGAAATTTAGCCAATACAATCATATAAATTCAGCTCCACTTTAAAAAAAAACACGATGACAGTTAATTAATTATTTAATCAAAAATAACAATACATGAACCGGCTAATTGTGGTAATATAAGCAACACGAAAATGCCAACAAAAAAGTCAATATCTGCATTGGCTGAAATACGACGTAACAGGCGTTATTTCGTTTTTCTTCAACGGTTATTTCAAATTTTTCAAAATATCTAATATTTGTAGTGGTACACAAGTATTAGAAATTGTTATATTTCAGCCGTCTCTGAACCGATTTTGATCAAACAAAGATGATTTTGTCATTTAAATATTATGTTCTTTCAAATTTGACACTCAGTTTTTCATTATCTCATAAAAAAATTATTTTGTGTAGCACCCTCTGCAACAGAACTCAACTTTCCCTTTAAGTTTACTTTTAGAAGTCTAACACATGCACAATTGCCAGGGCTTGGCACTCACATGGATCTAGTGTGCATTTGCCCTCAAATTATTAACTACGGTACATGTATGGACCCCATGTTCCTGGTGTTTCTCATGTTACACTCCCACACATTTCAATTCATTATGCGCTTACATGTAATTCATATTCTCTATTATTATTATAACTGTATTATTATCCAATTTTCAGACTCATTAAACATATAGGATGGTTAGGGGCATGCCATGTCAATAATGTGAGCATTTCAGTGCCAAATCATTGCATAAAGGGCATTCAGGTTTCTGTGTATGTGTAACAGCGCCATCTAGTGCCGCATGAACGGCCATCATCAGATAAATAAGTCATCATCGTTTAAATGCCGGCAAACCATGTGTTTGATGCACTCGCTCAACCAGCGCAGTCCCTATGTTTTTTTTTAAAAACAATATTGTGCCCCTATATACAGCCAAATAATAACCCAAGCCATGGAGGTCATCGTACTAAATCACCCTCAAAATGACGGCAAACAGACAGTTATTAAAACTTGCTTGAGAAAATATTCCAAAATAAATCCTAGAACTATTACTGAGTTGTAAACACATTTGAAGAGCTATGACACAAAGTTTGTCAGCAAAACAATTGACCCCCAAACATTCCCCATTTTGTATACCCATGCTTGTAGTTTTGTACTCCTGTTCCAGCAACCCAGCACGTGATCTGCTATCTGTGCACGTGCACTTGTGCATGCGCAGTGATTTCGTATTATAGCTAATGGAACATGCAAACATTAAATAAATGTTCAAAACATAAATGGGTTTTAACTGTAAGCTAAAAGAGTTTCTTATACATTTACAAAACTGCTAAGCATCTAGTACAGAACAAAGGACTTGCAAGCAGCAAAAATGGCAACTAGCAGGAAACATTAAATTTTCATGTAATCTTCATAAATCATCAAATGACTCCAAAAATCAAACTACCGTATCAATTTGAAGACGTCCCAGTCCACCTGATGTCAAAGACCCCTTCCTCGCCCAACTTGAAGTGCAGGAAATTTCCAATGACACTCATCAATGTGACTCACACATGGATGCATGTTTTCAATCATCAAACCGGTACATTTTGGGAAAGATTTGATGACAAGCAGGAAAGTGGTAGAAATGACGGAAATTTCATATTTTGACAAGAGAAAAAACATTATGCTGCCATCAGAGTGTACATAATTACATACATGTGTGTATGTGTAAATGCAATGTTGTTTTTTTTCTAAATAAAGCCTTTCTGTATATTTGAAGGTTAGAGTTGTAACATGCCTATAGATGGTCGTTCTTGACAAACATGTACAGAATAATGTTTAAAGGAGAAGTCTACCCAGTCAAAGAGCTGGCTTTTAAGAGCAACAGAAATCAATCAATAATAGTGTGAGGAAGACACCCACTACTAAAGGCTAAAAATATTTCATGATGTAGCCATGGTTACTATACATGTATTTACATGAAATTTCTTTGTACATCAACAATAAAAATGAAAAATGTTATTCATGATTTTCAGTTTTCAAAGCACATATATAAAGCAAAGAAAATTATGAAAACTTTCTCATACTTTTATGTCAAAATTCAAGTGCAGGGCTCCACACTAACTTTTTTGAACGGGAGTCAAGATTCAACTTTTTAGAGTCGGCATGCTTAAAGGGATAGTTAGTTCTTGTTAAAGACTACAAATACCTTCAAAGTGCATGGTTATTGCTCTTATTCTAATTTATAACATATTTAGTGCCCTTTTAGAACCTAAAATTGCTATGAAGGTGATTTTAGACCCCAAAATGTGTGAAATTTAAATTAAATACGATCATACCAATTCAGCTCCACTTTCAAAAATATGGTGACTGTTAATTAATATATAATAACAATACACAGGCCGGCTGGCTGCTCGTATTATAACCAACACAAAAAAGCCAACAAATGGCCAATATTGGCATTAGCTGAAATAAAAATAAAGGTGCTATCTTGTTTTTCAATGGCTGGTTCCAAATTACTGAATATTTGTAGGGCTCCACAAAATATTAGAAATCATAATATTTAAGGAGATTTCAGCCATTTCTAAACTAATTTTGATCAATCAAAGACGATTTTGTCATTAACATGTAAATTGTATATTCTTTCAAATTTGAAACTTAGTTTTTCATTATCTCACAAAAAAATATTTTGAATAGCGCCCTCTGCAACAAAACTCAACTATCCCAACATCAAATTCTGTAGAACTCTGTAGAACTTTGCAGGAGTTATGAATATGTCATGTATGTCCTATCTGTGATATCTAAAGGTGAAATTCAAAAAATATCACAAATATGTCACAAATGTATCACTAGAAACTGGTAAGCTAACAGATGGCCATCGTACAAGTTTGAGGTCAACTACATATCGGGTGATTTATAGAAATACAAATACAACCACCTCCATAGCAGCTGGGATATACGAGAGATTCGCCGGAAAAAATAACGATGTTTTAATGACGTCACTATATGGACCAATGCTGCCCAAGCGGATGACATCCCATAAAGAATGAACATAATTGCAAAGCTATTATTTGTCAAATTATAATGAGTTAAGTGTATATAAATGTAATGGCATGTCAAACCATTCAAAAGGGGATACGACCCGATTCTGATAACTAAAATCTTTTGCTTGTAAATACACAGGATGGGGGTTAATTAACAATCAAAGAAGCTAGACTTTCAAATTGAAAGACCCCCGGAATGATATTGAGGACGGCATTTGTTCCCTCTTGAACCGCCTAACAAACCGCGGTGTGTGCAGCTGAATATACAATGGCATCTTATTTTGTTTACAAGCGACAGATTCCTTTATTTTTGTATCGCTGCATTTGTCATCAAAATAAAAACATGCGCGGGTTTAGAGTGAGGCAATAGATTATACATTTAGCCTGACGGTAGTGAAGAAAGAGAAAGAACTCAAGAGAAGATGAAAAACAGGCATTGAAAATGTGTGAGATGTCATAGGACATCGTCTGCTTGTGCAAATCATGTCCATACTGTGATCTCACACATCTCAGCAGCGTTCGGAGAGCTCTTCAGGTGCTATGCCCGGGGCTGTATTTAAGCGTTTTGTAATTTATAATAATCATTACTTCGAATGTTACCAAGCATTGAATTTTGATAACCTTGTCGAATCAAAGTTTCAACTTTGCAATAATGAAAATAAAGTTTAGTTTTTTAAATCAATGAATATCTACTTTAAACGTTACATGTAGCTGTGTCCTATTATTCAAATTATTCATGGAAACATGTTTAGTATTCTAGGACTTCACTGTCAGACACTATTGAGTGCCTAACTTCGTTTCGTTGACGATCAGCCATGCATGCATCACGTCTTTCATTTTCTTTGTGCATGGCTGACGCACTGTACAGTATTCCGAAAAGATTATCAATTTTTTCAAAGTTCATAAAAGATTGTGAAATGTCATGCATGAAATGATACAAATTATATACATGTAACCTGGGCAATGGCAAGGGGAAATCAAGTTCTTGGGTATGAAAAAGGGAAATTAATGGGATAAAAATATGTAAAGCAAACAATGCGTCCCAGAAAAATGATGATCAGCCTTGCATCAACTCTTTCGTCTTCTTTGTGCATGGCTTGAGGTCAACGAAATGGAGTTAAGTCTTCTGTCAACTCTGTTTGTTGCTACGGCAGGCAGTCAGTGAAAACGATTTCGTTTTATCAAATTATGGAAGTGCAAGCTTTATTTTAAACAAACAGAACTCTCTCATTCCTATCTCATTTTTTCTGATTGAGGTGTCATATGAAAGGGCAGAAATTGAACTTTCTAGAAATCTGATTTCCTCTTTGAAATTCAGATACCGCCAACCAAAGGTCTTCAAATTGTTTGTAATCACTCATGCATGAAATATGTATCATATGAGTTGCATCACATGAAAGCGGAGGATCTAAGCTTTACAAATATGGGTCATTTATTAATTATAATTGTGATTAAGTTGTGATAAAACATTGACAAACGGTTTTGTTTTTCTGGGACGCATGATAGTGAGGCAATGACGTCACAAACTATTGAACAGAAAGCAAGTTATTTTTGGAGTGGACTTAGCCTTTAAAGAGGGTTGATTTCTGTTAATTTTGATATATATGAAAGGTAGGTTTATAATCACTATTTATTTGAAAATCTTTGTCAGAAACAGTGTCCACTTTCTATTACTGCCAATAGTATCTGAGTGTACACTAAACTGAATTACTTATCCTGACAAAAAAAGAGTGGAGTACAAAAGTAAATATGAACTTACCTGTCCCAAAGGATGACGTCCCCCCAAAGGGGGTTTTATTTCCCCCACCAAACATTGTCTTTTCTCTGTTCCTCTAGACTGGTGTTGTTTTCTGCTACTGCTTTAGAATAAGATCTAGAGGCATAAGATAAAAGAAAAGAAAAGATGCAAACATCATTTAATTTCAGTTTCTGTAATTTATGCAGAAAAATGTTTTTTTACAACTTTTTATTCATAGACCTAGTGAATGAATCCAGGAAGCTGTGCCGTCACTGCCGTGCACCAGATTGGAGGGCTGTGGGTAGCTGCTTAAAGTTTTAAAGCTTATCTGCCGTAGTTTACAGGAGGGATTAGACTGCCCTGCAAGGTCACTGAATATGTGGTTATCTCATCAACTCAGCTCTCAGTTAACATAAGAAAAAGAGGATCATGGGGGACCAATGGTCACCGATTAGGCATTGTTTGTTATATAGAGGGCACAAGTAGCTACAAGTAGTGCAGTGGGCCTCTAAAGATAACAGGGTCCTGTTCCTGTTGTTGGAGAGTGCCCCTAAATTCAATTATTGAATGGATTCTTTTTTGGTGGGCAACTTTCTTGTCGCTGGGAATATAACCAAATTTGTTTGGTAAGGACGCAATTTATCTGCGTTTACGAGGATAACCTCATTTAAGTGGACAATCCTCATTCTCGGACCAGCGCCCCCCCCCCCCCCCCACTCTCAATATAAAATTATTATAATAAATCTAGTGACTAGTCTACAGTAGGGCGGCGCTGGTCCGAGAAGATGCGTCAGTAAAAATAAGGATCGTCCGCATTTTCGCAGACGTTCATAATTCCGATCCGCGCTATGACGATGCAAAAAACGGATTTCGCAAACGAACTCACCAATGTTTTTTATCAAAAGATACAGCCCCCCAAAATCTAGGCAATATTCATTCAATTTTTGTCAGAATCAAACAAAAAAGATGTACACGCAGAGTTATATTCCTTACGACTGGGACTACTTATCGCTCGGGTGTCATTTTTCAAAAGTGGCATATTCTCGGAGCTAGGATGCAAACAATGTTTAATTCGCTGTTTTGAACAAGATATTTTTAGAACTACGAGATGACCCCCCTTTGGAAATATGGAGAAAAACCTGCTTTCATATGACATCTCATTTATTGAGTATCACCTTTAGGATCACGAGCAATAAAGGTTTGAATCTTGATTTGGTAATAAAACCATTTGACCAATTTTGCATGAGCACGCAATGTAGATCTAGATCTAGGTATAGACTGCAATGGATGCATGCAATTGCAATCTAAATCTAAATATGGGAAGGATTTTAGCACACAAAATCGAGTGTGTGATCATTATAAGCGATAAATCCTCAGGAAGACGGACAAGTGGGACAACCCATAAAATTAGTATACAGTGAACCTTATTTTTTAGGACGCAATTTGTCTGCGTTAAAGAGGATATCGTTTATATTAAACGGATTATTTCAGTCAAGTTGGTAAGTGGAACCGATGTAGTATAACCTTCTCCTAATTTTAAATAATCAATGCATGAGGTAAAATGACATTTTGGGGGATTTTGGGGGCAAAACGCTACGACCTGAAATGGCCGTGGCGTTATCAAGGGAATGTGTATAGACGGTTTCCGTCTCTAAAGAGAGAGCCGGCCGACCCTACCACAATAAGAGGCTAACGAACGAAAGAGACGAAAAATTCGGTCTAATACTTTACATGCTGTGAGGCAGGGACCTAGAAGTCTATACACAAATACACACACCACACAATATCGCATAGACTGTACACAATCATGTTGATGCGGCTGTAGGCCTAAGCAAAGTTTGACACAAGACTTACAATTTGAATTTTTAAATTATTCTTTTTAACATCAGTATGACAGTAAGTTGAAAAAAATGTATTTTACTGCTAGGCCTATTTAAATTTAGACTAGTCTAGGTGTCATCAATTGTCACTAAAGTACCGATTTTGAGTGAAATCAGTTGAGTTTTGTACAGTGGTGTTTGAAATGTTGAGAATCAAAAGCACAGCTTTTAGTACTACACAGCCAGGATAGTGATGCTCCTAGTGAGTAGTGTGTCTCGGACCAGCACTGCACGCACTACTCAACTTTCTGGTCTAGAATTATACTAGGCCCAAGTTAGGGACCATGTTTGCTCACCCTCTTGTTTACGTTGTTCAATTGAAATCACTCAGTCTCCTCTTGTCAAATCGTCTCATCAATGTCATTCATTGACTTTACAATTAATGCACCAACATGACCAACGCAATGGCAATGGCGAGTTTTAACGTCAACAACGTTTTCACACAAAATCAAAATGTAACGTTTTGTCGTTAGATCTACTAAAAGTAAAACACTCGTAGATCTAGATATATTACCCTTTGGATTAAGTTTAGTGTGTGTGTAATGCTAGTAAGTAGCATACTGATTACAGTCAACAGATGGTACACCTTTATAAACAAGTTGCATAGAAAAATCTCTTCGAAAATAATATTACCAGAGTCAAAATATCCAGTTCAAACCCGTCCAAATCTAGTACACGCTAGATGCACGTTACACATGTGTTAAAAATATACCCCGCCGTATTTTAGCTGTTTTTCAAAACGACAATGCAGAGGGAGCTATTCAAAATGGCGTCAAACACTGGAGACGAGAGTTCCAAAACTGCTGAACAAAAAGTCGATTCGACTCAAGGGAACTCATCAGGAAATGTCCAAAAACCATCTGCAAGGAAGCCTATTAATCTGGCTTACAATGGTAGAAGTTTTATGCGAGACATACTGTCGGAGTCGATCTTAGGTATGGAATGAAAGTTATTTGGCATGCATGTGGCATGCGGCCACGGCGCGTCTCTCAGTCCCAAAGATATCGAAATATGTAATGGGCGTGTAGATCTACGTGTGATTTCATTTTGGGGGAACTGCTTTCGGCACTTGTTCAGAAGCCTATTTAAAATTTGACCCGTAACTCCGGCGTGGAGACACCCGACCAAAACATACCCAAAATGAAGTAAATAATAATAATAAAGATAGATTTATTGAGCGCATAATAAACCGAAGTTTCTCTATGCGCTTTACAAATCTGAAAAATTGAGCTCATAAAATGAGCATTATTTCAAGTATTTTTCAGATTTAGAATTAGAGCCCGTTTTTGTGCGAATCGCAAGCTCAAAAGTATCTCATCGCATGTATTAAATCAATGCAGCCGGACACCGCAACGCACACACGATATCTCTGTCTAATTCAGATTCCAATTTCCGTTCAACTCATTTTATAGTAGATCTACCCATATTTCTTACATACACGCGTAAGAAACTCGATTTTTCAGATTTGGGTAGCGGGATCGGGACCGCCGATTACATCGCTAAAATGTGATATTTAAGGATATATTTTCCATTGCAAATGTGGTTCTTTAGAGACTCTGGCATTGTAATGATATGTGTGGGATATGTGATATTCTATTAGATCTAGAGTAAAGTACCCGGTTTTCGGCCACTTAAGACAAAATCCTATTTATTGGACTCTTTACTTTCTATTTATTATCATTTCTTGTTCAAATCATGAAGCAAATATTATTATTATTTAAACAAAAAAAGAATCCCAAAAAAAAATCACGAATTGCCATGACAATATTCATTTCAATTTTCACTGTTTTGGAGCCGGTTATCGGCCGAGCGTTTCAGTTTACGGCCGCATGTACAAAGTCAATAGGAAGCGCTCGCGCGCGCCGTGCGTTTCTGCGCTGATGTATAGCACAAGCGGGCGGAGCAGGTATCCCACGCCGGAGCTCCCGGGTGCTCGCCTGGCCGAATACAGGCACAGCGGTGATCGGAAGTTGGAATCTGAATTAGACAGACATATCGTGTGTGCGTCGCGGTGTGCGGCTGCATTGATTTAATACATGCGATGAGATACTTTTGAGCTTGCGACCAGCACAAAATCGGGCTCTATATCTGAAAAATACTTGAAATAAAGCTCATTTTATGGTACCCATATTTCTTACATACACGCGTAAGAAACTCGATTTTTCAGATTTGGGTAGCGGGACCGCCGATTACATCGCTAAAATGTGATATTTTAGGATATATTTTTCATTGCAAATGTGGTTCTTCAGTGACACTGGCATGGTATGGTATGTGTGGGATATGTGTTATGCTATTATGCGATGTATTTTAAAGTGATTTTACCATGTATCCAACCAATTGGCCGAAAACCGGAGCTGACCGATTACCGGGTACTTTACTCTATGCGATGTATTTTAAAGGGATTTTACCATGCATCCAATAGAACGGCCGAAAACTGTCGACGGTCGATTACCCCCTCCTTTACTCTAGTTAGTAGTTCATGATGTCCTCACATTAATATTTATTTCATACTAGAAACTAAAAATATAAGATATGAAAACAATTGAGGCAGGCCAATAAAAGGCAGGGGGAAATTGCTCCTCAGAAAAACTCACATGGGTTCAAAAACATGCACTACTGGGAGTATTATACCATAGATAATATTGGATATTTGTATAGTGCACACATCCACCATGCATGGTGCTCAATGCGCTCCAACTATTACCCCCCCGCTCTTCTAGGCAGCCGATATCGGCGTTCACAGCATTCAAGGAATTCCTTCCTACCGGTACCCATTTAACACCTGGGTGGAGAGTGGAAAATTTAGATTAATATCTTGCCAAAGGACATTAGTGCCATGGCGGAACTCGAACTGCAAACCCTGTGATTCACAGTCCAATGACAGTAGTAGTACAGTATGCAAGATTATCCATATGATAACCTTACCTCTTCAAACAATCCACAGGGTTCATCTTTTGGAGTGTCCTGCATGGCTTCGCACCAATGGTATGGTTTTACCCCCTCAACATGCTGGAGATCTCAGGGTATGAAGCTCTTGCTGTTGTCTGGTTTTCTCCGATCCTTTGCGCCATCCCTGCTATCTACTCTGCCCTGCAGACCAAGACAGGCCTGTTCTTGCTCCGAGCCATCATGGTGGGTAGTGTGGCGTCCTTCCAAGCGCCCACGACACTGACGCGGCTAATGGTGCTGACAGCTGGCAACTTTGCGCTGGTGCTTCTGTGGTGTGCGACTTGGTGGCATAAAACATCCCAACAGAGGTTAGAGGCATTACTTTCAACATGATTTATAACAGAATTTGTGTATTTGAGGATACGTGTATAAGAATAAAAAAAGGAAAGTTTGATTTAGGCCACCATAGTGTTGTTTGAAAAGAGAACGGTATTGTATGAGTAATTATATTCATCAGAGAAAATAGAGAAGAACATGATATGTTGTGTAGGATCGTTTTATGGTTTGATTTCAGTGGGAAAATTAGAACAAATATTGTTAAAAATTGTCCAAGGATTCAACAGATGATTTTTTTTTACATTGTTATTTCAGGCTAAATAAAAGAAGATTTAAAACTCCCCTAAATTGTCAATATTTATGGGACCATGTTAACACCACTATACAAAAGGCCCGATCCTAACCGAAGAGTTTGACTCATTATCATGTTCTTGAAAGTAGTCTTTGACACGCTTTACAAAAGAATTCTCCTTCTCTTGTTGAATGCAGAGTTGTATCATTCTGGGGAGCCATGATAGGGTTCATAGCCATGCTAGCATCCCGCATCTGGTACGTCTCAATCAATCCTACCTGGAGTGATACTACCAGTAATACCTTCATCCTCACCATCGGTGCCATTGCAGTGGTAGAAAGGTACTTCGCAGGTAAGAACGACCTTATGGATATACATGGGCAAAATCAACCCTTAGGTACATGCACATAGACAGCAGTAAGGGTGGATGGGGAGGGGGGGGGGGCATTGAGTAAGAATAAATCTCTTTGAAAATGTGATGAATAATCTGCAATAATTTGCATCCTTTTGGACAAAGCCACATGAATGACCTGATTCTAGAAGACATTGTTTTTAGGTTTCTTATCATTTTTATCATAACCACATCAGCATTCTGCAATATTTCCAAAATGAGGAATTCTTTCTTTAAAGGTAATACAAAGTTTGGTAGGGGGTCATGAATTTGGTTCAAATGAACATTACATATTTCATATTAAAAGCATATGCGATTTTACAATATTCAATGATCGTTGAAATCGAGTCTAAAGTGATGAAATTGTAAATAATAAACTCTTTATGCTGTATAGCTCCCTCTCGAGACTGGTATTACTTTAGATTTAAAACAATGCTTCTTGACTACAATCAACCGATTTGCTATTCCCGTTTGGAAATTATATATCAGAACTGCATATTCTGAGATTTTCATAGTCCCAGCTACCATGGAATGGCTTTAGGCGATATTTGAAATATTTGAAATATTTGAAATTAACGGGAGCACCAGTAAATTTTGATTATTCAATTTCTCGGAAGCAGAAGTATTTTAGGGGCTAAATTTTCTAGTGCTTATAATACATCCACAGGGGCATCCAAATATATCAAAATTTTAAAGAATCACTAGCCATCCAATTTCTAAAATTTCCCAAAACCTTGCATTACCTTTAAAGCTACAAGTACATGGAAGTATCGATTTGTACAGATTTTCTTTAAAAATTGTCAGATGTACACATTGTCAGTGCACAGATGTATTTGTTGCATTGTTAAAATAAAGGAAACATCATGAAGCGAGCCCTTCTTTTGGCTTTTCACAGAAAGTATCCTTGATAGAACTTGTAGTATTAATGTTTACATAAATATTAATAATAGGTCTTTGAACATTGAGCGTAGTCTCTCAATCGTGTAAATTGAATTGTCTTTTCCAGCTGAACCAAAGAGTCCAGAGCCAAGGCCCAATGAAACAGTGTCACCTTATTGGAAGACTATTGGCATAGGTTTCGGGAGTCTTCTTTTTGTCACTCACTGGATCTATGGGGAGGTGGCGGTGGTGAGCCGATGGTCAGTTACCGGAAACCCCCTGCCTGGACCACACCCATTCCCAGCAAGGTAGGGTAACTTACAGGGATCTTAGGGAGGTGTCCGTGGTAAGCTGATGGTTGGTTGGTTGCTGGGTACCCTTTGCTTGACCCTCCCATTCCCAGCAAGGTAGGGTAACTAACAGGGATCTTCGGGAGATGTCTGTGGTAAGCTGATGGTTGGTTGGTTGCTGGGTACCCTTTGCTTGACCCTCCCATTCCCAGCAAGGTAGGGTAACTTACAGGGATCTTAGAGAGGTGTCCATGGTAAGCTGATGGTTGGTTGGTTGCTGGGTACCCTTTGCTTGACCCTCCCATTCCCAGCAAGGTAGGGTAACTTACAGGGATCTTAGGGAGGTGTCCATGGTAAGCTGATGGTTGGTTGGTTGCTGGGTACCCTTTGCTTGACCCTCCCATTCCCAGCAAGGTAGGGTAACTTACAGGGATCTTAGGGAGGTGTCCGTGGTAAGCTGATGGTTGGTTGGTTGCTGGGTACCCTTTGCTTGACCCTCCCATTCCCAGCAAGGTAGGGTAACTTACAGGGATCTTAGGGAGGTGTCCGTGGTAAGCTGATGGTTGGTTGGTTGCTGGGTACCCTTTGCTTGACCCTCCCATTCCCAGCAAGGTAGGGTAACTTACAGGGATCTTAGGGAGGTGTCCGTGGTAAGCTGATGGTTGGTTGGTTGCTGGGTACCCTTTGCTTGACCCTCCCATTCCCAGCAAGGTAGGGAAACTAACAGGGATCTTCGGGAGATGTCTGTGGTAAGCTGATGGTTGGTTGGTTGCTGGGTACCCTTTGCTTGACCCTCCCATTCCCAGCAAGGTAGGGTAACTTACAGGGATCTTAGGGAGGTGTCTGTGGTAAGCTGATGGTTGGTTGGTTGCTGGGTACCCTTTGCTTGACCCTCCCATTCCCAGCAAGGTAGGGTAACTTACAGGGATCTTAGGGAGGTGTCCGTGGTAAGCTGATGGTTGGTTGGTTGCTGGGTACCCTTTGCTTGACCCTCCCATTCCCAGCAAGGTAGGGTAACTTACAGGGATCTTAGGGAGGTGTCCGTGGTAAGCTGATGGTTGGTTGGTTGCTGGGTACCCTTTGCTTGACCCTCCCATTCCCAGCAAGGTAGGGTAACTAACAGGGATCTTCGGGAGATGTCTGTGGTAAGCTGATGGTTGGTTGGTTGCTGGGTACCCTTTGCTTGACCCTCCCATTCCCAGCAAGGTAGGGTAACTTACAGGGATCTTAGAGAGGTGTCCATGGTAAGCTGATGGTTGGTTGGTTGCTGGGTACCCTTTGCTTGACCCTCCCATTCCCAGCAAGGTAGGGTAACTTACAGGGATCTTAGGGAGGTGTCCGTGGTAAGCTGATGGTTGGTTGGTTGCTGGGTACCCTTTGCTTGACCCTCCCATTCCCAGCAAGGTAGGGTAACTTACAGGGATCTTAGGGAGGTGTCCGTGGTAAGCTGATGGTTGGTTGGTTGCTGGGTACCCTTTGCTTGACCCTCCCATTCCCAGCAAGGTAGGGTAACTTACAGGGATCTTAGGGAGGTGTCCGTGGTAAGCTGATGGTTGGTTGGTTGCTGGGTACCCTTTGCTTGACCCTCCCATTCCCAGCAAGGTAGGGTAACTAACAGGGATCTTCGGGAGATGTCTGTGGTAAGCTGATGGTTGGTTGGTTGCTGGGTACCCTTTGCTTGACCCTCCCATTCCCAGCAAGGTAGGGTAACTTACAGGGATCTTAGAGAGGTGTCCATGGTAAGCTGATGGTTGGTTGGTTGCTGGGTACCCTTTGCTTGACCCTCCCATTCCCAGCAAGGTAGGGTAACTTACAGGGATCTTAGGGAGGTGTCCATGGTAAGCTGATGGTTGGTTGGTTGCTGGGTACCCTTTGCTTGACCCTCCCATTCCCAGCAAGGTAGGGTAACTTACAGGGATCTTAGGGAGGTGTCCGTGGTAAGCTGATGGTTGGTTGGTTGCTGGGTACCCTTTGCTTGACCCTCCCATTCCCAGCAAGGTAGGGTAACTTACAGGGATCTTAGGGAGGTGTCCGTGGTAAGCTGATGGTTGGTTGGTTGCTGGGTACCCTTTGCTTGACCCTCCCATTCCCAGCAAGGTAGGGTAACTTACAGGGATCTTAGGGAGGTGTCCGTGGTAAGCTGATGGTTGGTTGGTTGCTGGGTACCCTTTGCTTGACCCTCCCATTCCCAGCAAGGTAGGGTAACTTACAGGGATCTTAGGGAGGTGTCCGTGGTAAGCTGATGGTTGGTTGGTTGCTGGGTACCCTTTGCTTGACCCTCCCATTCCCAGCAAGGTAGGGTAACTTACAGGGATCTTAGGGAGGTGTCCATGGTAAGCTGATGGTTGGTTGGTTGCTGGGTACCCTTTGCTTGACCCTCCCATTCCCAGCAAGGTAGGGTAACTTACAGGGATCTTAGGGAGGTGTCCGTGGTAAGCTGATGGTTGGTTGGTTGCTGGGTACCCTTTGCTTGACCCTCCCATTCCCAGCAAGGTAGGGTAACTTACAGGGATCTTAGGGAGGTGTCCGTGGTAAGCTGATGGTTGGTTGGTTGCTGGGTACCCTTTGCTTGACCCTCCCATTCCCAGCAAGGAAGGGTAACTTACAGGGATCTTAGGGAGGTGTCCGTGGTAAGCTGATGGTTGGTTGGTTGCTGGGTACCCTTTGCTTGACCCTCCCATTCCCAGCAAGGTAGGGTAACTTACAGGGATCTTAGGGAGGTGTCCGTGGTAAGCTGATGGTTGGTTGGTTGCTGGGTACCCTTTGCTTGACCCTCCCATTCCCAGCAAGGTAGGGTAACTTACTGGGATCTTCGGGAGATGTCTGTGGTAAGCTGATGGTTGGTTGGTTGCTGGGTACCCTTTGCTTGACCCTCCCATTCCCAGCAAGGTAGGGTAACTTACAGGGATCTTAGAGAGGTTTCCATGGTAAGCTGATGGTTGGTTGGTTGCTGGGTACCCTTTGCTTGACCCTCCCATTCCCAGCAAGGTAGGGTAACTTACAGGGATCTTAGGGAGGTGTCCGTGGTAAGCTGATGGTTGGTTGGTTGCTGGGTACCCTTTGCTTGACCCTCCCATTCCCAGCAAGGTAGGGTAACTTACTGGGATCTTCGGGAGATGTCTGTGGTAAGCTGATGGTTGGTTGGTTGCTGGGTACCCTTTGCTTGACCCTCCCATTCCCAGCAAGGTAGGGTAACTTACAGGGATCTTAGAGAGGTGTCCATGGTAAGCTGATGGTTGGTTGGTTGCTGGGTACCCTTTGCTTGACCCTCCCATTCCCAGCAAGGTAGGGTAACTTACAGGGATCTTAGGGAGGTGTCCGTGGTAAGCTGATGGTTGGTTGGTTGCTGGGTACCCTTTGCTTGACCCTCCCATTCCCAGCAAGGTAGGGTAACTTACAGGGATCTTAGGGAGGTGTCCGTGGTAAGCTGATGGTTGGTTGGTTGCTGGGTACCCTTTGCTTGACCCTCCCATTCCCAGCAAGGTAGGGTAACTTACAGGGATCTTAGGGAGGTGTCCGTGGTAAGCTGATGGTTGGTTGGTTGCTGGGCACCCTTTGCTTGACCCTCCCATTCCCAGCAAGGTAGGGTAACTTACAGGGATCTTAGGGAGGTGTCTGTGGTAAGCTGATGGTTGGTTGGTTGCTGGGTACCCTTTGCTTGACCCTCCCATTCCCAGCAAGGTAGGGTAACGTACAGGGATCTTAGAAAGGTGTCCGTGGTAAGCTGATGGTTGGTTCCTGGGTACCCTTTGCCTGACCCACCCATTCCGAGCAAGATAAAAGACATTCAAGGGTCACCTAACAGTGATCTTTGGGGAGGTGTTGGTAATTGATAGCTGGTGATCGTTCACTGGCTACCCTCTGCTCAGGCCACACCCTATCCTAGCAAGGTATGAAACGGTCAAGGATGACCTAGTCGATGGTGGGCAGTGGTTAGGTGGTGGTGGTCATTTACTGTGAGATTAAGGAGATTAAACTGAACCCATTGAGAATTGGGTTTTGTTTTATGTAATGTGGAAGACAATAAGACCTATATCAATTATGTATGTTATGGAATTTAAATAAACTATTAAAAGGGCTGAGATGTTATCCTACAGAAATGTATTACATGACATTCTCTTATGTATTTACTTCTTTCTGTTTGTTGACAGTGCTGCAGTTTTCCTTGAACTCGTAACAGGCATACTGTTGTCAACCAAGCTGGATCTTGTCACCAACTTTCTATGGATTTGGTTTGTGGGTGGACATACAGCGTTAGGACTCTACTTTCTCTCAGGTAAGGTCAAACACACAGGATTCTGAGTAAATTCACAGATTGATAAAAAGGGACATTAGTCCATAGCAATGTTTGATTTTAGTCATCATACTGTTCTCTACTTCTTATCCTAAATTGTAGTTGTGCTTCCTTTGTAGACGGAACAAATTGTGCATTTTATTGAAGAAGAAGAAAAAATTGTTCAGTATTACATCAAGTATTGTATGAGATGTGCAGAATTTCTGCGTAACAAAAGAATATGTTTCCATATAACTCGATTTTATTTTTCAAATCTTATTAAGCCATGAAATAAAAATATTTTCCTCTGATACTTAGTGAGGAACTGTTATTTAGAATCCAGTACCTTACTGTTGGGATGTTTCACTGTTTTCTTTTTTATTTATATCGTCAAATTTGCATAAAACTCACTCATTGAAGAAATGTAATAATGATAGTACCGTAAATCTCTGTGAATCTCTCTGAGACGCACCCCTATTTTTGGGCCAAGAAAAGAAAAGAAAATCTTTTTTTTGTGGGTTCTGCTGACTTTGTCGGCAGCAAGCCAGGTCTGTGTTAAAAAAAACCATGCGGGAAGGACTTTCACTTAACTGCGAGGTGCAGTTGAATGTGTACGATCGTTAATGTAAATTAAAAAAACAGTAGAGGACCTAGGATAGAACCATGTGGTACGCCGTGTGTAATAGAAGAAAAATTGGAGGAATTATTATTATATCAGAAAGATTACTTTCAAACCAAGATGACAGACAAATTTGAGTGTTCTAGTTTCCGAGTGGTGAGTCAACACATCGATAACTGAGCTGGGAGACATTTTTTTTTTTTTTTGTACCTGTGTATAAGACGCACCTCCGACTTTGAATTTTTTTCGGCGGCAAAAAAGTGCGTCTTATACACAGAGATTTATGGTAGTGGCTTCTTGTATAACGCCCACGTCAGTCTAATTTTGTAAGCAAAATGAAAACATACTTGGTGAATTTTCAATTTCCACTTTCCAATGTCTTTTTCCCTTTTTTTCAGGCTTCTTCTCATTTGCCTTTGGTCTCATCTTCAGTCTCTTCATCATGGCGGCATGGCCCGAGATGAGTGACCGCTTGATCAGCTGTCCTCCAGTCAAGACCCTGCTCGTTGTCATGGCAACCTACCTCTTTGAGATGCTGTTCTCTGTGTGGACCGTGGCCTACAACTTTGTGCCTTACGGATACCTCACCAGGTAAATATTTGATTTCTGAAAAAGATGATTTAATCAATAATAATAATAATAATTATGATTAAATGATAATGATGATAATAATAATGATAATGATGATAATGATAGTAAGAGTGAAAGTAATAACAATAATGATAAGAATCATAATAAAAGATGAATGAAAAAAAGTTTTAAAAAACATATAATTTGTCAATATTTAATGCAGAGATCTTTACAAATTATCAAAAAATAATTTTATATTCTTCTATTGTCTTTCAAAAGGACAGTAATATCACTTCTGTGGACAGTTTTCGCTTTTAGTGTATTGAAAACACAACTCATAGTTGCTTTGAGTAAAGGGATATATACATGATTCCAAGATTTTTTTTCCAACAGAATAATTGTCAAAGAAGGAAAATTTGGGGGCTGTTCTGCCTCCATCCTCCTTCTTTATTTAGAAAAAGCACAATTTATGTTCTGCAATTGGTTATTGCTTTTTGTTGATCATCATTATTATCATGAACGGTATTTTTTGCAGGGAGCAGACTGCTATCCTGCTAGTTTTCTGTGTGTTTATGCTGGGTCGAGCTTTAGGCAAAGGATCACCACGAAACACAGATGAAAAGGAATGCACTCACATCGGATTCTCCAATCTGGATGGAACTGGTTCTCACCAGGCCTTTGCAGATGCCAAGATTTGTAAGTTTCAGATCTTTCCTATCATTTTTCGAAGCTTCTTATAGCCCGTGAAAGTAATCATTCATTCTTGAGGTTTTGAACTTGCCTTTTGAGATGACAATTATTAACCTTTTCTGCATGTTTTATTTCATTCAGCATTACCTGTGCCCGGAGAGAAACAGTGAATTTAATGTAATCACTATAAACCATCAAGCAGACGTCCCAGTCGAACTTAACTCTGATATAAATTGGACTTACAGTTATGGAGAGCCATTTGCAGTCTTATGAATAAATATATTCAAAAACAAAAGCTCAAGTATTTTAGACTTTCATAAATTCCACATCAAAAACATGAAATCTCCTTGATAATAGAAAATATGAATGATCTGAATCAACATTTTATGCCTTTTAAAATAACTTTTACAAAATATTTCCATAATTGTTAAGTCCAATTCAGAGATAAGTTCAACTTAGGATCTTTGTGAAACACCCCCTAGGTGTACTACTATTGGATGTGCAGGTGTTACTGCTACACTGGAGTTACCCCCTATTCTCTTTATGACTAGTTAATAGTTTATTGGGTTCACTAAAAGTGACTCTCCGACACACAAGGCCTAATGAGAGAGGGACTATGTTACACTGTAACAATGCATGCATCTTTGGAAAACAGGAAAGGCACGTTAGCACACAACAAATAGTTCACTCATCCTATCCCTCTGGCAACTTGTATAGGTTTCAGGCCTTAAATTTCGTCATTTTTAGGGCAAGGCCAGTTTGGCCTCGAGTACCTCATATTTTTAAGGGCACCAAGGCCAAAATATTTTTACAAAAAGGGCATCGAGGCCAAAATATTTTACAAAAAGGGCATCGAGTATGAGGCCAAAAAAATTGATTCTATTTTTGTTAGATGTCATGTGTATTTTATGAAACTTGTGCAGGATCAATTTCCCATGACTTTTAGCACCAGCTTCTTCACAGAATGTATAGAGGTCTACGGTACATACAAACAAGCAGGCGCGTAGCCACGGGGGGGCACGTGCCCCCCCTAAAATTTCCAGGATCGGTTGAAATTTTGTAGACCCCTTTTTTTGACCTCGATCGATTACATGTATGTGCCCCCCCAAACACCAAACTCTGGCTACGCGCCTGCAAACAAGACGGCGGCCCGCAAGCCTTAGATTTAGCAGCCAGGAGCAAGGGGCAATTTTTTTTTTAAGTTGCCCTTTGCCACGGGAATTTACCAGAGCAAGGGGCAATTTTCCAAAAAAAGATAGGCCGCTTATCTAATCATAAGTTCAAAGAGAGTCTACAAATGTTAATTTCATAATGTGAATAGATCTAGATCGAACGATCAATTTAATAACTTTTTAATCTTAACAATATGAACAGGAAAGATTGATTAAGAACATCAAACTTGCACATTAAACAGTATTTTAAAGTAACTAAAAATATTGATGAGCAAATGAATAAATAAATTGTCAATTTCACAAACATCGAAAGTCAGAAGGACTTAATTGGCAAGTTTACTGGGCCGGGTATTCCAAATCAAAATCGCACCTCACACACAAACCTTCCGCCACTCTCTCGGTAGTAGGAGCAAATTTGAAGAAATTATCTTTTTAACTGTTGTATAGAAAGGTCTACATAGGCCTAACTAATGAAATAAGATGTAAAAATGTCCTTATAGACATTCGACAGCTGAAAGTGACACGCTCAGCTCAGTTGCGTAACGTGCATTCACGAAACCAAAATCGTTCCTCGCACACACACTCTCGCCACTTTTGGTGGGAAGCTGTCGGGCTGGAAGTTTGCCAGCGAAACCGATGCACCCTCGGAATTTTACCGGGACTCGAAACGTTCGTCTTGGGAAGCTGGCGGGGTAGCTTTTTGAAGCGAGGTCGGCTGGTGGCAAAATGAGAGTAACTACGATCGAGAACATCGTAGGTGTTCTTAACTTATTAATAAGATAATTCTAAATTCTATTTGAGATAAAATAATAAACTAGGCCTACAAACAAACCTCGACAGATCTCTAATGACTATTTGAATGCTTGTTTATTTCTCCATTTGACGATTTGTTTTCTTGATCCTGCCTGGCCTTCGATTTGTACGTACGTGCGTGCGTCAACAGCATGCACCATATGCATATCATGCGATCGCATAATATGAACGTACGTACGTACGTGCGCTAGCGCATTGCCTATATAATAACAAAGGGCGCATTTTCACGGCACTTGCGCCTTATTAAAGCACTAAATACGAAGCTAGAAGAGAGCTCGTGGGCGGCAAACTGTTCGTGATTCGTGTATTTTTACTGTTCTAATAATTTATGTGCGCATTTTCACGGAAAACACTTGCGCCTTGCCGTCTAATTTTAGATGATTATGGGCGCAATTGGTGGTTTTATGTGCGCAAATTTAAAATAAAAGGGGCACGTCCAGTTGGAAAAAAAGGCACGTCGGCCAGTTTGAAAAAAAGGGCACGGCCTTTTTGGCCGTGAATATATCTTTTTTTGGGAGGGCACCGCGGCCAGTCATAGGGGCATCGACGGCCTGGCCGTCGATGGCCGTCGATTAATTTAAGGCCTGAGGTTTGAATGCATGATCTTTGGTTCAACGGGCAGATACTTGACTGGAGCCACTGAATACTGGTATTATCTTTAATTTTTAGGGATTAACCAACATGAAACTCAACATTTTGTCTTGTTCACTGTCCTTCTTTTCAGTTATCATCCTTGTTGCCATCGTTGGAATTGCTGGCTTTGCGTATCGTCTTCCAGCCCACACCTCCAGGCCTGCTTTAGAGAAAGAAAACCCTCGGGAGTTTACCAGTCTGATTTGGACGTCTCACTTCATGTACGACAACGATGGATGGCCAAGCTATGAGAGAGCTGCTCAGATGCTGGAAGATTCAGGTGAGCCTGAAGGGCACTCAGTGTCTTGCACTTACTACTCTGGCCCACAATAATGGGAGACCCTCCCACATTCCCTTAAAACATGCAGAGAAAGAGAGAGAGAGAGAGAGAGAGAGAGAGAGAGAGGGGTGAGGAATGCCTAAGTGAGAAAGAGAGAGAGTAACAAGGTGGTGGAAAATAATGTAAATGAAAAGAGGGGACACCTAAATAGACTGATGACTATAGAATGGGGAAAGCATTGAGTTATAATTGTACTACACATAAGCTTGATATATCCTTAAGAAGGATAACAATAATAGCAATGCTGTTATTTTAGATTATTAGTATTAACTCTTCCACACTAATGTTGACTAATGTTACTCAAACTGGACTTCATCCATAAATTTAGGCTCATCTTTCATTTGATTTCATTTATCAAGTCCTATTTCATTGATATAATCATTGTCATCATTAGCACCATGAGTAGTATTACATTATTGTGGGTTGATATAGCATTAAGGTTGTGCACTAGAATCCTATCATATCAATTTTAATCTGACATCCCCCCCCCACCCCCCTTCTCAATTTGTTTTGCATATCACAGGTGCCGATATAATAACACTTTTAGAGAGTGATGCTTCTAAGCCCTTCTTGGGTCATAATGATATCAGCATGTGGCTGGGAGAAAGGCTACGCATGCATGATGATTTTGGTCCATCTACAAAGCTACACACGTGGGGGTGAGTCAGTCTTTCTCCTTGTGATTGCATGGGGTGATTGTGTTTGTGCACAAAGTAGGATCTCTCCATGTTCAAAGAAATTACTTAGGTGTCATGTATCATGGTTTGTTTTGTGGAGGACAAAGTCATTGATGAAAGTCTTATCATTGTTTAATGTACTAATTAACATTTTTATGGTTTGTAAGAAGTAGCTGCTTTATGTATTAATTTGTCACAGAATATCAGGAAAAAAATCTTCATAAATGTCAGGAAAAGTCTTTAAGGTTTGCTGCAGGAAAATAAAGCAATTTTCAATAAGAGTTTAATATTAGTGTTCTGTTTGTGTTGTCCTACAAATACCTCTAAAATTTAACCATATCATCATTAATAAAGAGATTATTTTTGAAAAAGTTCTATGCTATCCTGAAGATCCAACTTCCCAACAACTTTTGGACTGATTACTCAACAATTTTTTTCTCCTGTTTAATAAATAGAGCCCTTTAAGTCTGTGTTCTTGCTCTGGTCTTGTAGAAATTTGCTTCTGTCCCGACACCCCATCCTAAAATCTGAGCATCATCTCCTTCCATCGCCGAGGGGTGAACTGGCTCCAGCTATCAGCGCTACGCTCAACATAACAGGCAACCTGGTCGACTTTGTAGTCACTCATATGGGCAACGATAGGGATGATGAGGATAGAAAACTACAAGCACATTATCTGGCTAATATTACAAGGAGAAGGTAGGTGTCATTCATACCTCTCATAAATGCACATAGTAATTGATGTTTCAGCAACAGGGATGACAGCATTCAATTGAGATGTTTCACTTTGAGGGTGCAGATGCATTAGTTCAAAGTATAAACTTTATAGGATACATAGTTTATCTTGAAATTTGAGGGGGAACAGCCCCCCCCCCCCCATCCCCTCCTCCCAAGAATGTTATACCTCACCATTTTATTGTTACCATTTCTGTAAAGTCACGTGGATTGGAAAAGAAGACCTTCGGGTTACAGTTATTTAGTTAATCTTTTTCTTTTCCCGGCATCCATGTGACTCTTTTCCAAATGTTCCAAATGTACTCTTGTTTTGTATTCAATGATTTTCTTTGTTTTTGCTGAATAAATAATAATAATAATAACAGACAATGTTCTTGAAATTGGTTTTGAAAGCAGTTTCTTGATTTGAAAGCTCTTAGTGAAAGAATCACTTTTTTTCAGGAGAAAAAAAACTAATAGCCCCCAAGACTGAAACATTTCATTATATTTCATCATCAGTTCAATATCTGATCCAAAAGGGATATTTAAAACATAATAGGCTCATTATGAGTGGCATATCTATGAGGTGTAAGAGGGTGCATGTTCCCTGGGCAGCACTTAAAGGGCCGCAAACAAAAACGGGGGGAGGGGGGGGGGAGGAAAGATAGAAGAAAAAAATGAATGAATGAATTATGGTTTCAGGAAGAATATGATATCAACAGAAAACTACATGTACTAAACTGGCATATTGATGTTCAAAATTCGAAAAATTAATGTACAAATACAGCCAAAGATTTCTATTAAAAGTTCCAATATTTGGGCAGCGTGGTGTTCAAATTGAATTTATTTTAATGTTGAAGTTACATTTTTACCATAATGAATTTTTTTTCCCCCCTCGTTCACCTCGCCACCAAGCCTCAACCCCCCCCCCCCCATAAAAATATGCCCATAATTTCAGTGCACCCATGTACATTATTTTTGTTTGCCAATGGTGTTAATGTAAATGATTCTGAGAGAATATCACAGTGGAAGCACGTTTCCGCTTTTAAAAGTGTTTAAATAATCAAGTAAGTTTTTTTTCTTTTTCAATAAACATTTTAAACCACAACCCTGTTCAAAGCTACCAAATAAGAGTGACACATGTGATTTACAACTCCCTTCAATTCTCTTCTTCCTTAGCAAAAATCCTGTTGTTTTCATGGGATACGTCACATCGAAGCCTGGAAGTAGAGACTACAAAAAGTTGACAACTTTTGGAAAATTAAAGGTACGTTGTTAAAAGAAAACTTTCAAAATGTCACTCCCTCGAAGGATCCTACTAGTGAGGTTTATCTTCTGTTTGTGGGTGTTAATCCAGTCAAGAAATATGACGAGTACATCATAAAAAGGATTATGATGATGATGATGAATTTAATTATGATGATGGTGATGAATTTAATGATGATAATGCTGATGCTAACGATGATGATAACTCCTCTTGGATCAATTTCAGCCGTTTGACTGTTTGCAGGTCAGATGCAAACATGCCATTCCAACCATGATGTTGATCTCATCCCTAAGGGCACCCATGTGACATGTAGATGGAGTGGAGCTTTGTAATACCAGTTCAGTGTTTGGAGCCGCTACAGATTTTCATTGCATTTCCATTAAACCACTCCACTATAACACCTTCATTAGTGAAAGAAGCAGCATAGATAAAAACATATAATGTCTGTTTTGGTTTAAGTTTAATATCAAGTTTAATTTTTTTTCTTTGTCTTTTGTTTTTCAGGATATAGATGCAACTGATATAGATAGATTCTGTGAATACATCATGTATAAAGGATTAAGAAAGTAAGTTTGATGTTTCATTCGCATATTTTTCACTGTTCAGAAATTTCTTTAATAGTTTTGGAACTATTGGTGAGCATGAAATGTATGTATACTTTCTTATGTCACTTGAAAATGTGGTAGTGCAATTATTTTAGAGTGAGTATATTGTTCAGAAATTGTTATTAGGCTATACTTTAGACTGTGGTATACATGCATAATACATATATGTATCACTAAAGCATTACCTCAACCATGTTTGAGGATTTCAATAATGTTAAATTGTTCTGGGTGTGGCTCATAGCTTTAGATGTATATTATGCAAGCATGACACTGAGAACCATAACGATTATACAGTCAAACCTGTTTTTATCAACCACCTGTATAGAAAGACCACCTCTTTTCCTTGCATAGTGTTTCTCATTGAAATGTCTATGAAGGGAACCTGTACATAAAAACCACCTGCTTATGAAGACTGCATTTCTTTGTCTCCTTTGAGCAGTCTTTGTTTACAGGTTTCATCATACCATTGTATAATTGACATGGATGTAAAGATATATGAAACATAAATCAGTAAATCCTACTTGTTGTGTATGTTTGCAGATTAGGATATGCCAGGATATCTCATGGAGGCCTGAGTGATACAGAGGTCCAGATGGCCAAGTTTGAGATCCCCAAGACTAGACAATTTGAAGACAATGATATAATCATCACAGACAAGAATGAAATAGATGAAAGTGTGAGATTTTCTGACAAGTAAGTGTCCTAAGTTTTGCTAAATTGTTACTATTATAAATTTCATCTTATCTATGCTTATACAAAATTGATATGAAAATTGACATGAATCATTATTGCATAAACTTGCATATAACAAAAGTGCTTTATCTATTGAAACTACAAACCAAATAAACTTTGTATTGGAACAAAAAACACAGTTGGTATATGAACATTACTAGTTTAAAGAATCAGAAATGTTCATTATATTTATACTATTTTTTCTTGATTTTGCAGGTTTGGTGATTACAAGGTGGGTCACAGCTATCCTAAGGAGCACCGATACCACATGAGCACACCAAAGTACTTCATCAGGAGAACAAAAGAGGAATGAATCGAGCATGAGCCCTGTAACATCATAATTGACCGACAATCAAGCACTTAACCTTTGGTATCTCCATTTTTTCTACAGGTGATTGTATCTAACCTTGAAATGTACCTTAACCCTAAAAAGGCAGGTTAAAAAAAAAATCAGACCCCATTCCCCCCCCCCCCCCTCCTTTTCAGGGTTAATGTAAATGGATTGCAATTGCAAGGTACTTTTGATTATATAGATACAATTGTTTGGAGGAGATGGGATTTAGTTTGGTGAATACAATTGATTGTTACTCTTCAGATCCCTGAAGCTGGTCATATCGAGATGTGAAATACATCCCCCCTCCCCCCCCCCACTCCCAATTAAAGATGCATAATAAAGACTGCTCTATCTAGAGAGTTTTTTTAAAATAAACAAACAAGCAGCCTTTCGTAATAACTCTTTATATGCCATCCCATTCAAGATTAATTTGTACTGGTGTGGAAAGGGCTATCATGTATCTAATCAAAACCAGAAATGGATGATTTTGCAGTCACTGTGTTTTCCACAGCAATCCTGTCATTCGGTGCCTAGTGGTCTGTGCAAAATTGCATGTGTGGCTAACAAGCAACCGTGAAGAAAGCAGCCAATGTGTTAATACCTCAGTCACACAACTGCAGGGGCCGCTGGAAGAGCAGTTTCATAACTGAAGTGGCTACCCTGGGTGAATAAAACGTTATTATTAAGATCAACACCAGACCAACAGAATAAACAGTTACATGACTCTGTCTGGCTATCAAGCTATCAGTTTGGAGTCAGTGTGAAGAGGGTTTAGCAATATGACTGAGGTACACATGTAATACAGGTTGTCTGTGAGACACATTCAGTTAAAACAAAGAAATGATGACGTGGTAGCTAGGTGGTCTTTTTATACAGATTGTAATGCTAAAGCAGGTTTAGCAGTACAATTGAGCCAAATTTAACAACTCATTTTTAGTAAGGAATAGGAGCATCTCTATTCAGTGATAATTTGTATGTTGCCAGATTTTGTGAAAGTGATGTTAGACTATCATAATACAGTATGATAGAAAAGTGATGAATATGTAATTGCCCCAAAAGTTGTATTTGTTGCCATATTGAATTAAATTGATTAACCATTTTTCTATTAATCTAGAATATTTTGTATGTTTCTATCTGATATGAAAGATGAATCAGACTAACAAAGTACCGGGTACTATAGAATGAAAATGCTTATATGCACATTGTAATTGTCCACAGAGTTGTATATTTCCTGTGCTGAATGAATGCTATTGACAACTATTGAAGTCTAATGAAAGTGTTAAGTGTTGCTTCTCTTGACTATCCTGGGAACTAGTTTGATTTCTAGTGCACTTATGTTTTTGTTTTTTACTAAGACCATGCCAATACTTGAAAGTATATTTCATCTACGAGGCGGGGTTATTTTGAATGAAAGTATTGTCTTAGAAGAGAGAAAATGAATGTGTCAAAGAAGAGAAAGACATGTACAGGAGCTACTCAGAGGGTGAGGGCGCTGATCCAGTAAGTCTGTAGGGGAAATCTTCCTATGCTGGCTCCCATCTTCTTTTATGAGTGCTGGGGGGTGTTTCACAAAGATTTTAAGTCGAACTTAACTCTAAGTTGGACTTAGCAATTATGGAAAGCCGTTGGCATCTATGAAAATATTTTGTGAAAGTTATTTTAAAAGGCATAAAAATGTTGATTCAAATCATTCATATTTTCTATTATCAAGGAGATTTCATGTTCTTGATGTGGAATTTTTAAAGTCTAAAATACTTGAATTTCGCTTTTGAATATATTTTATTTTAAGGCTACGTATGGCTCCATAATTTATAAGTCCAACTTAAATTAAGTTTGACTTAAAATCTTTTGAAACACCCCCCAGGTCAGTACTTTGGACAGGGGACTGATCATAGGGAAATTCTGAAGTTTTCCTGGAGGGCAGCCATTTTGGGGCTTGAGGGCTGGCTAATTTGATAACTTAACGCTTAACCTTACCAGTGTCATCACACTTATGTTTTCAATTGCCAAGTATGTATTTTTGTGGCAAAGCTTGTCCCCCCCCCCCCCCCATAAAAAAGCACACATTCTGATTTGAGATTCATGCTCTTGAAGTAGCAACTAATCATGGTATATTAAGTTGACAAAGCATGAATGAAATATTGAAAGCAATACATGCAACTCCTCACCACACACCTAATGCCAATATTTTGTGGTTGCCAATTTCATTTCTGAATTCATGAAGTATGCTATTGAGTGAAAAGTGATTCAATGATTTTACACTTTAATGCATGCATTCTTATAGTTCCTTAAAACAGGGAATAATTGCATTATGCATATTATGTTAAGTGTCATCGTTTTTTTTATGCTTAAATGTTCTTCTTGAGAAGCTGATTGGTGCTAATTTCATTTTTATGTCATGTTCTATGTTTGAAGGTCTTCGCATTCATTATTTTCATAGTTTTGATTTTGGAATTCTGAATTCAAAGTAAACTCAAACTTCACAGCCATTATAGCCCAAATCCAACTTGAAAATGTTGTGTCTTTAGATCAAGACTCCCAATGAAACTTGTAGGTCCAAATTCACAAAGGAGGTTTTAGATTGACCCTTGGTCTATACCACGGTCTTAATCATGGGTTACATCTCTGTCAAGGACTAAATAAGCATACAGTACACAAGCATGTAATTATTTTATTAAGTGGCCAGTGGACACATAGACACGCAAAATATGAGGATTTAAATCATGGGTTAGGATAAATTTCCTTCTTGACTCTGGGCTTTTATGTTCGTTTGGTTTAAAGGGGCTGCTTGTGAATTTACAAAATGAAACTACATGTATTTAATAGTCGAGTCAGTTTTTGCAAGGAAGAGATAAGAAGTATGATATTGGCAACAAATATATAAAGTTGTATAAATTTGAACTTGGAGTATTGTCTTGTATTAATCATTGCTAATTAACTGTGATATTACAATAGATATAGAATCAGAAACAGGGTAATAGTAGATAGCTAAGGTATAAATTTAGCCGATGTTATAGACCTTGTTAGATGTACTTACATGTATGTAGAAAGTCTGTGATATCATATCTACCGGTGTACATATGGACATGTGTATGTGATATTGACAAACAAGATGTAATATTTCATTCCATTGTAAGCTTGTATTTATAGTTGTGGTAATTTGTAGAGTATCAAAGAAAAAATAAAATAAATGAGATACCACTCTGTCAAACATAGTCCACGCCAACTCCAAATGGACGCATTCTTGGCCATTCAGAGTACCTGTAAGAACATTTCTTTTGATTGGTCCATTGTCGGTCTGGGGTCAGTAGCGTGGGTGTGACTAAGTTATCAACTCCAGCACTGCCAATATTACCAGTATCAATCTGTTTTGAAAGAAATTTGCTATGAACTGTTTCAGAGATCGGATGTATATGTATATACTCAGCTAAGTTGGGCAAGTTTTTATCTTGGGATTTAGGATTTTAAGATTCTGACAACACAGAAGAAAAAATATTGATAGTTATCAAAGAATGTTTCAATAATGTATCCCCATCTTCATCTGTATTCTTGTTTACCGGGTATGTACGGGGCACATCTCTTATTTGAAAACATGCATGATCCATCCATACTTTTTAAAGCTTTGTTCTTTTTATGAACTCTTCTCTTTTCATTTTAGTGTAGAATCTAGGGAAATTTGTAATTCTGTCAATTCATCATTGTTTCCACATATTAGTGGGACAGAGCAGAGTTTAATTTCCATTGTCATGATTTAAACGTTTTTGTTTATGTGATATATTGTTCTCCTTGTAAATGCGTTGCATAAATGTACTTAGAAATATTATAGTATTAATGACTGCTTTGAGAGAAATAGTTGTTTTATTACGCTCAAGGGAAGGTTAGAATTGGGCTATTCCCCGAGGCTTGAGGGGAATAGCCCAATTCTAACCTTCCCGAGAGCGTATGAAAACAACTATTTCTCGAATATTAAAGCAGTCATTAATACTTTTATATGCCGAAAAAAAATAGACTAAAAAATGAAAAATTAAAAAAAATTATTAATTTTGTCGAAGACGGGATTCGAACTCTTGCGTACAACAAGAGGTGTACCGAAAACCAACGCTTAGACCACTCGGCTATGGCCCGACGTTAACATGCTTGGCAGTTTTCTCCAATATATACATTAAAATGGATTGAAACCGGCTTCGCGTGTGATGAATGCTTCGCAAAAGCTCCATATACGGACTCTTCTTTTACTTTTGCAATGCATATTGGCACGAACTTAGATCAAGATCTATCGGCAGATGTTGTTTTTAATACTAGCAGTCATTAATACTTTTATATGCCGAAAAAAAAAGACTAAAAAATGAAAAATTAAAAATATTTATCATTTTTGTCGAAGACGGGATTCGAACTCTTGCGTACAACAAAAGGTGTACCGAAAACCAACGCTTAGACCACTCGGCTATGGCCCGCCGTTAACATGCTTGGCAGTTTTCTCCAATATATACATTAAAATGGATTGAAACCGGCTTCGCGTGTGATGAATGCTTCGCAAAAGCTCCATATACGGACTCTTCTTTTACCTTTGCAATGCATATTGGCACGAACTTAGATCAAGATCTATCGGCAGATGTTGTTTTTTTGTTTTTGGAAATTTATTTTCGTCTTCATGTCAACAATGCAAGATAAAATTGTCGGTAAGATCGATCGAGATTCAATTGTATTGAAATTACCGACCAATCCTTCGCACACATACGCATCCTCCATCGCTCAAACCATTTTTTAACATGTAAACCTATGGGGTAACCATGGACGCTGACCAACTTTTTTTAATAACCATGGTTATTAAAAATATTGAAATGTTTTATGCATGGTTACCGAGAATTTTACAGGAACAGTTGAAGTTTATGAATGCAATTCGACCAATCAGATGGCTGGATTTCTTAAGTGAGGTATATAAAGATTAATGTGTAATGGGACGTTTGTTTTGGTCTTTGTGTTATTCTTTATCTGAAATCATATGCAATGTGTTTTATGTCAGATGTTATGGAAAGTGATGTTATATTTGTCAAAAATTTCAAGTGATTTCTTCTTGAGCTACATTGTATTTGAATAGCAATAACGTTTGTCGTTGAAAATGAATAAATTTTGAAATCAATATTATGATCATCTTTGTCTGTTGTTTTTTATATGTAAATGCATGTTCCTTATAATATTACCCATAGATTACTGCAGAGCTAAATATAATTATATTAGAATTACATGTATAAATGTCTCTTATGATGGCATAGGACATTATGATCACTTGACTGTGGACCATATAGTTTGCAGTTCAAGTCCTGCCACAGCACTCCAGTCCTTTGGCAAGACATTAATCTACAATTGCCACTCTCCTCAGGGCAGGATGATAATAGTACTTCTTAGGGTGCCTCGAGCATCCCCTGGGTCGGATATGTGCGCAACATAAATGTAGCCATTGTCATGATTATTTATGTTATATTTTATATGTACAGTATACATACATACATACATACACATAGTTTGAGTTTCACAAAACAGCATTGTAGCTGATAAGGTAATTCGAAAGCAATTTAACTTTGATAAGCTGCTCAGAATTCAATCAGTAATGCGGTTGATGCGTATTGGTGAACAAGTTTTAAAGAAAGTTCAATGGAAATAAGAAAGCTAAGACTTTGTTAGTGTCAGAATGTTTAAATAATCAAAATTACCCTGATAGCAGGCAGTCATCGGGGTAACCTTGAGGACAATTGTCCATTTGCTTTTGTACATGAAATAGCAATTTCCTCATTTTTACTAGAACAAGGGTTTCATTTTGTTTTAATATGCTATAGGGGTTGAGGGAAAATTTACTTATGAGACGGCTGCAAATGTAAGAAATTGTTCAATACAAACAAATGGGGAGTTGTTTGCCAACTTTGAATTCCCATACATATCTGAATTTTCAAATACCAGTAAATTTTTAAATAAACTTTGCTAGTGTTCACCTGACCTCATAAGAGAAGACATACCTCGATCACTTGTATATGTTTGTTTGCTTGTAATTTAATACAAAATATATATCATAAAGTCAAAGCTGCAATTCACATAAAATACTATTCATGACAGAGTTCAAACCAATTAACCAAGAAAGCAGTATTTTGTTGAAAGCATATTAGACGATGATTACCAACTGGTATGGGCACTGTTGAGCCCTGTTCGGCTAGGTAATGAAAAATTACATGTTTTTCATCCCTTTCAGACATCTTTACACATGTGTCTTCTATGAATATCATTTTATTCTCTTTGGCGACCACATGGAATAAAGCGTAGATAATTTTGTTTTTAAGTACTACTGGTATAACACTGTGCTTCACTTTTACGAAAGTCCCCCCCCCCCAAAGGGAGTAGGGACCCTATGATTCAGAAGTACATGGTCACTTCACATTTTAACATCATGAAAAGAATAACACAATGCAAGTATTCCCCCCCCCCCCCCAACCAATCTTCAATATCCTTTTTTTATGAAAGAAAGGCTAGTTTTTTACTTGGTCTTTATAGCAAAGTCATATTTTTCAAAGAGTGAAAAACTGAAAAACCAGTACTGACTTTTTCTTTGGCTGGCTTTACAAGAAACAAATTAGCCTCATCATAAGAATGTGTTAACAAGCAATTTATTCTCATAGGGACACATTGAAGAGTATAATGCAAGGGTTGCACTTGTATTGAATTCCTTATAACCTACTGAATGGATGCTGTTTCATGTTGATTTATTGATTTATATGATATATATATGTTTCCAAACAGAATATTTATTTGTTACATTACATGTTTATAAACAGAATATTGATGTACATCAATGAAGTTTAATAAATACAATACAATACATGTTTATCTGACAGACATTTTCTTGTCGGCTATTCATAAAAAAAGTCAGTCTAGCTTTAAATTCTATTGTGAGTACAGTTAATCTAGTAATTTTTTGAGCAGTAAGCCTTAACCTCTTCAGTTCATTAAATTACAATACTACAATTAAATGAATAAAAAGTCCTACTATAAAAGCAGCTTCTCATTTTCATTTTGTGACTTGATTCATTTTTTTTCCATTATGAAAATACATTAATCTGTAAAGGAGGAAATTTGGTTGAAAATTGGGGGCTCCATATATGAGTGGAACAGACTGAGCCATGTCTTACTTTAATAGTCTAGTGTACAAATATGGACCAATGTATGTGAGTAACCAAGTGGTCAACAGGATCAAAACAAGGTTGAGTCTCTTTGAAAAACTCGTCATCAGATGCATCTGCCGAGTACTGTAACAGCAGTGTCAGTATTTCCTCTGAGTTCCACGAGTTTGACCCTAAGGGACTCTGCTTGATTGCTCGCCATTGTACAATCCTTGGACTTGGAGCTTTGCTGCTGCTTCAAGAACTCCTCTCTCAATCTCTTGATTCTTTCTTGTTCATGACTGCTATTGTCACTTCCATCTCCTATTTCCATTCGAGAACCGTCGCTCCCCTCCCCATCCCTCTCTTGTTGATTCATCCCTCTGTCAACAGTGGAGCAGGCCAGTTCAGTTATGTTTTGCATGTGCTGAAGTTCTTTGTTCATGCTTGTGACACACTGTTTTATGGCCTCTTCCATTTGCTCAATAGGGGTATCCGAGGTAAACTGGACATCGACTGGAAGACTGGATTTTAGGGTGTGGAAGAAAAGCATCAGTTCTCTCTTGTCTCTGTCGAAAATATGGAAGAAAAAGCAAAAAAGATATTTCAACAAATATTTTATGCCAAGTGCATGATTATCATCAGAACTGGCTTTTTTTCTGCCCAACAACACTACTACAGATTTTAACAGCTAACATCCTCTTTGAAAGGACCAATTATGGCAAAAAAGAAATAAAATATGGTCTGTGAAAGACACAAGGGTTACAATGATTCAATGACTAACTTCAGGTACATGTAGTACATCCTGGCCCCTCAAGAAACTATGTATGTATGGTCTCCTGTCTGTGACATAGCTTGCTTAAACCCCATCCCCTACAGAAATGTCTATAGTAATTACAATAATAAAGAGCAAAACAAATAAAATAATTATACAAATTATGATGAAGATAGTAATGATGGTGATTTTGTCTCTGATGATGACAATGATGATGATGATACAGAGTGTGATAGGGAAGATGATGACTATGATGATGATGCAGAGTGTGATAGGGAAGATGATGACTATGATGATGCAGAGTGTGATAGGGAAGATGATGACTATGATGATGATACAGAGTGTGATAGGGAAGATGATGACAATGATGATGATGCAGAGTGTGATAGGGAAGATGATGACAATGATGATGATACAGAGTGTGATAGGGAAGATGATGACTATGATGATGATGCAGAGTGTGATAGGGAAGATGATGACTATGATGATGATACAGAGTGTGATAGGGAAGATGATGACAATGATGATGATACAGAGTGTGATAGGGAAGATGATGACTATGATGATGATACAGAGTGTGATAGGGAAGATGATGACAATGGTGATGATACAGAGTGTGATAGGGAAGATGATGACTATGATGATGATGCAGAGTGTGATAGGGAAGATGATGACTATGATGATGCAGAGTGTGATAGGGAAGATGATGACAATGATGATGATACAGAGTGTGATAGGGAAGATGATGACAATGATGATGATGCAGAGTGTGATAGGGAAGATGATGACAATGATGATGATACAGAGTGTGATAGGGAAGATGATGATGATACAGAGTGTGATAGGGAAGATGATGACAATGATGATGATACAGAGTGTGATAGGGAAGATGATGACAATGATGATGATACAGAGTGTGATAGGGAAGATGATGACAATGATGATGATGCAGAGTGTGATAGGGAAGATGATGACTATGGTGATGACGAAGATAATGAATACACTGTACCTTGTGCACACTCTCAGCTGGGCACTGTGGCTCCTGACATTTTCCAAATACACCCTTGCTCCCCTCAGCAGACCGCTGTTACATTTACACAGACACGTGTTGCCTTCTATCTCCTGGAAGCCCATATCGCACAAGAGCACGCTGTGAAGATTTTGCAAGGAGGTGTATCTGGATGTGACCCTGATAGAGGTGGAAAGCTGAGATGCATCCATAGCCAGCTTGTCTGTTTTTGATAGCACTCCCTCTGTTGTACAGACAAAAGAAGTCACTATTTAAAGCCACGAGCATGAAAATGGCAGTGTTCTGTTTATACTATTACCATAATCTTTATCATCACACTTGAAAAATAACAATATAATAATTTTTATTTGCCCAGGGAAGCTTCATCATCATCAATGCTGTTCTTCCTTCTTCCTGAGGACCATGCAATTATTATTACCCCAGAAATTGCCAGGTAACCATTTACACATGGGTGGAGAGTGGCAAATGTCGATCCATCGGCAACACAGCAGTTGTGTAGATATGTGAACATTACCTATTCACACTGGGGGGAAGATGAACAGATTACCCCCCCCCCCTTCCCTTCATCCTCCTTTCTCAGATTTCAATGAAATGATTATAATATAGGTCAGGCTAAGGGTTTGGGTTAGAAAGAGCCTAGAGGTATACTGTTTAGTCCAGGATTTAATTTGAAAACTCAGTTAGTGTAGGAAATTGACCATGGTGCATGACCAGAAAGCAATCATACTTTGATTCTGGTTCAGGTGAAGTGGTAGTGGCTTGATGAGTGTAGGATGGATTTCTGGTAACCTCAGATCCAGTTTGGATCTCACAACATCAGCTGGTAACCTCACATCCAGTTTAGACCCAACAACATCAGCTGCAGCAAGATGGACAGACCCACAGATCACCGACATCACCCTCGGCCTCTTGGTCCCACTTTGCGCTTCTTGAGGAAATGCACGGTGGCTTGTCCACTGCAGAACCAGCAATCGAGAGGCAACGGGTCCATCCAGGAACTCTGGTATGGTCGTCATAGCAACAGTATCGCAGCTCCCTCCTGACATCAGAGGTGATGCGGGGGATGACAGACTTCCTGCTAGTCTAAACGTTGGTGATGACGACGATGCGGATGTTGCTCCATGGTTCCTTGCTGCTGGTGCCTCAATGTCTTGAAGCTTAGTTCTTTTACTTGGTGGAGCCAGATGTGGTTCTTGCGACTCTGTCTCAGCACTGTCCACAGTAATACCTCTGGACACCGAGTGCTGGATACAGCCTTCACATCCAACTGGTTCTTGAGACGAGTTGGTCTTCCAAGGCGAAATCAATAACTTCACACCTGATACAGCCCTAGAATGAGAACATATATTTGAACAGTTGCTGGTAAACATCAATCTGCAAAATGTAAATAATACCATCATCAAGGTCGACGTTATTTGAATCTCTTTCTACAGAAAAGAAATGAGTTAATAAATAATGTCATATACTTCTAAAATTTTACATAATGGAAAGGGCACCTCACAACATATATATAAATTTCCATTCATCGACTCACCATTGGTTCTCATTTGTGACCTTGAATCCAATGACCCACTTCTTATTGACAATCCTCTGCCATCCTCCAGTGACCTTTAACCTGCCACCTGTGTCACTCCCTGATGTAGGAGCAAGCGATGGGTTACTAGGGGTTGTCCCACACAGGTGGACAAGAGTTGGCTGGAAGAGTGGAAGAAAGAGAAACTACATGTAAATTATAAGATACTCTTATATCAGCTTATGAGAAATAAAAAGGTACTAACTAGAGATATGGGAAAGGGGTATGATTTATCAACCTTCTTGCTTTCAGCAGATAAAACATTAATCAAAGTTGGTGCCCTAGTGCCTGTAGGTACTAGACATTAAACCTTCAATTTACAAAGTCCCTCTAATAAAATTTCTTAAAGTCTAAGGTTGACTGGCACAGACATGCAATGTACTTGCTCATCTGGCCTAACAAATATTAATATTCAGATCACATAAAAGCATGGAAAAACTTAAGTGATATATAAAAATGGAATGGAAATTCTTAAAATTGTTGAGCCTAACCTGTCTCTGAATTGGACTGGACATACCGTTGGCCATCTGAGCTAGGTTCTCCACTGACTGTGATATGATGCGGTCCTTGAGCCTCTTGCTCCGCTCCTGCTCCCTCAGTGATGTCAGACCATTCTGAAACCAAACACAGAACAGATCAGTACCTTCAAGGTATGTGTAATCAAGCAGTAGCCTGGGTGTGATTGACCAATGGAGATCTTATCACTCAACTTACAAGTCTTGTCTTTGTTCCCAAAGTGACAACTAAAATAACTCACATAAATTGGATGGCGTACAGGATTTTTTGCAAAAGGGACAAAAATGGCAACCTTGGAAGTAATGCTGTACCCTTTTCTTAATATGGGTGGCATATCATATCCCATCAAATAGCCTTAAATGGTTGCCTTAGATACTTACATGCATACTTAAAAAAGAAAGTCTTTGCTTATCGTAATTACATTCAAGCAGAAACTTTCATTTTTATCAATTCAGTAAATTATTATCCTCTTGACACTGTCAAGAAACTAAGTGGGACAGAAGAAGTTACACATAATCTGTAATTTTCCAGATTCAAATTATCTCTTTATCAAATCAGAATTATTTAATATACAGTTAACTCTGCATAACTCAATGTCAAACAAATTTACTTTTCGCTAAGTCAAATCATTTTTTTTAACAAACTATGCAAAACGTGTTATTTACAAATTTTCTAAAGTCATATTTTGCATAAGTCGAACTACATATTTTTGCAGATTCAACTTATGAAGAGTTAGCTGTACCTCCACTTTAGCTTCCAAAGCTTGCATTGCTGTGATGAGGCTCCTCGGGGTCGGGGCAGACTGTCCATCATCCGACCTCTGACCTCTCCCATCATGCTGTAGCTGGTCACTGCTTGTGATGTGGCACAGATCTAGGTCAGTGAGGATGAACTCTGGGAATGGTTTAGGAGGGTCTTTACTGGAGTTCAAGAGAAGCAGTAGTTGGTCTCTACCATTGCCAAGGATATTATCAACCAAAAGACACATGACATTCTTGCATTCCTGAATGACCTATAGTGTATTTGTTAGGAAGAAGATCAAAATTGTTATTAGAATGTAAAATGACTGACATTTCTTATTCCTTTCTTTTCTTATCTATATCAAATGGATTTGTCACATGCTTTTAAGTTTATTAAGTTTGTGTATATTTATTAATTGGTTATAATCACCATAAATGAACTGTCAAAAACTAACATTGGATGTCGAAGATTGGGAAATTTCTGCAGTGTATGCAGGGTGCTACAAGAATTTTTTTCACCACTTGCCCTGTCGGGCAAGTGGGTTTTCAATTTACTTGCCCAAACAATATTTCCACTTGCCCAAAACTTTAAAGCGAAAAAGGACTCGAGGTTAAAGCATTTATTATCTCGTAATGATAAGTTAGTGTTTTAGATAGCAAATTAATGCACATACATGTACAGTGTGTCTGTGCAAGCCGCTGTCATTTGGAAACGTAGGCTAATTTTCAGCTGTTAATAATTTGGGTCAACTCTTCCATCAAGAAACGTCATGTAAATAATGGGTAATCAACTATTTTAAATAAAGTACGGACATTTTTATTTCATCATTCACTGCTATAAATATCATGCCAAAATTTGTAAATTCTTACTTAATAATAATATTGAAGATATTTTACGATAAATCTCGGATAAGTATGCGAAAACTAGACTAAACAACGTCGCTAAAACCATGAAAACAAAACAACAACGGCTTATATTCTGGGGGTCTCGATACTATTATCAAAATGACTCGCTCGGTCGGATCTTGAGACCGCAGTAATAAATTGAAAACGAGACAAAAACATTCATCTGATTTATATGAGCAGCGAGTTTTAAATAATATGTTCACAATCATTAACAGTCATTATGAATAAATATCAAACATTTGACTTTTTGTACTTACTAGAAAATCCCTGTTGTTTATTCCATTCCGATTCGCACGTGTTCATTTCCCTAGAATAATGACGTCATATTTGGCGTGATTCAACCAATCGGCAATCAGAGAATAGCAAAGGCCTGTCGGTGCGGCCTGCAGAGCTAGAGAGAGAGAGCGCGAATAAGCTCGCAGCTGGTACGATCGCGCTAGCTGTCTCTAGCTAGCTCACGGCCGGCCGTGCGTGGAGGCGGAGCGGCATTCATGGCTTGAAGTGTCACTGTTGCATGCGCGCTGAGCTAGCTGAGCTGGCTAGCTGTCTGTGAAGTTTTTTCGAAATCGGAACGATCGCTTTTTTGCTTCTGGATTTTGACGACGGGTAAGAAGTTGACGGGTGAATGGTAGAGTTCTTGGACACTAGGAAATTACTGTAAAAGTATCACTTGCCCGAATCGGGCAAGTGATAATTTGATTTACTTGCCCGACGGCTCAATTTGGTTGCCCCGGGACGTCGGGCAAGCGGGTTTGTCGCGCCCTGGTATGAGATTTATCTTGTAGGACAAATAGCACAGATTTCTTATATTCTTCAGTAAAGATTCCATCAAAAAAGAGTCAACCACCAATATTTTCAGCAAATAATCTTGCGAATTGTGACACATTTCCCAATATAATTTGTATTACGTAATAATGATACCGTCTTATTCACTCAGGGAAGCCTGATCATATCATAAGGCCTAAAATAAAAACTTGTTGTAGCCTATTGCCCTTTACGACCGACCAAAAAATCTGAAAATCTACGGTCGGCATTTTAAGATTTTTTTTTTTTTTTTTAATTATTTTTTATTAATGAATACAAAAATATGTATTTTGTTTGTTAAAATGGTATATAAATGCATAATATCAAATTATTCCCAAATTCTTACTTGTCTTCTGCCCTAGTTCCAAAATCATAAAAAAGATATGAATGGAATGATGATGCTGAAACACAATATTAAAGTATTATAAACTGAGAAATATCGGCCCAAAGAGGGCGGAGAATTTAAAAAAAAAAAAAATCTGACCAACTGACTCGTGTTTTGGCACCTAAAGGGCAAAACAACAACTTTTTATTTTAGGCCTAACGGGTGTTCTTCCTGAGGGCCCAAAACCTAGGTCCAGCTCAACTAGATGAGATACCATGATAGGGTAGTCAACCATTGAAGGAATGTTTTCTCAGATAACCATTTTAATTCACCTGGGTGGAGATTGAGTGGCAAATGTAGATTATTGTCTTGCCAAAAGAAATTTTGATATGAATATGCATCACCTGCATGCTCACCTGAAAGGATGTACAACTAATAACACAGACTTCACCTCCTCTAGACCTTACAGCAAGCATCTTCTCTCCTCTTGTTTCCATGGAAACGATATCAACCGCATCATCAAATGGGATGCTGGCAAGTTTGCAGAATACACCATTCTTGAATTTCAAGAGCTGTTTCATGGATGTTGCTACATAGGCCGTGTTCTTCAATGGCGAAACTGTTGAGGACTGTTTTAGAGGCAGGCGCTCTCCACAGCACTCTGGTTCATCAAGTGATATGTGTACATTCTCTTGCTCAGTAATCTCTAAGAGCATGCAGCAAGCTATTGAAGCATAGACCCCTGGCACAAAACATTTCGAATCGGTCAAATGGCAACTGTCCTTTGGGTTCCATATCAAACTCATCCATCCTATGCTGTCATCACCAGCACACACTTTAATCTTGGAGGTAGTAATGATATGTAGATCATTATCAGGTTGCATTGAGCAGTACATGATGCTACTGGCTTTAGCGTCAATCACATCTACAAACCAATGCACTCTGAATTTTCCATTTTCTGCATCTCTCTTGGCAATAAAAAATTGATTCATTTCATCAACCCTCCAACACGCAGCTGGCCCATCAGTTAAATGCACATTGTCTTTGGGAATGGCCTGTTCAGAAGTGAACTCCCCATATAAAAAGATCTTGTTACTGGACGGTACATAAAAGAAAAGTGAAGAGATCAAATCTTTAGCTGATACCCTGCTTTGGACCAGTACGCATGGAAAGATCACGCCTGTGTGGCTTTCTCTAATGCATTGTGCCAACACAATTCTACCATCAGCACAGTCATGCCTCAGTGCATGAGTTTTGCTCTGCGTCTCCTCTTCAAAAGACCTCCTCTCTAAAGAAAATTTAAAAGACTTTGCTTGAAGTTCAAACGTCTGTCTCTCACTTGCACTGAATACGGAGTCTGCGCTGTAATTGGTGGGCTGCGAAGGGCCAGGAAGCAGATCAAATTTAATGACATGACCCAGATGTGACACATAAGCTGTCCGATCCATTTAGATAATTGGCAAATATATCTAGTTTGACAATATTGACCTGTGAAAGAAAAAATTACAAGATTGGGTCAGTTGGCACAAGTACATGTGCATAGCAGATAGGTATGGTCATAGTGTCAAAGTGTCATAGGTATAGCTCCTCCATAACTCACAAACATGTAGACCTACAATGTACATGTCATAGGTTTAAACGAAAATCCAACCTTAATACCAAATTGCTCTGAAATATAGTTAAAAAATTAGAGAAGCAGATTGGCGAAAGTTTGAACAAAGACAGACAAACAATAAGAATTAATCTAGATATGAATTATTAAAGTTGTAGTTACTATATACATGAGGAAATTTCAAACTGGCTGCATTGGTAACTAATGTAACTGATGTAGGAGTTGAAAACTCGTAGGACTCAGAGGACGATTTGCTATCCATTATTAATACTTAAGTTCATCTTCTGGATGCAAGTTGGGATGCCTCTACGTCCAGATCCTGGTTGAGTAGTATGATGGGGAGCTATATATTCCTAACATTTCACTTGAAACGATACTTTCTGTCATATTAATCTTAATGCTTGATCTCATCTTAATCCTTATATTCTAAAGAGCACAGTACTGAAAATCTCATCAAAATCGGGGCTGTCAACCCTCCCGCATTTGGAGGGAGTCTCACGCCACCATGCTCACTCTCCCCCCCCCCCCCCCTCCCTGTGCCACCAGCTCATAGCAAAGCTACCAAGTGTCACGCATTAGACGTGACATCACGCATTTGGAGGGTCTGGAAATGCTCTCACGCAGGGCGCGCGCACTAGATTTAGAAAAAAGGTTATACCTTATACGTGTGTTATACCCTCGCACGCGCGCTTGTGCGCCAAAAAATTAAAATGTCACGCATTGCCGATATTTGAACTTGGCGTCTCTGTCATAGACTCCAGTCACCACGCCCTTCTTCCTCCCGCTCTCCTGCTGCTTCGATGTAGAATATCTCCCAGTTTATAAAAACATCCCGTCAAACACACAATATAGCAGCTGCATTACTATCCTGGCTGTGCTACTGTCTTACCGATTCTCAACATTTCAAACACACATTGTACAAATCTAACTGTTTCACTCGAAATCGGTACTTTATAGTATAGGCCTAGACTAAGCTAGAGCTTTCGGTCTATTATTATATTATGATTAACTCTTTATGCTTTGCTGGAGTTAGACTAGTCTATTATTATCTGTGTTCGATGGTCAAACATATGGTAACCACAATTTTTACCTTTTCTCTGTTTTGTTTACAATTAAACTACATGTATATAGGCCTATAGTACAGTCTACACGTAATGTAAACATGATAAAAATGTTGATTTCAGCTAGCTTACAAAGACCGGAGCAACCAGTGGCAGTGAGAAGTGGTACCGTACCGAGACTGCATGAGAGGGAGTGACACTGTGTCAAGTGTGGGTGAGATGTGCAGTGCAGTGATAACGTGTTTCCACTTTTGTTCGATTGCTTTTGTGACTAAATCAATAGGTGATAATTTGCTTTCATAACAAAATCAATAGATGATATTGCTTTTGTGACAAAATCATATGGTGGGATGATTTGGTGACAAAATCATATGGTGGGATGATTTGGTGACAAAAACATTAATTTCGTGACAGAATCACATGTGTTAGTGTTACACTTGGCGCCCCATACATGTGCATGCCGAATGAATGAATGAATCACTGATCTCTTCCGTAGAGATCAGTGGAATGAATGAATGAATGAATGCCGCATGCATGGGATATACCGGTACCGGTACGTAACTCCAGGGAGCTCCGACCGTACGCCGACGTTGTGGGCGTCGGAGCTCCCTAGCCCTTGAGTTTATCGGTACGGTGCGGATCATCTAGACTTCACTAGTCATCTATTCTATAGAGCCGAAAAATAGACGAATGTCCTTGATTCTCACCTAAATTATTATGACATGCATGGTGTTACGAATCGACAACCTCGACTGATTAAATTAAACTAAAGAACCAGATTAATTATAGGCTTTTAACAGTCAAATACTAGTGGTGAAGGCCGAACATAGATCTACAGCAACCGTACGCGTACCGTACTAGTAGTAGTAGACGGCTGAGCTGACGGCACTGGCATTCTCCGTGCACTGCATGCATGCACAAGGTGATCGAGACTTCAATTTCCTCTCTCTCAGCTCACCGTACCCTCACAAACTCTCAAATAAAGATGAATTTCTTCATGCAAGAGTACCGGTATGTACATTCCTAACATGTCACATTATTATTAGTCTTTAGTCTTAGTCTTAAAGCCCAAGTAGATCCTAGATCTAAGTAGCCAGTAGGCCTAAGTCCACTCCAGTTTTCAAAAATTATAGCATGTTAAACTAGACAGAAATAACCGTCTGATTATGGGTCATTTCTTTAATAAAACTGACATATGTTGACATTCCCCATCTAGTGGAGCCAGACGTACTCGTAGTCTCAGTGGAACAACCAACGATATAGAGAGACTGAAGCTTTTGATCTAGACTCTAGTTTTGTGTAAACTAGACAGAAATAACTGTCTGATATGGGTCATTTCTTTAATAAAACTGACATTTGTTGACAGCCATCATGGGTCAGAGTAGACCGAAAGCTTCAGTCTCTATATCGTCGGTTGTTCCACTGAGACTACGTCTGGCTCCACTAGACCTATATCCGAAGGTCTAGTGGAGCCAGACGTAGTCTCAGTGGAACAACCGACGATATAGAGACTGAAGCTTTCGGTCTAGGGTCAGAGGAGCCAGATGCAATCTCAGCGGAACAACCGTCGATATTAGAGACTGAAGCCTTCGGTCTAGGCCTAGTAAACAAATCAAAGGTTAAATTTAAAACTGCCAAATATCACAGGCGCGGCGTACTCAATCAGGTGATTTTTTAAGAGCGATTTTTCTTTTGGTTATTTCAAGCAAAACATTTAAATTGCCGCACAGATGTGACGTGTGCTCCTCACATTTAGTATTTACCTAAATTGGGGGTGTGTTTTAGTAGGGTCTCCACGCCGGAGTTATGGGTCATATTTTGGGTACCTTACTGAACAAGCGCCTAAGTGGCGGTGTACTGCAAGGTTCTGGAATCATTAAAATGATAAGAAATATGGGCGCTTGTTCAGTAAGGTATATATGCTAGATGATCAACCTTCTCTGATTGATTCCACAACATTTCTTTCACAATGCAATCGCATGACCATAACTGGTCTTTATCTTTAAGTGAAATACTTAACCTTTTAAAGGTAATACAAGATTTGGTATGGGGTCATGAATTTGGTTCAAATCAACATATTGGAAGCATATGCGATCCTACAATATTCAGTGATCGTTGTCGCGATTGAAATTGAGTCTAAAAGTTATGAAATTGTAAATAATAAACTCTTTATTTTGTAAAGATCCCTCTCAAGGTCAAGATATTTATTACCGGGTAAGCTATAAAACAATGTTTCTTGACTAAAATCGACCGATTAGCTATTCCCATTTGGATATCACAACTACATATTCTGAGATTTTCATGGTCGCCGCTACCGTATTTGCCGGCGATATGGCCGCAGCACCGCATAGGCCGCACCCCAACTTTGACAACAAAAAAAAACAAAATAAAGGAAAACAAACGGACAAAACAAAATAATCATAATTTTCTCGTGAAACACTAATTTTTTTTTTACCAACTGTCAGATACCAAATTCATCAATATTCTTTTAATTTACTGGAAGTTTAGCTAAAAAAGTGATGGCAGGCAGATTTGGTGTCCGATATACCCCTACCACAATGTACGGTTTAATGCGAAATTGCATGAAATGGAAAACAAAATGGCGACTTCGGATGGATGCTTCGTGGCAGCTCCATTAAACGGTCCCTTCCTTTACTTTTGCAATGCATTGGCACGAACTTAGCACGAACTAGATCAAGATATATCGGCAAATGTTGTTTAAGGAAGTTATTTTCGTCTTCATGTCAACAATGCAAGATAAAATTGTTGGTAAGATGTGTGGAAATGTCCTGTACCATAGTGGTATCGTTATTGTACCGTTCGCAGTCCCATATGTGCAAATTCGTGCTGGTTTTGACTTAGGTTTTTATTTTTTTATACTTTTTCGCCGCAAAGGCCGCACCCCGACTTTTAGATATTTCCTCTTCCAAAAATACTGCGGCATTTACGCCGGCTAATACGGTATTTCAAATTTATCAAAATTTACTGGGAGCACCGGTAATTTTTTATATTAAATTTTTCTTGAAAGCAGAAGTGTTTTAGGGGCTAAATTTTCTAGTGCTTAAAATTCATCGACAGGAATATATAAAAATTGTAAAAAATCACTATCCGGACAATTTTCAAAATTTCCAGAAACTTTGCATTACCTTTAAAAGATTTATGAGGTATTGCATGTTAAATTCTTCAAATTGCTCTTTTGATTTAAAAGTAGAGCGTCCGCCTCACAACCGGGAGGTCGTGGGTTCGAACCCCGGCCGCGTCATACCAAAAGACATTAAAAGACGGGAGTTGATGCTACCTTGTTTAGCGTTCAACAATAAGGGATAGAGCAACGTCGATCTCGCACTGCTCAGTGGCTGCCAGGCTCACGATCAATTGGGCAAAAAGAATTTCCATTTTCGGCTTAACTTGATAAAATTTGGAGTAGACTTTAAAAGATTATTATTATTATTATTGTTATTATTAAATACATTATAATTGCAATTTGTAAATGAGTGAAGCAGAAATTTGAGAATCAATAAACATTTTTATTTGATGTCAGTCCGAAATAAATGAATGTCTGTTCTTTTTCTTCTCAGGGTGTTGGCATTTTTGGTGGCATGCTGTGTGTGTAATATACCAGGGGGACACACAAAATCGGTATGTACATGTGCTCTCACCTTCTCTGAGTTACTTTCGTAATATTTGAAGACTCGAGTGAGGCAGAGGTTACATTATAGGTGGATTAATTCAAGAGCAACAGGCATGTGTTCCTCCCTCCTAGTCCTACCAAATGTGACATACTTTGGAAATGAAGTAAAAGAGGAGAGAGAGAGAGAGATTTTGTTCTGGTGCCTTCAAACAAGACTGATATGGCATACTTAAAGCACTCAATATTGTATTTGATATCATATATATTTTATTTCTATGCCATTAAACCAACAAGTCATATAGACGTTTAAAGTTACCTTATTTTAGATAGTTCTTTGATAACTATAATTCATTGCAACAGAATCCAACTTGTCGTAAGACAGGGTCGACCCCAGGGCTAAGATCTGACACTGACAGGGTGTCATCTTTATTATGTCAGTTGAGTTATATGCTGTTCTTCCAGGTGTTAGTTCAATGTAGGATACTGTGTTGAAACTTTGAAAGGTTATAACATGTACATTTAGGTCTATTTTAAAGCTAGGAAGATGTGAGTTGGTCCAGTGGTCAGTGCTCTGATCTGCCAGATACACAGACCCAGAGTTCAAATCCGAGTCCCATCATTTCCCTAAAATGACATCTGATGGAAACAAAGTCTGTAGTACATAGCTTCATAAAACTATGTAAGAAAGTTTTTGTATCGTTATCATACACTTAGCACTTTTACCATATAAAGCGAATAACCAAATGCTTGAAATCAGGTATAAGAAGTTTTGATAATGAATAAATGCCTTCATTTCATGATGGTATGTGTTGTGTTGTGGGTTGGAAAGTAATACCTATTAAGCTAAATAAATATAAGTATAGAGACAAACAAAATGGAGCCTGCAGAAACACGTGTGGTTGCTTTGGTAGTTTAATCCAGACTCAATATCCATGTGCTTTTCAATCTGTGTAGAGAACAGCTTTCAATGAACCTGTTTCTAAACATAACAGTATGCTAATCCATGTCCCCCCTGCCCCCCCCCCTTCCCCATTTTTCTTTATATAACCACATCTTGCATCCTTTAAGTTTATTTTTACATTCCAGGGATGAAATTCCTTTGCCGATCGGTAGATTTCCGCTGATTTTAAAAATATAAAAAAATTGTCTAACCCTTACCCTAGCCCTATCCCTACCCCCCTCCCCCCCCCCCTCCCCGCCAGGGGCATCACCCACGGACCTCCATTTAATCTTCCTCCTTTTGGGGAATTTCTCTGCCTCATGCCTGACATTTTTCCTTTAAAGCTATGCATTCCTTGCTTTACTCATTGCTTACCTGCAGGCCAACTTCTCGTGTTACAAACAAGGTACAAGTGTTTGGATTAGTATCAATGTGTGGAACTCTTGGTTATGATGGTGGATATTTTGAAATTTAAAAAGTTTTGTTAATCCTTTCTGTTGTTTGTTCTCACTGTCTCTACTCTAACCCTGTGCTAACCAATAATTAGAAACAAGATACCGCATTCTCACAGGTCTTGTACATACTACATGTACATTCATTTTATTACAACAAGCATTTCCCTAGCAAAAAGAGCATGAAAGATTTGATTTTGTTTGTGTTTTTTACAAATGTTTGCTGCATTAATAATATTTTGGTTCTTTGATTGTCTCTTTGGGTTTCTTTTTTCAGTTTTGAAAAAATGTAAAGTTTCTGTTTTAGCACAGTCATTCATTCAGTTCATTTATTACCAAAATTGTTCAGATATAATATTTCAGCTTGACAAAAACTATACTTGACATTGTGTCCGATTTCAGTGAATCGATGGATGTACATGTCTGTGGCGTACGCAGATTTTTTCAAGGGGGGTTTTAAAATCGGGTCCAAAATTTCGCAACGACTCACCCAGCCGCTGAATAAGTTGGGGGGGGGGGGGGGGGGGGGGGGGGGGAAGAGGTCACTTTTTTTTTGTCTCGAAATTTGAAAAATTGACATTTTGTTCTGTTGGGGGGGGGTAAGGTCACCTTTTTAGGTCAGCCATTGGCATATATATATATATATATATATATATTTTTTTTTTTTTTTTTTTTTTTTTTTTTTTAAATAAAAAAAAAAAATCTAAAGGAGGGTTTTCCAAAAAACTTACACAAAACATACACATTAAAAAAACCCAAGGGGGGGGGGGGTTAACCACAACCCCCCCCCCCCCCCCTGCGTATGCGCCTGGTACATGTACATAGATCACTGTAAGTACTCTCCCTACCTGACCTGTTCACTGTGTACATATATCCGCTCCTACTTGACTTGAGTATGCCTGCCTGCTTTGGCATAGTTCAATGACATTGACTCAAAGCAAATGTCCAAAAGCCCTCAGAACTATTCTGGGCCATAAATATCATTCATTTGAGAGTGCTCTGAAGGCAATGAAGGCAGCTATGACTGAATTTTGTTTGTATTGCTTTCACATTTGGATGTCCAGATCATTGGTTTCGAAGCAAACTCATATACCAGACTCCTGAGAAAAAAATACAATCTTTATTGAACCGAAATGCAGAACTGAATATAGGAAGAGCCTTTTCTCATACCTCTCAAGGCTTCTAGACACAAACGGCTTCTAATTACTTATCACAGACGTGGTAGTACATGTAGTTCAGACCTGCCAACCAGTATGATTTAGTCATATTTCGTACGATTTTTAGAAGCAAATACGACAGTACGATTTTTCTCAATAAAATATGATTTTCAAAAACGAAACAAAAATGATTTTTTTTTTTTTTTTTTTTTTAATATTTTTTTAAAATAATTTTGTTTATTGTGTGTGTGCCATTTTCTATGGTGAAATGCCCATTCTGTCCTGCAAAGTATCCTACAAGCATCTCACATCGGCAATTTGGGAATGTTCATTGGTTCATCGAACACACCATTCGTGACGAGATCATGCATAATCAACCAATGATCCATAAAAAAAATTCTGCAGCTGTTTTTTACAAACTATAAGAGCATTGATTCGCGTAACAGCACATGTGTTTTTAAAGAATACAAGTTTTGTCAGTAAAATACAACTTATGGGATTAAAGAATACAGTTTTTGAACTCCAGAGGTTGGCAGGTCTGGTAGTTATAAATATTTTAATGTATTCCAATTTTTGGATATTATGAAGTCTGAACTCATTTCCAATGTCATCGGTCAAAAGGATATACCGGTAGTAGGTACATGTAGTAGCTTTATTTTTTCCTCAAAATTTCTCTCATTGTTAAGTTATTATTTTTTAGTATTAAAAGAGAGATACAACATCACAACTGTATGTGTTAACTTTCAGAATAGTGTTGGTCATATATAGACTTTTTTCATAATATATCTTCTTGGTTTTATCTTTGAATGTATTCTTGCGAGAATTGTGTAATAATTGTTTTAACATTGCTACATGTACATGTAAGTCTTTCATGTGCTTTTATTGTAAACTGAATGTAATTCAGCCATCAGGCTGCAATTTTCATTATTCTCAATAAACTATTCAAATGATATACTGTATGATTTAAATCTGAATATTCAAAATAGACAACATATAACATATTTAATGTTGCATGCTCATTTTTGGCTCATGCAGTCCATCTCTTTATTGCATGAGCATGTATTAATTGTTTTTATGGACTAATATTTCACAACCAAATTAGACTTTTTGCTGCACAATATTAATATCAATTGAATATGGGAGTGATCGATGCTGATAAATAATTGGGTCACAGCCCTGTAAGATTCATATACATTTTGTTTCATAGTATTTCATTGTGTTTCATTGTATATTTTATTAAATGGAACTTTCATTCTGTTGTTCCCCATTCTAATGTTAATTCACTGCACTTATCACTGTTTTATGAACTGTATTTTACTCTATTTCATTGAATAACACTTATATTCTATTCTGCATGTTTGGGTTTTATTTTTTTGCTGATTTGTGTGTTCGTTTCTCACTTTAAAATCTATTTCTTATTATGGATTTTCTGCATTTTCACTTTAACCTTTGTTTTAAATATCTGTAATAAGTACTATCCAAAGTAAAAGCCATGTACACAAGTTGAAAATGATAAAGTGAATAGAATACAAACATAGCAATTAAAAGATTTGACTAAAAGTGTACTACTGTACATGTACATGAATAGTTATACTGAATGTAGCTCGGTAAAGTTTGATATGTTTAACTTTATTAAAATTATTACTCTAAAAAAAAATTAACTTGGTAGTCTGCCAAACTAAATGATTTTATGTCAGGTACTATCTCTGATATTTCAAGTCCTTTTATTTTGATTGTTCATCAGACTGGAATTCTGTCTAGAGGAAAAAGACAATCCAAGGAGGAGTGTAAGTGGAACCAATACTGGGACTCAACTACTGCTACTAGTAGTTGTGAATTGTGCCTATGTCCTGCCGGTCAGCGGAACACGGCTGTAAGTACTACATAGTGCATATTACAAATGGTGTATACCTAACTTTAGTAGCTTAGGATTAAAAAGTCGTAATCAACGTGACCTTGAAATCCATTTCATCGTAAAGAGTAACTTGTTTTCTGTCAAATGATACCCTATCCATAAGTTTTCTGCCACGGATGAGCGAGCATCGGGGTTTTTAACAAGTGCCATCAAAATCTCCTTGTACCTTGTAAGTTTGGCGGATACACCAAAGTGGGTAAGCCCTTATGTATGTGTTACTTTGGTCTTAAATCCTTAAAAAACCCAAATTCTGCTTCATGCTTCATAGTTTAAAGGGATCCAATGTATCTATGCTTTCACAGGACTATGTTTCAGTCCACAGGGTAACCTTGAATTATTTTAAACAACCTACTAACTTCTTGTTTCATGATATGTAAGATCTCTCAGCTAAGTTGTCCATTGCACCATTTATCATGGTTTTGAAAAGGTGTGCAAGGTGCATAAGGTATTTGTCTCAAACAGCACATGCAGACTTTGAGGCTTATTAATGTAAAATAATTAGCTAATGCAAGAGAGTTCACATGTTGATAACTATGGTACCAAAGATAGTAAGAGTAGAATTTTATGAAAAAATCCCAAGTAAACTTTGCCCATTTAAGTGACTCAAAGATAAGGCTTACATTAAATAAAGGATGGGAGAGAAGCCAAGATTTTGTCATTTTAACAAAGAGCATATCAACTAAGGTATCGTTAGACAGAATATTGGTTACTCTTTAAAGAGAAATCCAACCTTGATAACAAACAACTCTAGAGGAAAGCAGAAAAATTAGTGAAGTAGACGGGTGAAAGTTGAAATAAAATCAGACTAAAATTTAGAAAGTTATGAATGTTTGAAAGTTGTAATCACTATAGATACATGTACATGTATGGGCTCTTCAAAAAGGCCAAATCACTATTTTGACATTAAAATCCCTATTTTCTTGTACAAATTGCGATTTTTTTTTAAATTTTTTTTTTAAATTTATTAATTTTTTTAATTGTGAATAATTGTTTGTAATAATTTTTTTTAATTAAGTAATTTTCATCCACATTGGCTCATTGAGAAGGAAACTCAGGAATGCTGTATTATTTAGACCGTAAGGAAACTCCGAACTGCTATTGATAAACTTTCAAGTCTACTTCCAAGGATGCAGAGCAATTATTTCTGTACAAGCCTTGATATGAGTTTGGGTTCCCCCCCCCCCCCCCCCCAATGCTCAACCACTTGGAATATCTCATATACAGGGGAGAAATGGGACTGAATTTGGGTTTGGAAATTGTGATGGACCTGTCTTCTGACGTATGAATCAACCAGCCCTCAAGCCCTTTGAGTGACCATTAGGGGAAAAATCTTAAAACTCACCATTACTAGTCCGCCTCTGTTTACATAGTATTTTGGGGTTATCAGGTGGGCTGTATAACGTACAGACCACCTTATAATTTCGGAATGATCGACCGTTTAACATAAATTCCAGTGCGCGCGAGCTCTTGTAATACATAGCATATATGGGCAAAAACATGCCTATACAAAATCCATTGTAGCTCTTTAGGATGCAAGGTGACCCCAATTTGTTTTCATATTTTAATAGAGTATGATTCAGAGATATTGTTTCATGTTTCTTTTGACCCTCAATTAACTCATGACGTCATCATAATGCCCTCCAAACTCAAAATTCCAATTTGCATATTATGACGTCAGCATATTTATGGAAAATTGATTGTATCTCTGTAAATGTTGATCGATTTTCTTCTAAATTTTGATATGTTCTAGCTGAGACAATGTTCTACAAATACAGTCGTTTTTATCCTTCATTTTGACAAAGGCATTAGGGCTGCGACGTGTAGTCGAATGCTCGAGTACCCGCACGGTTGACAACTACTCGGGTACGAGAAATCGTACCCGAATATTCATTCGCAAAAAAAAAAAAAAAAAAAAAAATCTGTCCAGGCCGACACTTACCCGTGCCTGGGTGAGCGGCAACCGCTGGCATGGTGTCGTCGGTAAAAATGTTTCCCAACTCAAGCACTGTCATACTCACCACTCACAAACTGGGACCAAATGTCTGGATTTCTGTTTGGACTTGTAGGAAAATGGATTATTCTGCCATCTTTGGTTTTTAAAACAGCATTGTTTACTGTTATTATTATTATTAAATCAGCGCCTTCAACTGCAACTCAAAGTAAAATTGGATCCGTTTTCGGCGACAGAACTGGGATACTGCTCCAAAGGTATGGTGGTGGCAAAAAAAATCAAAAAAATCAAAAAAATTCAAAAAAATTATAAAAAAACATGGCGTCCGAATATTCGAGCATTCGCTTGTAAGCCTGGGAGTGTACTCGGGTACCTCATTACACTGTTGTGCACAGCCTCAAAAGGCATCATGGCGTATTTCTGCGATTATAGGAGGCATGTCAATTTTTTACATTTTGCGTGTATTCTCTATGGGACATGACTTTTTCTCAAAACTCGATTCTACATTCCCGTCTTTCGCGAGCAATATCTACGTCGTTTTAGCTTCGTTTACGCTGAACTTCGAGTATGTTGTAGCTGCAACAATAAGCTATCTCGAATGTGCCCTTTATTTTGTCTCAATTTTTTGTTGGATCAGCCCACCTATACTTGTTCCAAACAAATATTACAAATCTAGTTTTATGTTTTCTTCTAACGATACACAGTTTTAAATATATGTTTTATACAGGCCTCGACGACAACAATATTTAACAACTGAAAGGACTACCCTGTTCAAATAATATTAATAAAATAAATAGATAAATAGTTTTCTACAAGTAGTCTTCTTAAAACATCACAATTAAGCAGGGTTAAAGCAACCTTCCTCTCATATTTCTTCATGTCTTGCAACAGACTTGTGGGGATGGCGTAGGAGGAAAGGTTTGCCAGGATTGTCCTAATGGGACATTCCGTGGTGCTGAAGCTGATTACCACACCTGCCGACCATGTACCATCTGTGATCCAGATGCCAATATGAAAACTGAGTGCACCAGGACAGAGGATACACAATGTGAATGTAAGGAAGGGTGAGTATATAACAAAGTTTGGTGAATTTTGATTGTATGTAATTAAGTATTATGGGAAGGCAGAAGAGAATATTTCCAAATATGTATGAAATAGGCTTAGCTGGATCTTTCGCTGCGGAAACCACTTTATTATTATTATTAAGTATTGATATTTGGTGCCACCTGTGACTGGGAGGGGAAATCAAACTGGATCAATGTGACCTTCGGGTCATGTGCAGGTGGACCACTACACCAGGCTTTTCCCCTACCCTTATACAAATAGTACAGTGGGTTCTTAATGTGCATAGGTGGTGACTTTACTCTATACAGGACCTCCATTTAACGTCCTACCCAAGGGACGGAGCGTTTTCCTCCACATAACCTGCGTCTTTATGAAACATTGCTCCCAATGATGTTCACAATACAATACCCGAGCTACTACATCTATACCTCGTCATGCCCTGGCAATGCCTAAAGATCTAGAGTGACATGTCCAGAGCTTCAAGGGCCAAGTGCACAAGTACATGATGTCTTTTAGACAATAACTTTATAGTTTGAAAGTCGTATTGTCTTTAAGATGGCTAGACACGTATCATACATCCTGCAGGGGCGGCATGCATGGCCAGGGTAAATATAGGTGAATCACCAGGTTTACTAGAGCACTTGTGATTTATGAGCTACATGTACCTGGAGTTGATCCTTAAACTACCAGAGAACAGTGCAGTAACACCTTGTGCTGTTTCTTTTTGAATTTTGTATTTGAACCCACAATCTTTGGTATCGACAGGCAGAAGCTTTACTGAATGAGCCAAGTCGCCTCATCACTTTTTAATCAACCCTGTTCACTCGCTTACCAATCGTCATGACGAATGCTGAATTCAAAAAAGAAAACTTGAACAAAAATATGTGAAGGCCGTGAAATGGACAATCACAGCTAATCAAAACATTTTTATGCTTAAAAACTACAAATAAATAAATAAATAAATAAATAACAAATAAAGGTGATATGTGTAGGATCTCATGTGAACTTTTGCAGATAATCATAATATATTTTTAAAAGTTCCAATATCATATGGTTATTTCTCCTTTATCCATCTATTTTCATTTATACTAGTACCACCAGTTGTTGATTTATACATGAGGTTATTACATCCTTTTCTCTTCTTACAAAGTCTTGGAACAATTAAAGATCACTGTGTAAGCTGCCGGGACCATCCTCGTGCTGATGGCTGTCAAACCGAAGACGTGAACACCACCCCAGCACCTCATGGGGGAGAAGACGGCAATTCCAACCAAGATGATGGCAATCCTGACCAAGATGACAGCAATCCCAACCAAGACCTAAAAGAATCTAAAAATGGTCAAGAGAGAGGTAGAGAAGATGAGATTATTATCAATAATCTAATTTAGAACTGTAGTTCCATCCACTTTCATTTAACAAAAATAAAAATGAAATACAAGGTTATTTTGGTGCCCTCTCATCTGGAGAAGGCTAGATTTGTCCCCCTATACCTACATGTACCTGCTCTGCCATAACATTCTGAAAAAAATAAATTCTAGTCATTCTGTTTGTAGGAAAACTAGGAGATTAATTGCCTGATAATAAATTTTAATGAAATTTTTACAAAGTCAACAGTTTTCCCCCTATGTATAGCGCTTTCAACTTCAACAGTGTGATGTCATTCCAACTTCTCTCATTCAAATCTTTCCCCCACTTTTTTATATTTATTCAGAGCAACCTGCTATTAAATTGTTATTTCCCTCTTGTTTATAGTTTAAAATTTGCAATGAGTACATGAATAAAACTTGAGATTTTAGTTTAAAAAACAAATGACTGATGAGCCTTATGCAAAAATCTCCACAGTCTGCCTATTTGAATATAGCGGGTGACATTCCTGATTTTCAAACGATCTTTGCATTAAAAAAAAATCCCCTAATTAGAAATAATTAATTACAAGGCCAGGTAATGCTTTTGAATATTTTTCTACACATGCATTTTTAGCTCATGTGAGCTATTGTCATCGCTTTTTGTGCATCGTCGGTAAACTTTTTACATTCTCAATTTCTTCTCAAAAACGCAAGGCTGGATTTTAACCAAACTTGGTAGGAATCAATCTTAGGCAAGGGAGACCTAAAGGTGTTCAATTGGGGTACGTACCCCCAAGGAGGCCCGAGAGAAGTGCCCTCAAAGTTCCTCAGGGGCAGCAATTACACATTTTCTTCTTCTTAAAAACCCATGGCTGGATTCCAACCAAAATTTGTGGGAATCACCTGCAGAAAATGGATATCTAAAGTAGTTCAAATGGGGTATGCCAACAAGGGGGCTTGCAGTCAGCATCCTACAAAGTGCCCAAATGTCAATAATTAGACTATTTATTTTTATTCTCCACATTACAGGATTGTCAACGGCTGGATTGGTACTCATTTGCCTTTTTTGTGGCATCGTTATTGGCATCGTTATTTGCCTTGCCATTCTGGCCCTGGGTAAGTTTAAAAGTAGGTAGAACAATAGGCCAGTTTACCAACATATTCAAAGTTATGGTTGTTTCTTCCTGTGGACCTAGAGATGAGTTATTCCATTAACCTGTTATTAATGAATGAAGTACAGTACTCGGAATCCATTAACAGGGCTCCACACTAACAGGCGCCTGGGACACAACTGTGCCCAAAATCTAGGTCCAGACCCCAAAATTTTAATATAGAGGGCAATGCATACAGACCCAAAAATATTTATCCAGACCCCAAATGAAAATAAAATTAGTGTGAAGTCATGTAGTATGCATACATTACTTGTTGATATGTTGGACAAGCCTCAGGCAAGCTTTGAGGTAGTCAACCTTTGTTTAAAATAGTACGCATAAAATTTAAATATGTCATTGAACCTGTCTATTGCATGATATATACCCTGTTATATAAAAAAAAATATTGAACAATTAGTGTTACGTAGCCAAAGTCTTACACTATTCTAAGTCCTCGCTTCAACCGTGGTCCCCACACTACACATAACCCTAAACTTGGACCACACCCTATCACCCAAGCCCTTATCCCAAATCTTTGAGCAAGTGTTTGGTCTCTGGTGGAGCATTCTATAGCTAATAATACACTTTTCTTTATCTATAATACTAATGCATAGTTGGTTATTATCTCTTTCCACCACTGGTTTCATGGAGACAATGCCTAATCAGTAGTCATCAAATTCATTAGTTACTGATTGCCTTTATAAATATCTTCACTCATAGTTCAACTTTCACTCTAAAGGTCATCTGCATCATGTGGATCGATTGCAAACCTTAACATTTTATTTCAGGCTCAAAGCGTAAAACCAACTAGGGCCGGTTTCTTGGAACCGTTGTAAATCTTAATTTGTAGACAACTGGACATCCCATTGGAACTTATATTGATTCTTTAGCACATGTGTCAGTGAAGAGTTTAGTTTCAAGAAAGTGGTCCCTGTTGTATCCATCCCTAATACATTGTGGATGTAAACATGGATAATGATTTAATGTTTATGTTCAGACTGTATAAATGACAAATGCTTTGTTGATGAACATAATCATTATTACCAGATGAAAGTTATCCCTTCTTGTGGACAGAAGAACAAGATGTATAGTTTTGTAATTTTCATTATTCTGTTTATATTTTTTAGGTATTTGGTTACATGGAAAATTTGGAAACAAAAAAAGGTAAGTTAAGAACAAATACATTACAATACTAACCACCAAGACATGTTTTGCTCTTGATGCAACAGGTTCCTTGTCCCTATACTATTAAAGTAAAAAATTGAGCTTCAAATGTTACTGCTGCAAATGGGTAATTCCATGTTTAGTTAAATTACCTTTTTTAAAGAGAATATTTTGCTTTTGGCCCAATTAAAAGGAAACTTGTGCATGTACAATTGCTATTATGTAACCAAGGGTAGCTCTTGTGTGATTGTCCAGGGGCTCATCGCCCTGATACGTAGATAAAATGATATTCCAATTTCAACCATCTTGAGCGTAACATGTGGAAGAAATGCTGATTTACATACTATTTGTCAAATTGCTTAAATAGATATTGGTGTGTAAATATTGTCTCAATAAACACTAAATTTGACATATTCCTTCTTTTCAGAAATGCCAATGGACAAACAAATTCTCCTGTAAGTTGAGCCTCAGTTATTCAAGATTTCATTCTTGTCATATTTCCTGTTAAGTGTAAAAATCTTGCAAAATACATTCCTAAGAATCAAATTTTTTGTTCTGCAAAAAGTGAATATATTATACATTTAGAAATTGATTTTCCAAACGGCAGAAAACAAATGAAGATTATCTGAAATACTGTCGGCCATTTGAAATATTGACTAAGAAGCATATTTTCAATTTTGCTTCTTTGGAATTTTTGTTTTCTTATTCAATTCTTATAGTCTGTCAGACCTTACAAGTTACTTTGAAGGTTAAGAATAGTAATTGCAAGTGTATTCGATACTTCCAATATGAAAAGTAACAAGTGATTTATGTATATGTGTGAGACATACCGGTAATGGTAAAGTGATTTATTTACCTGACTTTGTATTGTTTGTTTGTTTTATTTCCACTTTTTCATATTTCAATACAAAGAAACATACAAATAAATATGATGAATAGCATGTAAGTTTGACAAAATTTGTTTCTAGTTAAAATAAAAGTTTCATACAAAAGGAAAAAGCAGGAGACCACATGTCGTAAGCGAAAAATGCTTGAACATGACCGTGGCCTCTGCCGAGTTAACAAAATAAAAGAACAACCCATGCAACTGCATTGTATTCAATGTTAAATAAGATATAATTGAAGTGATTAAGAGTGAACATGGCTGAATTAATTTTGAGCGAAAATAACAAAACAAATTTAGTGAAATATTTCGTGTTGAGAAGTGCATTTGTGCAAGGTGCAAAAATTTAGCTTGGTGGAATAAAAAGAGACTAATACCGTGATATTAATTGTGTGTGTTGTGTGTTGAATGTACTATACCATGCCAAATAGTAAATTTTCTCATGCTCTCAAATTTAATCGTGAAACTATCCCTTTTTCGTGCTCTGTACAATCGTAATGCAAAAATCTATACATGAGGGATATAATAGTAGATAATGTGAATCCTAGCCCTGCTCTAGATCTAGTGTCCTTTTCCGGCCAACACATGAAAGAGAAGGTTGAGCTGTGGTAAAGATGAAAACAAGCTTTTTATTCTGTATATGTTATAGTTTGGAAGAATGTCGGAGTAGAAATGTCTCCTGAAAAAAAATTGTCCTTCAAAATGTGAAAAGAAATAGCTTAAAAGTTCTGATCCCACATTCATGGCACATGTGCATGTATTCCCATAAACCCATTTCTGTGTACAGTGCATCTTCCAGCAAGATTGTATCAAAACCTCATTAACACATAATCAACCTTCTAAATTTGATTTATTTCTCATTGTTATCACATGACCAGTTCTTAAATATATTTTCAATTAATATTCATTGTGTAACGGCCTTCTCAAGAATGGCAATTGTATTTTCAGTCACAACTTTCAGTCAGAATAAAAGGAGATCCTGTCCACACATACCGGTAGTGAAATTTTTCATTGAATGTGAAAGTCAAAATCCGCCATGTGCCAAAAACACTCATGCGTGTACAAACTCTATGGCCTATTTATTATTTTTTAAATTCACGATACCGGTATATATGATTTTCAAGCTTCATATTGCGTGTCCCATTAGAGATATCTTTCTGATACATTAGTCTCACACCCAGACCTTTTGTGGCTTATGAGTTATAGCATTCTTAATTTTGTGGAAAAATTCATGCAAAATCTGTAGTATTGGGTGCAACTCACAGGTATTGCAATATGAAATTGTCCCATTTCTGTGATGCTAGTATTCTTCTCAGACATTCATTGTTTATCAAAATGTTGAGCCTGGAATTTGTGTACAAAATCTATAGGGAAATTTCTTTATTCAAATATGAGAGTGAAATACAGCTCCTCTTTCTGTAAGCAAATGTCGATCGTACGTCAGATGCCATTTCTTCTGACAAAATCTAGTCTAGTTTTTATTTTATAAATTTGTTGCTGATTTTGTTGTTATTGTTAATGTTTTTACTATCAATATTTATATTGATATTATTATTATTATTATTATTTACCACAATAAATCAGCGTATCTACCTATTATTGCTTTAGTCTTCCAGACAAGCAAACCATTGAGAGAAAAGTCACAATTGTGCATACCCCACCCCAAAACCACGCTAACCTCCAGCCACGTACGCACCACGCACACACACACACTTCCTCTCTTTTTCTCGCATCCATCATGAGTGCATGCAGATAAGTCACTGTGCGCAAAATTGTAGTTTTTGACTCCTTGCTACTCATTGGTGCCTTTTTATGTAGTAAAATTCTGCCCAATTTTGTTTTAAACGATTTAGTTAGGGTTTTTACCCTCAGTCACCTTTTGTTTGAAGATATTTCAGTGTTTAAATTTGCCGAGCATACTTCCTTTTTGTGTTCAGTCCCGTTCACGGCTTTTCGTGTACCGGGGTTTTACGCCGAGTCGGCTGTGTGTGTATATAGCTCGACTTGTTACAGAATTTATTGTGCATACTTTGTGTTTGAATATTTTGTTAACGCTTGTTGATTCCTTTCTTTGTAGTAGGTTTAATTCACTACTCTATAGGATATTTTGTTGACGCTAAGATAATTTGTTGACTCTTTGATTGTAGTGGCCTCAGATTCACAATGAGCAAGGCTTCTGGATCTGGATTGGAGTCCCTCCCCCCAGTTACGGCTGTCTTTACCACCTCACTAGCGAGTGACTTTGGTTAGGCAAAAGGGGGGGGGGGGGTAAAGGGCGTCTCGAGACAGGTTACTCCCCGCACCAGGTATTTTTTGCCTGGTGTGTCTGTGGTTTTTCCCTGTGGTAAGAAACCGGCAGATACTGTTCCGGTATGCCGAGGTCAAGAGATTCAATTTTTAAGCGGCTTTCGGGTTAGCTAGTCTTTTAGAGGCCCCGGGCACTGTTGCGCTACAACAAGCACGAAGGTGAACCGGGTTACACAACCGATTCATTTCAGCAGTATCCCTGCCTTCACGATTGAGGTGCCTGAAATCACCTCAGTGGAACGCAAAGGTCACAAGCTCGCTGAGGCTTCTCATGAAGCATTTAAGCGAGTGGGCCCCGGTCACACTGACCGTAGGGGTTTCGCTGAGGCTTCTCAAGAAGCAGTGAAGCAAGACAGCCCCAGTCACACTGACCGTAGAGCCAAGCATAAGAAGGCCAGCAAGGCCCAGAAGCCCCCTTCGTCCTCCGTTGCGACAGGGGAAGAAGTGGAAGAGCTTGAGGCCCTGGTCACACTGCCTGTAAAGCTAAAGCTAAAGCTCTAGCAAGGCCGTGAAGCTCGCATCTAGGGGTAAGAAGCGAAAGGGCTAGTCCACCCAAGTTTTGGCTTGGACAGGAGCTAAGAAGGGGCAGAACAAATCCTCGCCAATGTCAGCCTTTTCTGCTACCGCTCAGGTGGAGCTTCAGGGATTTTTACAAACGACTACTGTTCCGCCGGGTCCAGCCCGTGTCGGGCTGCGTCCATCCACCCTGAGTGGTTTTCACTTTATATAGGGCTGGCGCCGAGGATACAAAGACTGCTACAAGCCATGCTGCCTTGACCGGAACGGCCGTGCGTAGATGTTTTGCAACAATCTGTGCCATCAGGCTCGGAGGTGACCCTGGTTTCACAACCGACGTTATGTTCGGGATTGACCCTGGTTTCTCAAGAGAGGTGGTTCCATTTGCCACCGTGAAGCACTAAGGCTTTTCCGTGAAGCGGTGAGGCGATACTGCCCCGGTCCCACTGGCCATGAAGCTAGAGCTGAGGAGGCGAAGTGGTAATCTAATGGCCAGGGTTTGGCGTCAAACGCTTTAGTCAGACATTTCTGTATCTGCTCAGGTGGAGCTTCGGGGTTTGATAATTCATTCGCTCTGGCAACTGGGCAACCAGTGGCTCCGTCAAATTCATCACCCCGTTTGGGCAGTGGCTTGGCGCCTATCTCTGCCCGTGCTCCGGCTGGCTTTGAGCCGGACCCGGTCACACCATACTCAGGTCACACCATACTCGGATTCAGATGTATTGTCCGAATTCTCAAGTGTGTCTGCTGTGGCGTCAAAATTGTCACCATGTCTATGGGAGCCAATATTCGGGCTACTGAGGTTGTCAATAAACCTGACAGGCGCCACGGTTTCAGGCGGAGACTTGGCTCCTACACTTGCTCCTACCCTTGCTCCGTGCTTCGGCCGGCATTGAGCCGGCCCTGGTCACACCTGATTCAGATTCAGATTTGATGTTTGATTCTCGGGTGTTGCTTCTCTGGCATCCGTTAGACCTTTTAGGCCCGGTTGCCTGGTGCTGCTGTTGGCTTTCCACCATGTGCCTTCAGCCCTTGTTGGGGTTAAGCCTCCAGCTCCCGCTGCTATTAGTGTTCCTCCAGGGGCAGCTACTATCGGCACCTTACCCCATCTTTTGGGGTTGATGGCTCCAGTTCGTCAGTCTCACTGGGAATCTGTCTCTCAGTTATCCTTGGATATGCCCCAGGCTCTCAATTGAGTTGAGGACTCAGTTACACTTGTCTGGTGTTTCTGGTTCCCGTTTTTGTTTCGGGACCCGTCTTGCCAAGCTCGGCTTCTGAGAAGCTCTGTGCTGTGATAAGCCTTTTCCGGGTCTTTGCCCATTGATGGTAGCTAGACTCCCACCTCCCTCTACCCTTGCTACTCCTCCATGAGAGGAGTCGGTAGATGGATCGGTTTCTCCATTCCCCTCTGGGGTTTTGGTTTTTCCTTGATAGCGATTAGCTGTTTCTTATTACGGAATCTATCTCTAGATGGATCGTTGCGGCGGTTAAAACGGCGGGTCCCGAGGCTCTCTTGGAGGGTGTGTGTCCTCGTGCGCATGATACCAGGGGTGTTAGCACCTCCTGGGCACTTTTCCATGAGGTAGCGCTTCATGACATCATGAATGCTGCTTTCTGGCTTTCACCGAACACCTTCATTTTGTGTTATCTTAAAGATATTCCTGCGAGTGAGGAGTGTTTTGCTACAGCGTCTTTTAGGGCGACATCTTCTTGCCTGCCCCCCCCCCCCCCCCCCCGCTAACCTTTTGTTTGGGACATGCCCCCCGCTTACATCCGTGTTGGTCTAAGCAATAACGGGTAGATACGTTGATTTATTGTGGTAAATTAGTTAAATCAGAACTGATTTTATTATTTACTATATCTACCATTACTACGTATCTACCTATGTCCCTCCCTCCATCCCCTCTCCTTGTGGGCAACGTGTCCAAAGTTGTGCCTTGGGCTGCTCGTTAGAGAGGAAGTGCGTGTGCGTGTGTGGTGCGTACGTGGCTGGAGGTTAGCGGTGGTTTGGAGGTGGGGAATGCACAATCATGAGTTTTCTCTCTATGGTTTGCTTGTCTGGAAGACTAAAGCAATAATAGGTAGATACATAGATTTATATAGTAAATAATAAAATCAGTTCTGATTTAACTAATTAACTACTACTAATATCTCGTTACCAGCCTTTTTAAGTTCATCAAACTGCAAACATGTCAGTTGTCATAATATTTTATTTTAGAGTACATTTTCTGTTTGTCTACTTCAGCAACTAACGGCGGAGACAACCACTCCACATGACACAACCACTCCAGCATCAGCAAGGGATAGAGAATCTGATGCACCTGTGCATGGAAATGGAGAAGCAACCCTTGCAAACGGCCCTTCAAGCTCCATGTGAGGAAACCTTTTATTGTCTTAAATAAGAAGTGATAGGTATACTGTTATGCTGATATGTTATTTCATGTGGTGTGCAATTCTAAGTTATTTTGTCTCATACCCACCACATGTAGGATTTTAGTATGGTAGAGGGTCCTGAAGCTATGCAGCTGACAATATAAGCAATACAACATATAGAGCGCGCCAAACTTATGATGTGACTGAGCAATTAGAATCTTAATGAGGTTTGCCAAAAATAATAAGTAATTTTTCTTTATTTTCTGTGAAATTACCAGTACGGTACTTAGATAGAAATTCAGGTAAAATTCCCATCCCTCAGCTTAATAATCAAGAACTGCATTAATTTAATACATTGTCCCTATTTTCACGAAGTTACGGTAGTGAGGACAATCGTAACGCAAAGTGAATGCAATTTTTTTTCACTACCGTCACTTCGTGAAAACAGTGACGACATGTGTATAGTTTAAAAACCCTCTCATATTTTCCTCCCAAATTGGACATGGGCATAGATCCCGGCCCCCCCACTCAGTGTTATTTAGGGTACGCATATGCGTGTTCCAACCGACCCCCCCTTTTCAGCAAAAGTCTGGTGTGTAAAGTCAATACGGCTCGACCTTTTTCTTTTGTATACGAGCCTTTTTCCGCACCCCCCCCCCTTTTCAGCAAAAGTCCGGTGTGTAAAGTCAATACGGCTCGACCTTTTTCTTTTGTTACGAAAAGGACATTTTGGCAACACGCATGCGGTCATTTTGAAACCTGAGTGGGGGGGCCGGGGCATAGATATCGATTTGTAAATGTGTGTTTTTGACATTTGTTTATTGTAATTTTACGATTTAACAATGTATAATCCGGAAAAGAAGAAAGTTGTGTCTACTACTGAATTAAATTACTTTATAGCTTCTAATACAAAAGTGTGTAGGTTTTGGTTCTCCCATCATCTATCTGATTCTTGTAATAGTGTGAAAGCTGTGTTAGAGTTAGTATAGTTGAGGATCTCACCAGTTAGTATCAAGTAACATGATAGTTTTATGTCAAGTTATGTTCCTAATACCATCATTTTTCATAATGTATGGGACATCAAGGGACCAAATTCATTAGACTTGCCCATATATGCCTTGCACTTTTTGCCCAATTCAAAGAAAACTTGTCCATGTTCAATTGCTATTATAATGACTTGTGTGGAAACAAATTAATGTGGGCATTGCTTAGAGCTACAGTGGTGACTCAAATTTTGGTTAGTAACATTAAAAAACAGGACATTCAAATAAAGGGTCATCTTTTGATCGGACATTATACGCCTGATATCTCCAGCATAAAATATGGAAGAAATGCTGATTTGAATTTAAATATCATAATTTGTCAAGTTGCCTAAATAGATATTGATATGTAAATATTCTCTCAGTAAACAGTAAAATTGACTTATTCTCTCATTTCAGCAATGCCAATAATATTTCAACATCTGGAGAACAACCAAGCAGTAATTCTCCAGTGAGTTGAGCCTAATTTATTAATGATTTCATTTTTGTCATATGTTAGTGTCATCCTGTTAAGTGTAAATATCTTGCAAAATACATTCCTAAGAATTGAACGTTCAGCTCTGCACAAAAGTGAATACATATGATATTTTTAGAAATTGATTATCCAAACAGCAGCAAACAAATGAAGATTATCTGACATCCTGTCAGCCATTTGAAATATTGATGAATCGGCAGGTATTTTTTAAAACTTTGCTTGCTTGTAATTTTGTTTTTCATTTTCAATTCTTAAAGTCTGTCAGACCTTACAAGTTACTTACTTTGAAGGTTAAGTATAGTAATTACAAATGTATTTGATACTGGTAAAGTGCACTTATTTGCCTGACTTTGTATTGAATAGTAGATAATGTGAATCCCAGATTCCCTGGTCTAGATCTAGTGTTCTCTTCCAATACATTAAAGAAAAGGTTGAGATGTGGTGAAGATGAATAATAATTTACAGACTTTTTATTCTGTATATGTCAGTTTGGAAGAATGCTGTTGTAGAAATGTCTTCTGAAAAAATTGATCTCTTCAAAATCTATACTGTGTGAGTCAAAAAAAAGTTTACACTTAAAAAAATTGCTAGTTATTTTAGAAGTCATCTATGAACAGTAAATTATTATACATCTTATGAAAGAGTGTTTTATCCCAAATCATTTGGTATCATTTTTGTGGGGTAAGTGTTCATTCTTGAATGAACAGGAGGCATTGTTTGCGAGAGTGCAAAAATTGAATTGCGCCAAAGTTGCTTATGTGAGAGAATGAATTGCATGTATCAAATGAGATGCATTGCATATTGCAGGAGCAAAGTCACACACACACGCACAAATGTTCGTTGATATATGATATTTGATATTTGTGGCATGATTAATTTGTGAGGGATGTTATTTGGATCTCCAAAGAGAGGATTAATACCCTAATCCCAATTGTTTTATTCAAACATCACATAAGCAACTTTGGCACAACTTGATTCTTGATTGCTTCCTGACTTAATTTCTTATTGTTATCTCATGACCGGGGGGGGGGTTCACAAAGATACTAATAGACCGCGGGCCATAGATCAAATATGTGGCTTATTTTTCATTTTCGTGCCTCAACTCTTGTATATACCTAAATTTTTGTTACTCAATAGAACAAAAATCATTGAATAACAATTGATAACTCGTCAGTGCAATAAGTTGCACATTAATTAATTATGCTAATTTAAAAAAGTTACAGCGCCCTCTTGTGTTCAAATCTTGAGATCTGTGTTGTGCTAATGGGTTCCACAGGATTTTATTGGACTTGGAGGTTTTGTTTCACCCAGGGAATAACACCCAAGTCTGTCTTGGAATGGTTGGTGTTATATTTTTCTTTATTTAAAGGTTAAGTCCATCCTAACAAATATTTTAGTTTAAATAAAGTCAGAAAAATGAAAGGAAGACGACAGTGAAAGTTTTCAGCAAGTTTTGAAAGTAAGCAAGTTATCAATTTTTGAAGGTGTGATTAATGAAACACAACTCGACAACTCCACAATGTAACTTTTTTCTGCTTCTATTCAGGATGGACTTCCCCCTTTGATTAAACAACAAACAAAAACAATCTTGAAAATAAATAGAGATAAATAAAGAGAGAGATTAATAGAGAGGGGAGAGAAGTGGAAAAGAGGGGGGGGGGGGTCAGGAGATAATGGGGACTTTGGTAGACTGTGGTACTTTTATTTATGTATTTATTCATTTTTGTTTTTATTTGTTTGGGGGGATATCAATGTGTGCACATGAGGATGCACATCTTTTAATGAGTATAATCATGGTTTCAATGCATTTTGACTACCAGTATTCATCACTTACTACACAACTTGAACCATCCTTCGGTATCCCATCACAAATATAGCACCCCCCACACTTATACTGAAAACTTCACCCTCTCTCTCTCTCTGGCTGTATGTCTGCCCCCCCCTCTCTCTCTCTCTCTCTCTCTATATATATATATACAGTGCATACACACACACACAAACAATCCAATAAATTAATTTACATTAAAACACAATTTGAACAGGTGTCAAGATAGATAAGCCAAAATTTCCATATTCAATCAATATTTTTAATCATCTTTTAACTACATGTATCTCAAATACATTGCAAAATCACAGGAAGTTTTGACAATGGGGTGGGGGGGGGCAGTAGACGTAATGCATAGTATGAAGTAGATTCATTGTAAGAAAAATAAATTGTATTCATGATGAGGTACACTTTTCTGGCTCTTAAAGGAAATTTCCAGGCAGTTTTGTTTTTGTTTTTTTCATAACAATGATCAAACTCATTCCTTAATACCAAATCTATTAAACTGCCCCAACAGATTTTGAACAAGTATAAGTCTACTGTACTAGCAATAAAGAGAATTAATTCATACAATGACTTTCAAATGTTCAATATCATTGTGTACTGTTAGAGGGAGAAAATCCATCATTGATTCATACAAGGCATGGAAACCAGACATAAATCAACTTCCTTGCTACTTGCCTTTGATGATTTGATGATTTAATTATATTTTTAACAATATTTTCCCTCCATTACGTTGATGACAAAAACAAGAATTGCCAGATACCCACATTTGTACAGCATAAAACATAAACTTAAACGTGAATACATTTCAATTACTAATCATGGTATTTACAAAATTGTGAACTACTTAATCTCAATCCTCCGATAGTGCACAATTAGAATATTTTTTCACAATGGAACAAAATACTTACATGTCCAGTTCAAATCTATACCTACAATGGTACAATGTATTTATTTAGCAGTGAATAGAGGCAAAAAACACATTTATCTCCCGACATCTACAAGTATTTTCTTCCCTTACATTAACATATTGAGAAACAACTTTCAGTGTCAAGTCATGATGAAAAAAAAATACATGAAGAACAAATACTTTCCAGAATGACAAAGGGAATGACCATTACTCAACATGTATCAGGAATTTTCAAAATAAAATATTGGTTCCTGTTTATAGAGCACTTGTTATGCTTTATGACACTTCTCTTTACCTGCATGTAGTAATACCTAGCAACAAAATATGTACTGCTCTGGTTAGATGGGTACCCATTTACATGTACATGTACACCTGAGTGAAACATGGTAACAATGGATTCATGTTATGTTTGTCTAAATGACTATGTACCATAAACAATTGAATGTGCAGTGCAGTCAATAAACCACTACTAGACTTGGGCATCAAAAACATTTTGCTGGAAGTATATACATTTACCTCACAAATACTGTAAATGACTATATATTCAAAGTGGTTATAAATTTTTAAGCCTCATCAATCTCTAAAGTTTTCATATAAATCACATGAACAGTAAAATACAACATCATACAAGTGTGACCTTAGTTGTCCCAAACAACTGTGTTTGAACAGAAATTGGTATATTCATATCTTTACCCTGTTTTTGCATGGAAGGATAACTATCATATAGGTATTGGCGTATTGATGTTACAATGCTACAAACTCTTGTCATCACAATATACATGTGCATGTATATTTTACTGCAATGGAGAAGTGAGACAACAGGTTTTCTTCAAATTAGCAAATCAGGAATAATAAACCTACAGATTTCTGACAATAGGAAAATTTGAATTTCTTAGCTTAGTCAGCCTAAGGATCTCCTTATTTTTCATTATCCTTTCCTCAATTACCTTTTTGCAGAAACTAGAGTATGACTTATCATATATTACTGTTTGCTGAGTATCCTGTTTATAAGTATTACATCTCTTCACAACTTTTGTATACCTGTAATAGCACGATTTATGGTACCTTACTTCTATTGCAACAAGATCTTTCCCACGTATGTGTAAAAGCAATTGTTCATCTTGCTTTAATAAAGCGGCCTCTAACAGATGCCCCCCATCTTTTCTTTCACAAAGAATTAATTTTTCTACCTTCCGTTTACCAGAAGACTGTTCGCGGATATACTTAGCTCCTTTGCAGATAATGCAATGGACTGGCAATACATGCGGCTTATCAAAGTCATGGCTGGTAGAGGGTTGATTTTCATGGGATACTCTCGACCGCAGCAGTCTCTTGGGTGCAGGGGCATCCTCACTTGCTGACACTTCCTCTGGATCTTCTGTAGATGTCTTCTCAGCATCTGTGGGTTTAACAAGAAAAAGAGAAGGAAGAAAGGAACAGACAGGGGAAAAAATACTGATTAAAACCAATTTTATCAAAATCATTCTGATTTTCTGAATATATAACTCAATGTGGTGTTGGTGTTGAAAGTGTGGATCAAGCTGCTGAACCAAGCTCCAACACTGACTGTACTTGAGAAATAGCTCAATACTGAGTGATGTCACGCCTTTTATGTGATCCACTCACGATTTCAAGCGAAAAGGCTATACAACGAAAGTGAAATCAGTGAGAAATGGCATTCAAATTTCATCAAACAGGATGTAAAATCTAAAATCGTATTTTCAAATCAAAAGAGAAAATGTTATTAATCTTTAGAAAATAGACACATATATAGCTCTGATGATTTGTAAAACATTTTGACTGTAAATTGGATTTCGCTTAACTTTGCTGTGACGTTATCATTTGGTTCATGATCTTAAGATCACCAACACCAACACCGAACTTCAAATCACAAATTTCCCAATCTCTAGGCGATTTGTGTTGGGGAATAGGGAAATAACAAATAAATCGTCAAAGCGAACCATGATACTCGGTTCAGCAGACAACATTCAACAACATATTTTCCGAGGTCAATTCCAACACCAGCCGCATTTCAAGTTCAGTGTTGTGGCTTTTGACACTGAACTTGAAATCGCCAGTAGATCTAAATGTGTAGATGCAGAACAATTATTGCACAATTGCACCTACCGGTGTCTTCTTTTGCACTGCCTCACACACGCACAGATCAAACACTCTCCTTCTCTTCTTTGTCTTTGTACTGTACTGTTTAAATTATTTTAGCAGCATTTAATCATTGTTTATTACCTCTCTTCTTCTGAAGTCTTGTCAATGCTCTACTGATTGTCGTTACGTTGCAAAAGTGTCGGTAACATTCAGCATGATATCCTCGAAGCCGAGTATGGTGCTCCCTAGTAAAAGAAAATGTGAGAGATGTAGACTAATAAATAATTTCTATTAAAGTTCAATCTGCTAAAATACAAGAACTGCTGGACCTAGTTTAAGTAGTTAGGCCTATGTAAATGGCTTAATTTCTTGACACAAGCAAGAGTCAAGAATTAGACTATTTTATAATTTATCTGTAGACGAAAAAAAGTAGAGGGTCTAGACAGTAGTAGTAGGGACAGGGTCTAGTAGTAGTAGATCTAGACCTAGAAAATCTATCCTGTAATCCAGGACCATATAGACATAGTAGATGAGAGGTCTAGATCTAGTCTGTTCTCTACTACTCTAGACCAAATTTGTAATTTCTGCTCTTTTTTCAAGTGCAATTTTTATTTCGGGGAAAATGTGAACACTTTTCATTTCATGCAGGCCTAGATATCTAGATCTATACCAATATATTAGGTGATAACTTACCTGCTTGTTGTCGATGACTGAAGACCGACTTGTCCCACACCTTCACTTTCGTGTACGTGTTCTTGCAACTTCTCTGCAACTTCACTTTCTAAACTCTCTTCCACGATTACCCACTTAGCTGCACACTCCTTACACTTTTGATAGCTTTTATCACTAAATGGTATAATCTTGCTCTGAGTATCGATGACATGTATGGAACAGAAAGCGGATTCACCAGCCTCAGAATTGTCCGTCTCACTGGCATCAAACGACTCAGAAGTCGCCATAGTACACAGTGAAAGTCGCAGTGCACAGTAAAAGTCGCATAGGCGTGCGCATAAAACAAAGAATATGATTGGCCAAAAGCCAGTCACTCCACACATCATGCTATCAGCAACGTATTGTGATTGGTCATTCTTACCGTAGAAAGTGAAAAATTGTCTCAAATTTGTTTTTTGTTTTTTGATATTTTCAGAAAATGTGCAAGTTTTGTTACTGACGAGTTTCAGATGTGACTGTAATAAATATTTTTAAACATGTTGACCAAAATACAGCTAGATACAAATTTGAGGCACGAGATGAAAAGAAAATGCACCTCGGCCCGCGGTCTATAAGTTGAACTTATCTCTAAGTTGGACTTAAAAACCATTGAGAGCCATTTGTAGCCTTTAAATTAAATATATTCAAATGCACAACAATGGAAGTATTTTAGACTTTTCATAAATTCCACATCAAGAACATGAAATCTCCTTGATAATAGACAATATGAATGATTTGAATCCACATTCTATGCCTTTTAAAATAACTTTTACAAAATATTTTAAATGTTGTTAAATGCTTTCCATAATTGTTAGGTCCAAAATATCGTCATCAAACTGCAAACATTGTCAGTTGTCATAATATTTTAGAGTACATTGTCTGTTTATCTACTTCAGTTTGAAGGACTCGAGGGGAAAAATGTGTTTGTACCTAAGTCTGACGAGTCCATTGCGTAAACTCTCCAAAGGATGCTCACACTCCAAGCTGCAAATGATGCATTAGCAAGCAATGGAGAAACTGATGCACTGGTGCATCAAAATGGAGCAGTAACCCATCCTAACAGCCCTTCAAACTCCATGTGAGGAAACCTTGTTTTGTCCTAAATAAGAAAAGATAGGTATACTGTTATGCTGATATGTTATTATATGTTATATTATATTATGCTGATATATGTGGTGTGTGCAAGTCCAGGTTATTTTGTCCCAAACCCAGCACATTGAGGATTTTAGTATGGTAGAGGGTCCTAAAGCAATGCAGCACGTAGAGCGCGCCAAACTTCTGATGTGACTGAGCAATGAGAATCTTAATGAGGTTTGTCAAAAATTATAAGTTATTTTTCTTTATTTTTGTGAAATTATCAGTACTTGGATAGAAATATGGGTGAAATTCCAATCCGTCAGCTTAATAATCAAGAACTGCATTCCTCCCAAATCGGACATGGGCATGGATATCAAATTAAAAATGAAAGAGAGAGAGAGAAAGTGAAAGTGATAGTTATTTACCTGACAGCTAAGAAAGTAATAAATGCATGTTAGTACCGGTAAGCAAACAAAAATGTGTGTTATTTACATGTGTTTATCGTTACTTTACGATTTAACTATGTATAATCAAGATAAGAAGAAATTTGTGTCGACCACTGAATTAAATTACTTTACAGCTCGTAATAACAAAGTGTGTAGCTTTTGGTTCCCTTTTTGGTTTCATAATATATCTGATTCTTGTAATAGTGTGAAAGCTGTGTTAGAGTTTGGATCTCACCAGTCAGTATCAAGTAACATGACAGTTTTATGTCAAGTTATGTTCCTAATACCATAATACTTCATAATGTATGGGACATCAAGGGACCAAATTCATTGTACTTGCCCATACATGTATATGCCTTGCTTTTTTATAGTAAGATTTGATAACTTCTAAAGTGGAATAGTACAGGTACTCTAAAAACAGTACTTAATTATACATGTGTAGACATGTATGTGTGTTTTTTTTCTCATGGATATGTAGATTGTGGTGTGAAGGAGTAAATGGGATATTCCTAAACATAGCATTCAATGTTATTTGATTGACCTTTACGTCAATAAAAGCAGAAGAATGGGAGAAACAGATCAGTTAATATTTCAGTAAAATTTGAGAAAAGTTTTAAGACAGTCATTAATTTTTACAAACTGTAATAGATCAAAGTGAAATAGGGAAAGTCTGTGATGTTACTTTCTTTCTCTCTCATCTCCATTTCACTGAAAATGTTCCCTTTTCTTGGATGCCGATGAAGGAATATACTATTTCATCAGGAGTTTTGTATAAATGTGTGTATAATGTTAATGTATAGTTAGGTGCATGTGGAATTGAATATTTTTTTTAAGAGGGAATATGATTTAGTGATTACCTGTATAAGTTGTCGTAGACCAACTAGATGCACAGAGAGAACATACGTAGTATCACCAGATTCGTGCACCTTGCACAATGCGGGACAATTTAGGTGGACGTCTATGCATTCCTATAGAATTCATTCTTTCCTTTTTTGTATACGTTTATAACCCATGTTGAATGTTAATGTTGTCTTTTGGAATATGAGTTCTCTGTTAGTCTACACAATTCATCTAGTCAGGAGAGCTATGACAAGCAAGAAGTGCCTTTGTCATACTTCAGAGAATGAACATATATCTAAATAACAGTTACTCTGGTATTAACTACATCTATCTCTTTATAGGTGTCTTGTAGTATAAAAAAGTGATGATAAATAAAGATATAAGTACAATAAACCAGTTTGAGATACATTTGCTATCTGCGCATGAGCAGATAAGGTCATTTGTCACTTGGTATGAATGTGGGATATATGTTTGTGAAAGTTATGTAATCATTATTCATCTATGCACCAGTGGTTCATTCCATGATATTCAAGAGAAAGTATTCGTCTCATGAGGGAAAAGAATAGCTTTTCATGAAAACCCTCCATCACTCTGGCAGGCATCATTCTAAAATGCCCAAAGCGGGAATTCTCCATGTTAAAAATATCTGTGGATATCTGTTATTTGCACATGTGTTAAACTCAGAGGTGGTCTTTGTATCAGCATATTTTTTGATGCACTTTTCGTTAGGGTTTACCTCTATGCCAAATTTGATCTGCCTTTGATTCTGATTCATGAGGCTACTTGTACATGTATGTTTGTCAAGATAAAGTAATGTAAGTTCTACTATTTTGCTTTCAGTTGTTGCTTTCAGTTGAAAATTCTTTCAAGTTTGTGAATAGTATCTAGCATATCAAATGGTTCTGAACAATTTAAAGTATACACAGTACTGCAGGCATTTTATATCATTGTTAACTTTTTATGTGCACCCATTTTAAGTGCCTTGCAAGATAGGGAATATGCTTTTTTTATTCATAGATATATGTACTGTATATTAAAGGTCTTATGTCCCATTTGCAGGCCCAAAAAATGAAAAGTTTAAATTCCAACTGCATTTAAAAGATAATACTAATTTAGAACTTCCCTAAAAAAAATGGGGGCTTGAAAATATCTTCAAGTGGGAGAATAACGACTATTAGTTGTCGAATCGACTTAGGAGCTATAGAGCCAGTAAGTAATAGTCTGATTTTCAGACCATTGCACCAAATGGTCGTACGTTTTATGCTGCGCAAAGGTTCAATCAGTTTAATTTTTTGCCATTACAAGAAGTTGATTATTGATGTAGACAAATGCTCATGTGCCCTTTTTACAGCTCATTTTATGTATGTTATTACCAAAGAAGAAAAAAAGCCAGTCAGTCACTCGATAGTGTCTGACAGTGAAGTCCAGCAAGTAAACGGGTTTCCTTCCATAACTTGAATATTAGGACACTGCTAACGTTTAAATTTCACAGATAGGACATACATGATATATTTATAATTCCTGCAAAGTTCTACAGGATTTAATGTTGGCTGCAAAAGGGACATAGTATATTTAAGGAAGATTTTATTTCTGTCTGATATTTTGTTGTTGTTAAAAAATCATGTATTGGCAACAATTTTTTTTTTAATGTTCATCTGCAAACTATGTCTAGGTTTTGATACACCTGTAGTTTTAATGTTTTTGTTTTTCAGTACACATAACTCTCAAGATATGTGATGAGTAATGTGAAATTGATCAATGGCTGACTATCATGCCGGTACTTTCGACCTTGCAATAATGTGTCACTGAAATAATTATTGAAATGTCTTGCATTGCCAGTAGAACTTGTTGCAGACATAAAAATGTTATGTGTGCTCAGTACAAGTCTGCAAAGCAATAAGTACCAAGTAATAACTTCCCAAGTTTACTAGATCATTATTCATTTAGCTAACCTTGCTGTATTGTTGAAACACCCCAACTTATTTCCCCTTAGACAACATCTTGAAATCATGTATTACCTTGAATTCCACCTGTGTATTTATGAATGTTTTTTTGTTTTTTCTACTGGTATTTGTGCTACAGTATGTTACTGTATGATAATGTATAACTGTATTACATGCTCTGAAGCTCTTTCCTCCTTTCAATGAAATCACTTTCTATTCCACTACTGTGTTTTACATGGTTTACTTCAAACGTATTACATGCTTCAGAGCTTGTGATATCACGAAAGTTGGTGCTATGCAGACATTTTTTTAAAGTACTGAGGGCCTAATCACATTCTGAAGAAAAAAAGGGGGGATAAGGAAACATTTTGCTTGTGCCAAAGCTCAAAATATTTTGACATTTAAAGGGCTAGTCTGGTCCATTTGCAAGTTGAATTGAATAAAAAAGAGAAAATAAACAAAATAGTGAAAGTTTCATCAAAATCACAAAGGCTGTATGCAAATTAGCAAGGTGATGATGTCATCACCTCAATTTTCACCTCAATCAGTATATCCATGAATTTAACAAAAATATAACTTTTCTGCTCTGGGAATGTAAAACATGGCTAGAATCCTTGTGGAAAATGTGCAAAATCACCATTACAATAACTTATTGTAATATAAAGGGAAAAACATTATACAGATGTGTCCCCCCAAAAAAATTAAAACTTGAAATTTCATAAACAAAATATATGAGAAATAATGAGGGAATGACACCACCAACAGGCTAATTTGCATACAGCCTATGTTTAATTGTTTTTATTTATTCAATTCAACTTGCCAGTGGGTTGGTTAATGTGTGTTAATGTGTTTTTCTTTCTTAGCTTATATAGACCGATCAGTAAAGCTTATATACCGATAATTTTGAGCTTAAAGACTGATAAGTTTTCAGATCATTTAAATTGTTCTGATGATTCCCTGCAGTATATTGGGGATATGTTACTTTTAACTTGACATTCTTTATGTGCATTATTGTTTTGTGCAATGATTATTCACAACTATCATTGGAATATTTTTTTTAAAATTTTTTTATATTGACTTCAGTATAACGGTGATACAGTGTAGATGTATTTATTTTCTTGAAAATATAAAAGGATTTCATTCATCCATTCCATGGAACAATATTTGTTGACTGCAACATTGAATGACTGAGGCAAATTGAACTACATTAATTGAAACTGCCTTTGTCTTTCATATAAAGAAAACAAAGGAATATAATTATTAAAAAGTGAATTTAAAGAAACACAGATGTTGTGCAGACGATTGTTTTCATTTTGCTTGTGTTTTCATGTACACTTAAGTAATCTTGATTTTTTTTTTTGCTCGTATTTTTTTACAGTGAATGTCACTGTTCTGTTCTCTGAAAATATACTTCTTCCTGCAGAAAATGAAAGCACACTTTTACAGGTTAGGGGGCATGCACGCAATGTTTTAAATGGGGGCACGCTACAAGAGTCTCGCACCCCGGGGCAACGTGTCTGACACGGCCGGTTGTAGCAACTACTCCGAAGATCAAGATTACAGTAATCTTGATCTAAGGAGACACGAACGAACGAACAGTTTAGGGAACATGAAGCAGTTATTGAAGCCTTTTCCACTCAAACGAATAATATCAACAACAGTAAACATTTTTTTTAAAGAAAGTAGTAACCAAGTATCCATGCAGACTTGCACTGTTGTAATCATTTAGTAAGCGGACACTTTTTTTTTTTGGGGGGGGTCTCAAATTTGAAAATTTGAAATTATTTTTTGTTGAAGGGGGGGGGGTAGAGGCCCGTTTCCGTTAGCCGTGGGCATAATTTTTTTTTTTTTTTTTTTAATTAAAAAAAAACAAAACAAAGGGGGGGGGGGTTTAGTTTTTTTTAGGGGGGTTTACACACAGAAAAATACCAAAGGGGAGTTTGAACCCCCAAACCCCCCCCCCCCCCCCTGCGTACGCCCCTGGATAGGCGCATATCGTGGAAATAATGTGAGAGGATGAGAAAGTGTCATATGTTCTTTATATTATAGGGGTGGGAAGACGTGAGTCCCTGACTACTGGTGTCAGGCGCGTACACAGGGGGGGGGGGGGTTAGGGGGTTAAACCCCCCTTGGATTTATTTTATTTTTTATTTTTTATTAAATTAAAAAAAATTATAAAATAAAATGGCTGACCTAAAAAAGCTGACCTCACCCCCACCCCCCCCCCCCCCCCCCCCCCAACGAAGCAAAATGTCAAATTTTCAAATTTCGAGACCAAAAAAAACCCAAAAAAGTGTCCTCTTACCCTTATTCAGCGGCTGGCTGAGTCGTTGCGAAATTTTCGTCCCGATTTATAAATGTTAACCCCCCCCCCCCCCCCCTTGAAAAAATCCTGCGTACGCGCCTGATTGTACGGCGATAAAACTCTTCAGTCGAGTGTAGGGAACAAACGCTATTATGGCTGAGAAAGGTCGTGAAAATCAACAAGACGGAGACAATTCTGGTTCGGACATGCGCAGATTGATTATTTTGCTCGGTTACCCTCGTCTTTGCCTTCCGTCATTTTCGTCTTGCCAAAGGATGTTAGTGCTGGGCTGGGATTTGAATCATTAACCCTTAGATAGAGAGTCAAGCGAATAAACCTCCACTTGACTTTTCTCTTATACTTAATTTTTGATTATCTGTTTCTATGGAAGATTGGCCAGCTTAAACTGCGGAAGTAATAAATTATTGACAGATGTACTATGATCTATTCTATACATTTCAACGGATTATTAAAAAAAAGAGAATTTAATTGTATCATTGCTTAATCTCTTCCAAATTTATGTGTTTTCTCTCGACTATTTGCAAGAAAACTTCTGGCAACCACTGATGCTAATAGGAAATACATGTACAAAAAATATTTCATTTGTAACCATAATGTAATTGGTTTATTCAAAATTGATCTAAATATACATATTTTGAGAAAAGATCTGCCAAATTATTTTTGAAAATATTGTTTTACATCGAAACAAGCAAGGTGATATTATTTGAACAACAAAAAAGGCAAAACCACAATTCAGAATATAAGACAGCATGGTAAATCGAAAATAGTTCAAGGTTTCATTTTTGATTAAATATTGATGATGAAGGTAAAGATGATGATGATGGCGATGTTGATGATTAAGTTGATGAATGTTAACATGGTGATGATGTCCTGATAGTGAACATGATGGTGGTGGTGGTAAAGATGATGATGACTATGATAGTGGTGGTAAAGATGACTATGATGAATATCTATTTTCGAGCGAGCGAGGAAAAAAAAGATTTGTGAGGTCTCAGTGCGAAGAGTTACATCTTATATAGAAGAAAAACTATCCTGATGGGTTTATAAGCACTTTCTTATAATAGACTGAACAAACCTTTGATAAGTAACATAATAAAATCATTTATAAATGCGAGCGAGCGTGCCTCTTTTTGTATTAATAAGAGCCACATCCCCTTTTACCTCCAATAAATTACCCTATTAAATCTGATCAGACTGTGCCCCTTTTCTTTCAACAAATGCACATTTTCCTGTACTGCAAGTGCCCCTTTTGATTTTATTTTATTTGATTTATTGGTTTCTGCTTCTTTTTTCTTTTTTTCATCATACATTTTCATGAACATAATATGGCTTGATACAATATTTCAAGTGTATATAATTTTATACAGATAATGAACGATATTAAACAAATATATTGAATTTAAACAAATATATTGAATGCATAATTAACATACATTAGATGCAGGAGGGCTACATAAATAAGCAAAGTAGCTTGACGTGCCGGCAGCCCTCAACTTATATTACAACAATACAAATAAAAATAAAAAAAGAGTGACTTGCAGAAAAGGAAAGGAAAGAGG